AGTCGCCTAACTCCGAGTGCAGCTACAGCTCTTATCTTGGCGAGTAGTCCTTCGTACTCGGCTGTGTTATTGTTCGCCCCGAAGTTGAGGTGAATTGCATGCTTGAATTGATCTCCCGAAGGTGATGTCAAGATGAATCCTGCCCCTGCTCCTTGGCTGTTGAGTGCGCCGTCGAATGCCATTGTCCACGTTTCGTTGTCGATTTGGTTGTCTGACCTGTTATCAGGCATGGTCCAATCGGCTACGAAGTCGACGAGTACCTGGGACTTGATGGCTGTTCGTGGCACAAAGTGGACATCAAATTGGCTTAGCTCGACTACCCATTTTGCAATGCGGCCAACAACGTCTTTGTTTCTCACGACTTCACCGAGGGGGAAGGAGGATACAACTGTGACCCTGTGGGCTTGGAAGTAGTGGCGTAGCTTTCTTGATGTCATGATTACCGCGTAGAGTAGTTTTTGGATATGTGGATATCTTGTCTTTGCGTCGTGGAGAGCTTCGCTGACGTAGTAGACTAGTTGTTGCACCTTCTCTCTCTCGACAACAATGACAGTGCTAACGGAATATGGCGTGGCGGCGATATAGAGAAATAATTCTTCATTAGGTTAGGGGGCAACAAGTACAGGGGGATTTGATAGGTAGCGCTTGAGTGCAATAAATGCCTCTTCGGCTTCCTGTGTCCATACAAATTTGTCTTGCTTCTTCAGTAGAGCGAAGAAAGGTTGTCCTCGCTCTCCCATCCTAGCGACGAACCTGCTTAGTGCAGCCATGCATCCGGTTAGCTTCTGTACTTCCTTGAGTCTTGTAGGCAACTTTATGTTCTCGATTGCCTTGATCTTCTCGGGATTTTCTTCTATTCCTCTGCCAGAGACGAGGAAACCGAGCAGCTTGCCCGATGGTACCCCGAACGTGCACTTCTCTGGATTGAGCATAAGGCGATATCGTCAGAGGTTGTCAAACGTTTCCCGTCGATCGTCAATCAATGAGTCGCTTGTCTTGGTCTTGACAACAATGTCATCGACGTAGGCCTCGACATTGTTTCCGAGTTGGTCGCTAAGTGCGCCCTGAACCGTGCGCTGGAAAGTGTTTCCTGCGGTTATTAGTCCGAACGGCATCTTAACGTAGCATAATACCCCGAAAGGCGTGATGAATGTTGTCTTCTCCTCGTCCTCTTTCGCCATGCTGATTTGGTGGTAGCCGGAGTAAGCGTCGAGGAAGCTCAACAACTCACAACCGGCTGTTGAGTCCACCGGTTGGTCTATTCGAAGAAGAGGGAAGTGATCCTTGGGACACACCTTGTTGAGGTCGGTGAAATCGACACACATTCTCCATTTCCCGTTGGCCTTCCGCACCATGACTGGGTTGGCTAGCCACTTTGGATGGAGTACCTCTCTGATGAAACCAGCTTTGAGAAGCTTGTCGAGCTCTTCTCGTATGGCTTGTTGGTGCAAATCTCCACAGTTTTTGCTTTACTGGCTTGGCGTCGGGTCGCACCATGAGTTTGTGCTCAATCACCTCCCTGAGTACCCCTGGCATGTCAGACGGCTGCCAAGCGAACACGTCAACATTGTCACGGAGGAAGGTGATGAGCACGAGTTCCTATTTCTCGCCTAGTGATGCCCCGATCTTGACGGTCTTGTCGGGGTTGGCACTAGAGAGTGGAACGATCTTGATTGCGGAGTCCAGTTTCGGCGTCTTGTTTGTCTTTCTCACTTTCTTGGGTGACTCAGCTGTGGTAGGTGGGCTGGGCGTAGGGGTGAAAACGGTTCAGATTTTTTCCGGATTCCGGACCTGTTTTCGAAAACGGAATCAGCCGGTCGAAATTTCTCGGAAACGGAATCGAATATGATAATAGCAGTTTCCGTCGGAACTCGGAATCGGTCGGAAAAATTCCGGAAAGTTTGTCGGAATTTCCGAAGTAAAAAAAAGCCCATCCAAATAGTCCATAATTCCTCCTCAAGTTCCCGCCCAACCCAAGTCCCTAGGTCCCTAACTGGCTAACCCTACAGAGGCTAGAGAGGAGAGAGACAGATCGAGAGAGGCGGCGCATCCAGCCTCCAGGGGGTCGAGCACGCCACCGCCGGCCGCCTGGCTGCCGTCCTCGGCTAGTGGGCTCCTCGCGACCTCGCCCCCGCCGTCTCGCCGCCCTTCCTCTCTCTCGCTCCGTCCTCGCCCCCACCATTTTCGCAGCCACCACCACCACCGACGAGGCGACGATGCCGACGCCGCCGACGCGGACGACACCGATGACGCCGGCCACTGGCCACACCGCCGACAGCCTCACCACCACCGATGCACGATGCCTCGCCTTTCAGCAGCCATTAGCCCAGCAGCAGCAGGTGTTCCTCAACCTCCACGGCTCCACCTCTATCACTCTTTGTTACTGTGTACGCTCTAAGTACTGAATATTGATGGACTGATATGTGTTGCTGTTATGTGATGATTGATGACTATGTAGTATGTACTGATGATGGAGTGAAAGCACTAATAGTTTATACCTTGTACCATAGTGTTTTGCTGTAATTTTTTTAGAATATTTGTTATGCAAATTATATGAAGTTATAGAAGAATATATTTTGCTGTGAAGCTCAGTTTGAGGGGTTTCTGTATTCCGATAAATTTTCGTTACCGTATCCGCGCCGATTCGTTTTCGCTCCGTTTTCGTTTTCGATAATATTCGTTTCCGTTTTCGTTTCCGGGGTTTCCGATTTCGATTCCGATTCCGAAAAAAATATGAAAACGAAAACGATAAAGGTTGTTTCCGTCTGTTTTCGTACCGTTTTCACCCCTAGCTGGGCATGTGCTCGACCATGTCGAGGCTCCGCTTGTCGCATTGCACTGCCAGCTTAGCATTCCCTTGAATAGTGATTGTTCCCTTCGGTCCCGGCATCTTGAGCACTTGATACGCGTAGTGAGATGCGGCCATGAACTTCGCGAGTGCAGTTCTCCCAATGATGGCATTGTATGTTGTATCGAATTCAGCGACATCAAAGGTGATCTGCTCCGTTCGGAAGTTATTTGTTTGGCCGAAAGTCACAAACAACGTAATTTTGCTCAATGGTTTGGATGATGACTGAGGAGTGATTCCATGGAAGGGTTGATCGGTGGGTGTCAACTCGCTTCGTGGGATCCCCATCGCGTCCAAGGTGCTGGTGAAGAGAAGGTTAATCGAGCTGCCGCCATCGATCAGAACTCGCGCGATCTTGATATTCCGAATAGTGGGTTCGACCACGATCGTGCACAACAATCCCATGGCAATATCCGATTGTGATATTCCGAATAGTAGGTTCGATCACGATCGTGCATAACTAGGAACCCTGACAATATACTGCACAACAATCTATTTGTTTCAATTTTTTTATAGTTATTTAGTTAACATAATAAACTGGTGGATATCCATGGAGTGATTAGGATCCATCTCCGAGAGGATCATCGTCCATCAAAGCCAGCACAATGTGCGCGGCCTATGACCATTGTTTTTCCCCCACGGCAGACATCACTGTAAGAGCTACAACCTCTACCATTTTGTTAGCCTATGTAGTAGTACATCGTACAAGTATGCATATTTGCTACTAGTCCCTTCGTTCAATATTATAAATTGTTTTGATTTGTCTATAAGTTAAACTTTATTAAGTGTGAACAAATTTATAAAAAACTTAGCAATATCTAAAACACCATATTAGTTTCATTAATTTAGTATTGAATATATTACGCTAATATGTTTGTTTTGTGTTGATAATGTTACTATCTTTTGCTATAAATTTAATTAAACTTAAAATATTTTAACTAGAAAAATATTTAAACGATTTATTATATAAGGGGCGTTTAACTTTTTGCCACTTTTAAGTCTATAATATGTGAATCCTTATATATGTATGACATATGGTCCAGTAATCTTTTAAGAGTTATAAATAGTTAAATATCTCGTTATATGGATGGAAGAAGCACTGATACTACTCCTATTTGGTGTGTAAAACCGACATTTGTTCGTGCGTTCATTTAACAGCCGTACTACACTACCAGTACGACGGTACTACATGTCACTACAGAAAAGTAAGCGGAATGTTCTTCCTCTTATCTCTCGCTCGCCAGATCTGCACCGCGCGGCGCGCGGCGCGTGACGGATCATCGAAGCTGATGACGAGTCAAAAAAGCTGTACTCCTACCCCCTTGGGCCTCAAATCATCGAGACGCGGGACCATGCGATCCGTCGAATCGAACGGGAGCAGGCAATCCGCCCCCCCGAGATTGGTTGGGTGGTTCGCCGCTCGCGCGCGCGCGCTGGGCTGCGTCCGCTAGTTCCTCCTCCATTCCTTTGCCATAGAATTCTCCGCGTCGAGGGGGCCGGAGACGTACGGCGCCCCGCGCGCACGTGGTGGGACGGCGACACTGATCTGAGCCGCCGCTGCGTGGCGTACGTCGGCATTGCAACGTGTGGCGCCAGTGGCGATCTCACGGGCGCGCGCGGGAGGCTATTCACCGGGCGGCGCGCGTACGTAGCCCCCACGTAGTTTTTGCCGGTGCGGGCAACGCCGAATCGCCCGATCGAGCGGTGAACAGGTGTTAGAGTGGGACGGCGGCGCGGTGGATTCGCCGTTTTCGCGCGCGCAACACCTGATGAACGCGGCGGAATAGTTAATCTACGGGACGTGACTGGCTGCTGCCTGGCAGAATGGGATGTCTGTTCGGTCGGGACTCATCAGTCGGGACGGGACCAACGGTGATTATTAACATGATCTATATCTATCTATCTCTCCCAAATGATTACGGGAAACATGTGGGAGATTATTATTGGTGGGGGCCAAATAATTCCATGCTGGGCCGATCCACGAGCCAACACGCGTATCCCACATGGGCTGGTCTCCGTCCGGTCAATGCAACAGCCAGCGAGCACTAATCCCTGACTTCGATTCGATCGTTCTGAGATACAGATCAGCCTAGTGGAGCAGAGTGGAACAGAGCAGCTAGCTTGCCATGCGAGTCTATAAATTGCACCTGCCCGGGGTGTTCGGCATATCACACTTGCACTGAGCACTGGACGCGTCACATTCACAACAGCATACTATAGTCAGATATAGTTGTGATTAATTAGTGAGTAGAGTGTGATACCTGGACTTTGAGAGCTAGAAATGGCACCGACTTCGACGTTCCCGGTCATCAACATGGAGTTGCTCGCCGGGGAGGAGCGACCTGCGGCGATGGAGCAGCTGGATGATGCTTGCGAGAACTGGGGATTCTTCGAGGTGGTTATATGTAGCAAACTAGCAACATAGTACTAAAACCATAATCTATAATAATGGACACATTGAACATTGAACAGACAAACTAAGTTCCATTTCGATGCTGGATAATGGATGTCATCTCTAACTAACTCTGGCGTTTTGTTGGTGCGGTGCGTATCGTGCAGATCCTGAACCACGGCATCTCGACGGAGCTGATGGACGAGGTGGAGAAGATGACCAAGGACCACTACAAGCGTGTGCGCGAGCAGAGGTTCCTCGAGTTCGCGAGCAAGACGCTCAAGGAAGGCTGCGACGACGTGAATAAGGCGGAGAAGCTGGACTGGGAGAGCACCTTCTTCGTCCGCCACCTCCCGGAGTCCAACATCGCCGACATACCCGACCTCGACGACGACTACAGGCGCCTCATGAAGCGCTTCGCGGCGGAGCTGGAGACGCTGGCGGAGCGGCTACTGGACCTGCTCTGCGAGAACCTCGGCCTCGAGAAGGGCTACCTCACCAAGGCCTTCCGTGGCCCCGCGGGCGCACCCACCTTCGGCACCAAGGTCAGCAGCTACCCGCCGTGCCCGCGCCCCGACCTCGTCGAGGGCCTCCGCGCCCACACCGACGCCGGCGGCATCATCCTGCTCTTCCAGGACGACCGCGTCGGTGGCCTCCAGCTGCTCAAGGACGGCGAGTGGGTGGACGTGCCGCCCATGCGCCACTCCATCGTCGTCAACCTCGGCGACCAGCTGGAGGTGATCACCAACGGCAGGTACAAGAGCGTGATCCACCGGGTGGTGGCGCAGACCGACGGCAACAGGATGTCCATCGCGTCGTTCTACAACCCTGGCAGCGACGCCGTGATCTCCCCTGCGCCGGCGCTGGTGAAGGAGGAGGAGGCCGTCGTGGCGTACCCCAAGTTCGTGTTCGAGGACTACATGAAGCTGTACGTGCGCCACAAGTTCGAGGCCAAGGAGCCCAGGTTCGAGGCGTTCAAGTCCATGGAAACCGAGACCTCCAACCGCATCGCCATCGCTTAGCAACCCCGGCCTCGCTCGCTCTGTTCTGTGTACTGTGTGTGTGCATGAACTGTGGTTTCGTCGTCGTTTTGTGATACTCCTACATAGGATTCGTCAGAGTGGTTCGTACTGTACTGAATAAAAGAGCATGCAGCTAGCCAGGTGTAGCCGTGTAGGTATGAATAGATTACTACTCGCGACGAGCTCGAAAGTTTGTACCGTGTCGGATTCTTATTTCGATCCGTGTCATAGCAAGTCCCTGTTTATTTCTTGGCTACTAGTACTAAGCACTGCCTGCAGTCTCCTCGTGACCTTGCCTGTATCTTGGTTTGGATGCATTATTACCTTGATTTTTTTTTGGCAAAAAATTACGTACTACTTTGACAACTTGGTGACACTGTAAACTGAAATTCCTCGTGTGACGCACTGACGCTGCGTGTGTTCTGCAGTACAACTACAGCTACCGAACGAAGTTTAATTGGGCCGTGTAACTGGGCTGCCCCGGGACGGACTCATCGCCTAGCCCAGGAAAACTTTATATCGCCTCCTTCAACTATGTGCCGAGTCCAGTTAACCACCTTCAAGCAAATATATCAGTATATCACCTCCCAACAATCAAAACCAATGCAAATAAACTCCGATAATGCTTACCATCGGCCGTCCGGCCAAAAATAAAAAAATCGGACGTCTCAATCTAAGGCCCCCTTTGATTCAAAGGAAATTTATAGGAATTTTAGAGGATTTCTTTCCCATAGGAATTTTTCCTATACAGTTCTTTGAATCAAAGGAATGGATCCTATAAAATTCCTATGGAATGCCTAATGCCATGCAAGTTTTAGAGGAATTCTAACATGAGGTAGAACCTCATGGAAACTTTCCTTTGAGGGCCCCTTCGAATCGTAGGAATGAAAAAACGGAGGAATAGGAAAAACGCAGGATTCTGACAGGAATGCAGGTGTAAAACAGAGGATAGAAAAATACAGGAAAAACACAGGAATGATTGTTTGATTGAACCACAGGAAAAACTCAAGAATCGAATGAGAGAGATAGACTCAAAGGATTTTTTTTCCAAGAGGTTGGACCTCTTGCTAACTTTCCTACAAAATCTCTATATGATTAAACATTCCATAGGAATTTTGAATGATAGAATAGGATTCAATCCTTTGTTTCAAAAGCTTTCATAGGAATTTTTTCCATAGGATTGAAATCCTTCAAATTTCCTACACTTTTCCTACAAATCAAAGGGGGTCTGAGTCTTTATCTCTCCTTTAATTCCTGTATTTTTTTCTGCAGTCCAATGAAACGACCATTCCTATGTTTTTCCTGTGATTTGCAATCCTTTGTTTTATATTTGTATTCCTATCAAGATCATATGTTTTTCCTATTCCTATGTTTTCTCATTCCTGCAATTCAAATGGGCCCTAAGAGAGCAAAAGCGCAAGTGCATGACAAAGAAGTTTGTTAGGTGTACTCATATGCCAAGGGGAATGTGCATGCAAGTATGTTTCAAAGTTTAAATGATTTTTTCTCTTAAACTATTTTTCTGAATTTCAAACTAATTATATCATTGAATTTGTTATAATTAAATCTTTATAACAAGATATCACATGACTACATTCCGATAACTTTTCTTTAACTTTTTAAATATTACACACATTGTTAATGTAATATTCCAGCAAGTATTTATTGATGTTTTACTAATGCATTTGCCCTGTTTCCCATTATTTTTATATGTTTCAGTAAATACTTTTTTATGTTTCAACAATTACAATTTGATGTTTCAAGCTAAATATAAAAATGTTTCACTAGTTAGGACATAATGTTTCATGTGATAATGGTTACTGTTGCAGTCAGTATCTTTTATATGTTGCATCTCTTTGGAACATTTTATGAAGTGGGTTAAAACATCTCCACAAGTGACTTTTTTTTTTTTTGTATATGGTGCAACATAAGTTTGATTTTTCTGGAACACATATATATTTTTATCAAAATAAATTCATGTGAGATCTTGTTATAAAGATTTAATTACGATGAATAAAATGGTATAATCTAGTTATAGATTGGACACATATTTTAGAAGAAAATTTTGTTTAAAGTTTGATTAAAAGAGAGAGAAAGTATTGATTTGTCATGCCATTTTGGCAGCTAGCTTGCTTGCTCCTGCTTGCATGCATGCGCCAGCCTTTCTCCTCACTACGTGCATGCTACAGACACAGACGCAGCCTTGCATGTATGCATGTGTCAGATGTGATTTGTAGCTTTCTCCACTATTATGACAAATTTAGCAAGGGAAAAAACAAAAAAGGCAATGGGCTCCACGTGTTAGTGTAAGATGTTTTCTCTTTTTCCTCCCCTTTTTTCTGATGCCTTGTTGCATCTTTGGTGGCATCAACAACAAGGCAATGGCGGCATCACCAATCCCCCCCTTCTTCGTTGCCGACTTAGCGGAAGAGCTCGTGTCGGCGGGAACCTATCTTGCCTACCTCCTATGCCTCATCGCCTCCCCTTAGGGCGGAAGAGGCAAGGAGAGACAATGGCTCAATGAGGAGGTTTGCCAGCTTTTCCAGCTCATGCTCGCCAGCTTCTATCAACTTCTTAGGGAGGAGGAGACAGCGTTAGCGAAGCTTGAGCTCAAGCTCTCCTAGAAGACGGTGGCGGCGACGACGATGTTAGATCTAGGCATAGAGCCTTGGGCAGTACCTAGATAGAGGTGGCGGATTGATAATGGCGAAGAGGAGATGTTGACAGTAGCTGATGTTGTGCCGCCAAGGAGCCAAGCTAGCCTGTTGCTACTACTCCGCCCATCGCTATCCTCGAGCTCTATGACCGGATAGGAGAGAGAGAGCACTCGACTACCACCTTCCGGGAGCTCAAGCACTACCTTGTTGCCAGCTACTTCTACTGTTGCAATAGGGACGAGAGTAAGGAGGGTGTGTGTAGTAGAAAAGAAGATGTTTGGTTACTGACATGTGGGTCCCACGTTGTTCGAAGTTAGGTCAACATGCCATGTAGGCGCCATGTAAGACAAAACCACTGTTCAAATATGTCAATGTTATGGATAAATCATACCTAATAATTCTTGTGTTAAGCTCAGTGAAGCCTACCACATACTAAGTTTTATAAGCAATCAAGCCTCATATACATTAGATGTTTTGGATAAGAAAAGAGAAACATAGTCCCGCTTCGGCACGATAAGGACCACTCGGATTATATCTACACTTACAACCTTATCTTTTCGCTTGTGCATATGCTTATAAGCCAAAATTTGAATTTTTAACCTTAAATTTGGAGTTCACTTTGGGGGGTTTTTTAAATCGTGGTTTATTTTCTAGCCTTTACTTTTAGATCGCTAAGAACACGTATATAACAGTTTTTATTAACAAATTATTTTTGTTTGCAAACACACCGTTTAGCTTATTCCCTAAATAAGTTAAACGATGACCCCGTTAGTTCTCTAGTTCTACTTAAATAAGGGGACATCCGAGGGTATAAATACAAGACCATCGAGAGAGGCGAAGACAAGCCAAGACGGATCTAGCCAATCCAAGACAAACCAAAATATACCAAAGGCAAGCCTTAAAAAAGCCAATATGGAGCCACATAGGCCGACAAAAGGGATCTAGCTAGAGCTATCTCCAATCTCATCGAGTTCATATTCGAGGAACCAGACTACGCTAACCGTCGATCACATGTGAGAGCTCCACGTCATTAGGTTGATAGATAATAGATTAGATCATCTCAAATATTGTACTCATGTGATATTGATATATATAAAGGCAGCACTGGTTCAGTCAACAGGAGTAGGGTTAGATATGTCAATTAAGGGGCTTGAACTTGTATAAAAATCCATGTCTACTGTCTCTTTTGCTTCAGTTTCGCGTATACCTTGGTACCAACAATTCCTATACTTTACAAATATCTCATAGGTGGGTTCAGCCCGTCGATAAAATCATGTAAAATAAGTCGGTTTTGATGGATGAGGAAGACCATACATCTGTTTCACTTTCACGGTTGAGGGATGACAATCAGGCTCAGTATAGTTGAGGGAGAGTCAACGGACTTTCCGAGCTAGCAAGGCCGTATGAGAATTTGTATTCGTGAACATTCCATCACACCGGCCACAATGGCCACATCGTGTTTCCAAACAACTGAGTGTAGCCTAGGCTCACTGAACTTTGGGACCACCTCCAAGCGTGTGTGGGCCCAGTTATATCCGATGTATCACGGTGCTCCGAGTCCACAAACTCCACGCTCTCTGGCCAATCCCCTCACGCCAAGCGAGCCAAACTGCTCCGACGTGGCGGTGAATCCGACGTGGAGGCTCTCCATTGGTCCGCACACGCGTCCGTCCGTCTTCCTCGCGAGCGAACTTAAAATCGCAGTCGCACCCCGGCGCCGATCGCAAGGTCCACCTCCTCCCCTCTCCACTCCTTCTAGAACCTTCTCGACCCCGCCATGCGCCCCGCGGTCGCCGCCGCCCTCCTCCTCGTCGCCGCCGCCGTCGCGGCCTCGCCGGTTTCCGCCCTCTACTCCGCCGGCTCTCCCGTCCTCCAGTTCAACCCCAACAACTTCAAATCCAAGGTCTCTCGATCGACTCCCCCCTCACACTCTTCCCTTCCGTCTCCGGATCGGCTTCCCTTACTTGGGGGCTCTCGCTGAGTTCGAATTTCGGTTGGGGGTGCAGGTGCTGAACTCGAATGGGGTGGTGCTGGTGGAGTTCTTCGCGCCGTGGTGCGGGCACTGCCAGCAGCTGACGCCGATTTGGGAGAAGGCCGCGGGCGTCCTCAAGGGCGTCGCCACGGTCGCCGCGCTCGACGCCGACGCGCACAAGGAGCTCGCGCAGGTGAGCAAACGTCCTGTTTGGCATCTCGGTTCATTGGGATTGGCTGATCTACCTTTTCCTGGTGTGATCTGATCTCTGCATCAGTTGTTGCGTCAACGTAATTTGATCGAGCTAGGACATAACTGCGTATATGCAATGTGCAAACTCGACTCCATAAAAAAAAAAGTTACACCTGTTATGGGTTTTTTGTGTAGCTCTCAGTATCAGAGAGTACAATGCCACATTTGTTTGGTGGAGGAAATATGGGAAGATCAATGTTTGGTGTCTACACGTACTGATCAAAAAGGGGCGTCGTTTTTATTTTTTAAAGGAGGGCATTAACATCGGATATGAGTTATACAATACCGAATTAATGCATATTAAAATGCTGTAGCTGGGATTAATATTGATGGAATGTGGTGCATTGTTGATTTCATACAGTAAATTTATTTATTTTTTCACTTTTTCAGCATGGTGATTGGATGCTGTTCTCTTTTTTTTAAAAAAAATAACCTGGATTTTGAATTATATTGAACGAATTAAGCATTTTAATTGGTGTTAATTAGGGTTTTATCTGTTTTTCTTTTGATCCGAAGGTGAGAGCGGCCTTGGTTAGTTTATTGCCAATAAAAGTGTATATGTGACTTTAGATGTGGGAAATGCATACTTTTATGAAGGACGAAACCGTGGAAGCCAATGGGTTGTGCAACTTTACAATATCTGATGCAACATTGTTTATTGGTGAATCAGAAAATTAGGTTATGTATCCCAGATTCTCTAACTGAAAATTTAGTCACTCATCAAATGAAATAAAGGCATCTATCCTGAGAGAAGGCAAGCAAGAGTGAAAGATAGTTATGTACCTTTGCCATTGTACCTGCAGTGCGGTGATTTTGAGTCTCTGTCATATTTAGACATATATTTTTTTTTACAGTAATTTTACAGTATCATGCTTATTGACCAAGAGGCATTTTTTAGCTACGTTATATCTTTGTTTTGGTGAGTATTAGTCTTCTGTCTAGGCTAAATCAATAAAAACTGCACATTAGAACGTCTTCCACCATTGCCATTTGTAAATATTTTGACTGGATGCTATCAAGTTTTTCCTGATGCATGATGCCTTTGTTCTGCAGGAATATGGAATAAGAGGATTTCCAACTATTAAGGTGTTTGTTCCTGGAAAGCCTCCAGTAGATTATCAAGGAGCAAGAGATGTAAAGCCAATTGTTGAATTTGCTCTTTCACAGGTTTGTTGCAGCTTGCCCTATTTGATATATATAAAAATGATATGTTGTTTTTACTTTTATTGCTCCTGTTCTATCTGCCACTCCACTAGTGTATACAACTACAAATCCTTTTCTGAAGATGTTAAGTGCTTCCTGGATTTTCACAGACCAAACTTATTCAGATTGCAATTGTCAGCTGAATGTTGACATAAATAACTTTTATCTTAACATGAAGTATTACTAGGGGGGAAAAACAACAGATATCATATATCAACTGATACTAATGTCCTAGGTAGCTAATTGATTTTGCTATATATCTCCCTCAAATGCTAAACCTTTCAAACTTATCAACTTTTTATATGGGATACTGGATATGAGGTGATGCAGTGATGCTTCTCAGTTCTTACCATGGTGGAGCTTTATGTACCTGCTCTTGCACAGCTGGTGCTTCTGGTAGCACCCATGATTTTCGTTAAAAAATACACTGTCTGTCGCTGCTGTGTTACAGTGGGTTGCCATTTTACCTTTTTTTTTTGGGTATTTCTCTGTAAAAAATTTCAGCCTTGTGACACACGATATGAGTTTCCACTTTTAAATACAATGAATCTGTATCCTACAGGTCAAGGCTCTTCTTAGAGATCGGTTGAATGGAAAGACATCAGCAGGTTCAGGTGGCAAGAAATCAGGTGGTTCAAGTGAGAAAACTGAACCAAGTGCGTCAATAGAATTAAATTCTCAAAACTTCGATAAACTTGTCACCAAAAGCAAGGATCTTTGGATTGTTGAGTTCTTTGCACCATGGTATGTGGCTTAATGCATTTATGGTTTTCATGTTGACTGATTTATTCTTTACTGTTGTTTCTGAACTTAACTCTGAATCCAAAAGTAGAGAAGGAAAGTGAAGAAAAACACAAAATTTCATACAATTTAGTCACATGTTAGTATTGTAGTGTGTACATTTTAGATCATTGCCCTTAAGATTATGTTGTTCAAGATAATAAGTAAATCCTGTTAACTGAAGACATTATTTGACTCATTAACTGTACTGGTCTTTTGTAAGGTGTGGGCACTGCAAGAAATTGGCACCTGAATGGAAAAAGGCTGCAAAGAACTTGAAGGGCCAAGTGAAGCTAGGTCATGTGGATTGTGATGCTGAAAAGGTTCTTGCCCTTTTTCTATTTGGTCATAAGTTTTTGTTGTATGTGCATTTCTTGTTTGCAAATAATTTATACAAAATTATAAACTGAAATTTGACAATGCATTGGATATTTCATCAATTCAAAGGACTTTGATAAAGGTATTGTAAAATAAAATTAAACTGAGGGTTAGCACTCTAGTTTATAGGGACACAATCAGGATATGCATAGGAAAGTACAAAATGCTGTATCAAGGAAAGCAATGGCCTAACTTTATCCTAAGGCATTTGTTGGGATCTTATTTTGTGCTGTTTTAGGTTGTCTCTTTAACAGTTTAACATGATGTACTATGATTGAAGTTTTATGTTTTTTTTTCTAGAATACTAATTCAAGTGTTTGGTCAGTTGATAAAAGTTACCGAGTGAGTTTAAATGAACTTAGGCAGAAAATTCAGGCAGTGTATCAGTATATTTATAAAACACAGTTAATGTTTGACCTTTTTAAAGCATTCATGTGCGTTCTGTACAACATTTGTCAAACTATACAACCTAGTTTTCAAGTACCACTTATGTAACATAACGTGTGACTTGAATTTTGCAGTCTTTGATGAGCAAGTACAAGGTAGAAGGCTTTCCTACTATTTTGGTATTTGGTGCCGATAAGGAGAGCCCATTCCCTTACCAGGGGGCTAGAGTTGCCTCTGCTATCGAGTCCTTTGCATTGGAGCAGTTGGAAGCCAATGCTGCTCCACCTGAAGTTTCTGAGTTGACTGGCCCAGTAAGTTTTCGTGATATTAACAAAGTTATCCTTTTGTGGAGACAATGGTCTGGGATTGATGTTTTGACGAGGTGGTTTGGCTTCTGTAGGACGCCATGGAAGAGAAATGTGCTTCTGCTGCCATTTGCTTTGTATCTTTCCTTCCAGATATCTTGGATTCAAAGGCCGAAGGAAGAAACAAGTACCTTGAGCTGCTATTATCTGTTGCTGAGAAATTTAAAAAGAGTCCATACAGGCAAGATTCAACTAAACTTGTTGTGGACTTTATACCATTCTACCTATCATTCCTTGTCTTGTTATGTCTTTTGAGATAAAAAAATCCACAGTTAAATTGATACATTAATTTCCTTTTGCTATTGAATATTGATTGACAAAAAGATTGATAGTAACCTTCATATATTTGAAACACCTTAAAAGAATTAAATGACTTAGTTCGATAATGTTATATGCCAAGGCGTGTATACTATAAGCTCTAAACATAATGGAGATTTTATATATTATATATGCAAATCTGCCATGTGACTGAGTTCTATGTTGAGAAGTTTCCTCAGACAAATCCATTCACTTAGTTAATGCCTTGAAATCTCTTCCGTTTCTTGAGAAAGCCATTCTGAGCTAGAAAAAGCATTGTCTTGCAGTTTTGTCTGGACAGCTGCTGGGAAGCAAGCTGATCTTGAGAAGCAAGTTGGAGTTGGTGGTTATGGCTATCCAGCGATGGTTGCTCTCAACGTGAAAAAAGGCGCATATGCTCCACTCCGTAGTGCTTTCCAGCTTGATGAAATAACGTAAGTTCCTTGTGCATAGAAAATTAATTGCTGCTTAAGGTTCATTTGCCAGATGTTTGATAACAAAACCGGTCTCCTGCAGTGAGTTTGTGAAGGAAGCAGGGCGCGGTGGGAAGGGTAATCTTCCTTTGGACGGTACCCCAACGATAGTCCAATCTGAACCATGGGACGGCAAAGATGGTGAGGTTATTGAAGAGGACGAATTCTCCCTTGAGGAGCTGATGGCCGACAACTCTCCAGTAAATGACGAGTTGTGATTCTGATAATTCCGGAAATGATGTTAGAGTTGATTAGCCAGACTGTAAATCTGAGTAACACTAATGCTTCACTCGTGTCAACTGTACAATTTGGGCGGGACAATTTTCAGAATGCTCCTTTGGTGTTATTACAGTACATTTTAGTTGAAGAAAAACATCGTTTGTGGTCTTTTAGGAGGGATGCTTTTCTCTGGGAAATAAAACTACTTCGTAATCTAGATATTTTGCCTCAACGTGTTTTCCTTCAAATAGAAATCTATGCTTTATGCTGTTGTCTGTTGACAAAACAAACTGGAGTAATTGTGGATTTGTGGATATGATCGGAAGTCAGAACCACAGACCGAGTCGTAACAGTGCCAACGATAGCAATGCGTTTTCTTATCCAAAGCAGCTCGCCGAAAGCAGCAGCCTGCAGTATTTCCTGTCTTTTCCAGCAAGCTTTTTACTGGAGCACATCAGCTGGCATGATCCATTGGAATTTTAGAAATCAAGAGGTCTCAGTCTAATGTGTTTCCGAGGACTTCACTGGCACTGGATGCAATTTTATCTTGCCACTAAAGACTTGTTCGTGAAAGTGACGAGTTTCAGTCCACTGGATTCTATTCCCTTGTTATTTATTTATTTATTTATTTATTTATTTATTGTGTGTGTAAATGTATGATTTGAGCGTGAAATTAGGGGTTGGGTTTGAAGCCAAGAAAATTTCTGTGGTTGCCTAAAAAACAATCTGAAGTTTATGCTAGATATGATTTGGGAGTCTATATATGTGCCAGACATATACTTGGAGGGTTTGTGCCATGTTCACTTCGGCCTTGTTTAGATCCAAAAAAGTTTAACTAAAAATATCACATCAAATGTTTTTAGCTAAATGTGGGGAAAAAACCAATTACACAGTTTCCATATAAATTGCGAGACGAATCTTTTGAGCCTAATTACGCTATAATTTGACAATGTGATGCTACAGTAAATATTTGCTAATGACGGATTAATTAGGCTTAATAAATTCGTCTCGCAGTTTATAGACGGAATCTGTAATTTATTTTGTTATTAGTCTACGTTTAATACTTCAAATATACGTCCGTATACTTCAAAAACTTTACACAAAAAACTAAACACACCCTTCATGTGTAATTTGCAGGTTTGCAGCCATCTTGGTTCCAAATTGACCTAATCTTTTTTTTCCGAAACAAGCCTGATTAAATATAAGAGCTGATTACAACCTTGTTTTGGAAAAAAAAATATTAGACCTATCAGGAAAGCGTTCGAGAAAAATAGACCTATCAGGAAAGAACAAAGATAATCCACATCGTTGAACACTGTAAAAATGTGAGCAGACGAGTATAACCACAACAATGACCAACTCCAACACAAGCAAAGGGATTCGGATCGTCTGACGTAGTCGAAGTTACGTCAGAGGGAAGTAGCAGCAAGATGGAGCGCACGATCTGCATCAGACGGCAATCAGTGAGTGTGAAAAAATGAACTGGCTCACACGGCCCATGACAACAAAATCCGGCCCACAGAAGCACAGTCAACAATCAAAGACCGACGATGCGACCTTCCTCCTCTCCTTTCTCGCCTTGCTCCATGGCCGCCGGCTGCTCGCTTCTGCTCGCAAGCTCGCCGCCTCCCTCGGCGCGGGTTCAGCTCGACCATAGATCTAGGGAAGCCTCTCCACCACCAGCCCACCACCCTCATCCCCATCTCTTGCCCGCGGCCTCCCCTGCACGAGAGTCACCCTGCTACCGGCGTGCCTCGACGACGACGGCGGCGGAGGCGGCGCCCTCGTCGAACTCTTCGGCCACATCCTCAGCAGAGCACTATCATGGGCCACACCACGACAGGAGGAAGGCACTGGCTGCTGCATTTTCTAGAGGAGGCTAATATCATCACCTCTGCCTTCTGAAGGAGGCTTACAGCAACTGCTCGAGAAGCTGAGAGGAGAATATAAATTGATATGGATTGTGATTGTAAATTGAATTAAGCCAAATATTTGAGACAGTTGTTGTTGCTGACAGTAGAATGTGCTGGTGTTGCTGAATTGAACATGTGAGAGTGAGGCTTAACATGTATACAGATTGTCCCAAAGGGTGAAAAAAGGCAAAAAGAACATGCATACTACCTTAATCTTGGCACTCTTTCTTGCATACCTGGAATCCTTCACCAGGATCTAACCAAAATAAAATCAACAGTAAACACAAAATAAGTTTTTCCTGAAATTTTTGCCCCAACTTCATCAGACTTGTACTAAGTGCAGCTAAACTTGGGTTATTCTCCACAGCACAACTTTATTCCCAAAATGGTACTTCAGTAAAAATATCATCATTAATAGGCCCCTGCAAATTAAAAGAAACTGTATTCTCCAAGCTTCTCCTGGTCCCTGGAAACACTATCCTCTACCATTTGTGCCATTGCACCAACATGGTCCGCATCTCCCCCATTATTTTGTTCCTTTCAAGAAAAGAGTATCAGAGGATCCATAAAACATAGTACTGAATAGTAACATAGTGTTGGAACTTTTTGTATAACATACCTTCGAACTTTTTCCCTTTTTCCCTTTCCCTTGTTGTCTGGTCCTAGTCCTACGCTTTTTATCAAGCCAATTTCTTGTTCGCTTTGAACTTCTAACACGAACCTCCGATCCTTTTTCTTTAGGTGTGCATTACTCAACAAATTGTTTGGGGGCGTAACCTCCGTGTGAGTTATACTTGGATCCGAGATACTAGCACATCCACTGAGTTGCTCTTCAATTTGCTTGCTAAGGTTGTCAAGGGCATTGTTTACTAACAAGGTGCACTCTGGATAGCTAGCAGCTTGTTGTGCCAAGTTGAGAAATTTGTGGGAGAGGAATTTATAGCGAAAGCAAGCATCCATCCTTGAGTTCTCAAATAGTTCTACCTTCTTGACCATATGCCATCTCCCTTTGGCGCTTGCTCCGCAAATAGTTCTTGTGATCACGAATGTTGTAGCTTAGATTATGTGATCCACCAACTTGTCGACTAGCCAACTCATATGCCGTCTTTGGCCCAATTCCAGAATCGTTTGCTGTTTCAATTTCAAAAGCTTGTAAATCTGAAATTTTCCTTTACGAGGCCATCAAGTGCAAGGTTTCATGCAAGTGCAAGGGGTGATTGTGTTCAAGAACCAACTCAGACACTTTATAGTTTCCCTTCTTTTTGTCCATTGCTACACTCATACGAACTTGACAATTAGTTTTGGTTTCAGCTCGAGGACACTTTGTTAGATGATCCCTTTTGTCATTTCCTCGATGACCCTCATTTCCACAAACAAACCTATATGATGTTACTTCACCATCTGATTTTCTTTGTGTACCTTTTTCTAACCTCAAAGCCTTTTTGACCTCCATATCTATGCCAAAACATCCCAGCCTCATCTGAACATTTGAATTCCATACCAACATGGGGGACCATACATGGCAGTAGCCTCTCTCTATATAGAAAAACATCATCATCAAGTATATGACTTGTGTACACACATAGTGAAAAGAATTTGCAAAGCGCATACACAAGATGACTGAAAAAAATTGCAAAGATAAGCATGAAGTTGTTTGACATACCTTTCTTCTTCCATCTCACAATTTTGACAGCAGAGATTTAAATGTATCTTCACTTAGATATTTCTTCCATGTGAAAAGAAGAAAGCTTGATCAAAGGAAACCTAATAACAAGAGGTTGATCAATTATAACAAGGCATTCAAGTGGGATACAGTAGAAGAGAGGCAACCAATTGAAACTTACTCACTATCGGAGTGCATCATCTGCATCGTCGCTGCGCCTTGGTTCATCGTCTGCATCGTCTAGCTCAGAGCAACAGCCGAAAGGGCGCCTTTTTTTCCCTCGTCTATTGTGTCGCGCCAATTTTTCCCTCCATATAACCAAGCAGTGACGGGAGCAGAATTAAATTTGAAAATATACTATTCATTCAATTTTTTGTTAGAAATATTCGGGATGCAAAATCTTTTGCACAAATATACCATCGGTCTCGCACGACCATTGCGCGAAAATGACATGAAGATGACGTCGCGACCGGTATCGCGCAGTGAAAGTGCGAGACCGCGCGGTCTTGCGTGGTTCCAGCACGAGACCACGCGGTCTCGCTCAAGGAAACAGCGATACCGAACAAGCAACCAACGCTATCGCTCAAGCAGAGAGCGATACCATGTCTTGCCGATTTAATTAGTGGTTAATTATCCTGATTAGAGATTAAATAACAATTAGTTAATCACTAATCATGATAATTAATCACTAGTTATTATTAGTTAATTGTTAATTAAGTAATTAATTACTAATCAAATGGATCCCATTTGACAGTGTCGCTAATTGCTTCTGCGAGACCGTTCGGTCTCGCTCTTTCTTTCCGCGAGACCGCACGGTCTCGCGCCGTTGTCGCGCGAGACCGTGCGGTCTCATGCTTTCACCGCGCGATACTGCCCGCGACGTAATCCCCACGTCATTTTCACGCAACGGAAGTGTGACAATGATGGTATATTTCTGCACAAGTTTTTGCATCCTGAATATTCCTGAGAAAAAATTGAATGAACAGTATATTTTTCAAATTTACGGCAGCCGTGGGCGAACGCGGCAATCGACAGCAAGGCTGTTCCTGGGCCATATTTTGTTGCGGTGGGCCAGGTGAGCCCATTCGTTGTAGCTAAGTTCACTGACGGCCGTCCGATGCAGATCGTGTGGTCCATCTCGCTGCTACTTCCCTCTGACGTAACTTCGACTACGTCAGACGATCCGAATCCCGAGCAAAGGTATTTGAACGAGCATCGGTCATCATTTTTGCTCCTTTTGATAGCTCCAAGCCGACATCACCAAACAAATTGATGACCCATGTTCTAAGCTGGCGTTGTTGGTTGGATCATCGGCAAGTCGACAAATAAGACTTCATAGATCTTCATCAAAACCACGCAATTGTAGGGGCCATCAACAAAGAGGTAAAGAAACAACTCTGGATAGTCCCATCTCTAAAAACAAACTAGGAGAATTCTAATCTACTATTTATTAGATGTCAAACTGCTCGAGACCTTATTCTAAATAAACCATTATCGAGAAAGAGGCATGTCTTCTCCCCTCTTGTCATTGGCGAGGACGTCGGAATAGAGGAAGGGACTGGAGGGGCATCGGCGATAACACGAATGGAGGACGCGCCATGGAACGACTTATGAGAAAGAGCAACTCTCTTAGTTTGGAATCTATCTAACCATAGTACGCTGGTTACTAGTCCACTAGTAAAAATGGTAAAAAAATCGTAAAGATCACAAAACGTAGGTACTTTGATTTATCTATAACAAAACTATAGGTTTAAGAAAATGTATCACAAAATTGTAGATTTAACAACACATTTTTTTCACAAAACTACATATTTACATCAATTCACAGAAGTACAACTTTTGTAATCTCAATAGTGTTATGGATATAAAGTCTAAAATATCTAGTTCTTTGATAACTTCATTACTAAATCTATAATTTCGTGATATGATGACTTAAATTTGTTGTTATGTGATACACATTTTTAAACCTATAGTTTTACAATAATTTGGTTAAAGTACGTATAGTTTTATCTAAATTACTCAAATCCGTATGATGCTAAATTGTAAAACTTGTGCTCGATGATGGTAAACCGGAGAGTACAATAAAACGCTTGCTAATTGTCTTCATCTAATTTTTTAAGCAAAAGAAAAAAAAACAAAGCTGACACTGAACTCGATCGTCAGTGGTCACGCATATTTGAACGCCACCACTGAACGCGGTACACCGGGCAAGCTAACAACAAACACCCCTTTTGGTTAGGACTCCCTCACTCTAAACTGCACCCTGGAGACTTGGCACGTAGCGCCGGCATCCACGCTACTACACTAGTCCACCCCCACCCACCCACCCACCACCACGCCACGCCACCACCTCGCTTGGCGCTTGCCAATCGAACGCCCCACCCGGCCACCCCTACCCGAAGCTCTCTGCTGCTGCCGCTGCCGCCGCGCCGCGCTTCCCATAAAAAAAAAAAACGCACGGAAACAGATAACAAAAGCGCGAGTCGGAGTCGCTGAACAGCACAGCGCAGCCGCAGCGGAAGACGGAACCCGCTCTTCCCCACCCAACCCAACCAGAACCTGCTCCGCATGGCACCGAAGCGCCCCGCCGAGGAGGCCGACGCGGCGGCGGCGGCGGCGGCGGCGGCGGGGGGATCGGCCTCCGAGGGCTCCGACGCGGAGGCGTCGGCGGAGGCGGCCCGCGGGCACGGGTCGTCGCCGTCCCCGTCCAAGACGCCGCCGCCCGCCAACCCTAACCCTAAGTCCGCCGCCGCGCCTCCCTCCGCGGTCGCCGCCCCCGCCTCCGCCGCCGGATCCGACTCCGGCGCCGCCTCCGACTCGCCCAGGGCCGCCGGCAACCCCAGCGGGCCGCGCTCCATCGAGGTCAACTCCGACTCCGAGGACTCCGCGCTGCCCCTGGCGTCCGACGCCTACGCCGACCAGGCCGCCGCCGCTGGCGCCGGCGCCGGCGCCGACTCCGACGACGGCAACACCTCGCCGCTCCCGCCCCCGCGCCCCTCCCGCGCCGAGGCCGCCGCCATCAAGCCCATCAGCTCCCGCCCCATGGACCCGCCGCCCCGCCGCTCCGCGGGCGGCTCCGAGCCGCGCGCCAAGCGCCCCCGCAGCGCCGCCGTGGCCTCCTCCGCGGAGCACTCGAAGCGCCCGTCGCGTGTCTGGAGCCAAGCCGACGAGCTCGTCATCCTCCGCGGCCTCATCACGTACCGCACCAAGCGTGGGGTGCTCCCTGGCTCAACGCAAGACATTGGAAAGCTCCACAGCTACATCCGTGGCCAGCTCAGTGCTAAGGTATCAACTACACAGCTCAGTGACAAGGTCCGGCGCCTCAAGCAGAAGTATCAGATGCTCGCAACACGCGCCAAGACTGGGAAGGAAGTATTCCCCACTCCGCATGACCACAATATCTACCAGCTTGCCAAGAAGGTCTGGGGGACAATGAGTACTGCTGGTGAGGGAGGAGGAAGTGGGTATGATAATGCTGATGCTGGTGAGAGCGAAGAGGAGCAATATGGCAGAGAGAGCGATGATGATATGGAGAGTGGGCGGGATAACCGTCACCGCAAGAATCAGAGATCAGTGCCAGTCACTATGGCAAATGGCAATGGGACTGGGATCGGTGCTGTGAATGCCATTGTGAGAGGGAGGAGTGAGTTTGAGAAAGGGAAGGATGTATATCCTTACCTGTGGGAAACAGTTGAGGAGCTGTCCAGCCAACATCCAACTGGAGCAGTGTTCAAGAAGGCGTTTGAGTTGCTTGAAGGATCGAAAGCACAGGTGATGGAGGAAAAGCTGCGGAAGTTCAGGCTGACTGAGATGAGACAGCAGTTGCGTCGGATGGACCTGATGAAGGACACACTGAGTATGGTGCTTGATGCCCTGGAGATGGCTGACTGAGTCCATGGGTGATATCTGGTGAGTAGTGCATTGTTAAAAGGGGGAAATTAGTGTCTTTTTCTTTTCTAGATAGAATCTCTGTGGTTAATTACTTACCTTTATGGACAAGGTTGCACATTCCTCAGTCAAAAGTTAGGGATAGAACAAGTTATGGTGTTCTCCTTGTTATTCTGAACCAATGTATTTTATGATGCTTAGGTGCTAACTTTGTGCTATATACTATAACATTTCTGTTGTTTGTTTAAATGTGCGCCAATGCATCTTTGTTAGTGTTTTTTTTCAATCTTTCTGTGTGTTAACCTTTTCAATCAAATCGGCTAACTGAATTATGATGTTATGTATCAGAAGCAGATGTTTGGTTCACACCTGCAAAAAGGTCATCTGTTACCGTGTGTTTTTTTCTTAATCGCAGTTAAAATATGTTTACCTTCTCTTTTGGTTTCTCAATCACATCAGCAAATTGGAGTAGCGTGTTTCGCAACCAAGACCAGATGTTAACACGGCATTAAGTTAAATAATACAGTATGTTTTTGTTTTCTTAATTACAACTAAATGCATGTACCTTTTTGTTATGTCTCTTCATTCAGCTTTTGACTTGCATTAATGGCAAAACCACTATTTGACTTGGTAGCGATTTTCTAGTACAATTGAAACTTCAACGAGTAGAAAAGGAGTACATATTATTAGTGGAGATATTACAAATTCCTTTCAAGTAATGGGCGAAGCCATATGCATTAAGCAGTTCAGAGGTACCTCAACAAATCAGAAGGACGGTGAATTACATCCTCTATCTTTACTTGATAACAAAAAATTGGTGTATGCTTTATCAACACATTATAGGGCTACCATGATTCAGACATGGTTTTGAGGGGGAGATATGATTTACCAAATGTGATGTCTCTATCATCATCTAAACTTATGATTTGTGTGAAGAGCATATATACCTCCCTGAGTTTAACTATCATTTTTAAGTTAACCTTGGAGAGAAACCTTGGTTTGATATTTATGCTGTAAACTTTGTCACTTGTCCAGACCAATAGTTTCCTGGACTGATGATTGTCAAGTTGTCCCATTTGGTTCCAGTGAGAGTATGACATGCGGCCGGCAGCCGTTGACATGCTTATGCAGTTGTGCAGGTATTGATATTATGATATATATGAACCTAGCTGGATCATCCTTAATGCTACAAGGCTATATCATTGGTGTTGCATGTGCGTACCAGTGAATATCTGAATTGATTTTGAACCGTATGTTTCTTTTAAAATCCCTTCTTTGCACGCGGAACTTCGTTTGCGCTAAATATTCTTCAGATCATGACGTGTCTGAGTGCATGACTAGTGTTTGCGTTTTTGCTCGAGCTCATATTCTTTAGCTTAGTTTCACTCCTTTGATTAGTTGAACCGTCATTTCACTCGTCTTACGGTTTGATCCCCTGAACTTTCATCATATTGACTGGAAGTTATGTTAGTCCTGACTTATAACTCCAAGCTTGCAATTGCCATTGGCGCCACACTGCACAGCGACAGGACGATTCTGATAGTGATCCGAACGTTGGGAGGATCAACGAAGTTTAGGTCTCCTCTTGGAACGCAGGAGTTTTACAGGATTTTCGTATGAAACGATTCATTTCCTCCAAAGTTCCTCTAAACTCTAAAGGCCTTGCCATTTACGTGAACTGGTGCGTCGAAATTCGAAGTGCAAGTGTTGCTTGACTGCCTGTAGAACTGCACAGCGACCATCTGATGGAACTATTTCAGATCAGAAAGCATATTCTTCGTGCTAATCTAAACCATCTCGACAAACCGATCGGAGAGACCAGTACAATAATTATCTGTCCCGAATAATTATTTGCCACGCGTAGCTTGGCGGTGAGGCCTTTAAGCAAATTTCATCTTCAGTATACACCAATCTGTCACGCGACATAAACAACAAACATATATGGGTACCTTCTGAGGAGGTAGGAACAATAAAACATACAGGAGCAAGTGAACTCTGCATTTCCGAATAGAATGTAATGTCAATACAGTGCAAAAGGGATGCACAGGATCAATTCATCACACGACACAAAGGGGGGACTACAATGAGATAGTATCAACAAAAGCCTTCAACGCCATTCCACATTCCACCCACAATTTGACCAGGTTTCTTGAATTCATGGCAGCATAGGATAGGATCTGTTTCTTCTGAAGATGGTGACAAATATTCCCTCAAGAACAGAAAACTAAAAAAGCTATATCTTTCTGTGTCAGGTCACACATGATGGATCAGCATGGCTCAAATCACTGACCCCATTGCGAGAACAGCATAAGATATTCTCACATTTCAGTGAGGTTGAGATCATGGATCAGCCAAGTTCATTTCATTGATTTGCATAGCTCCATGAGGACCTTCGTGCCAAACAGATGCCATCAACTCCTCAAACTGCAACATAACATACAAAACCCTCCGCACCATTGGTGAACTCGTTGCACAGATCATATCTTGCAGTGAACTCCGGAATAAAAGTCGCCTCCATCTGTAAGTATGTACAGGGTCCACAGAATGAGGCTTCACTGAAGGATGCTTCTTTCTTACATGCTTGCAGAGCTCTCCATAACTACCCATGTATGAGCAACCATCTTGCATACAGCTCCTCTTGTTTTGGTTCAACTGTTCCCGAGCAGGTTCAACCAATGTATATCCCTTAACCTCACCACGGCAAAGGGGGCATGTAAGCTCTATGGAGTCTAGGTCCTCACAATCTTTTGAGCTTCTCCGCGAATCTATGAGTTGATCAAGACAGTTTGAATGGTGGTAATTGGTTGCACATATATATGGACGACAACCTTTATCATGAGACGAACAAAGTAGAAGGACAGCATTATGTGGGCATTCCAAGCAAACTGGACAGATTGAATCTTTCCACGCACATTTCTCTGTTGCTGCCAATTCCTTGTTAGCAACTCTCTTGAAATTGCATTGGCTGAAGAGCCTCCGATTATGTGATCTGAGCTGACGAGATGAACATTTCTTGCCCCTTATACTTTTAGTCATCTTGGTAATAGCTGCAAGATGCATACATTCAGAATATAAGATTTTGAGTCCGTCAAAAGATAATTACATAATTTCATACTGTCCACATCACAGAATTAAAAAAACAAAAGGGGCTTATCTAACTGTATATTGATCTGAAGTTGGTCCGGAGGGGGTCAATACATTTGTATCCATTAGCCGACTCTACTTCAGATAATTTCCTTGTTCACTCTCCTTATCTCTAAAAATGAATACATTATAAGCCTGCTCGACGGTCAAAAGATAACAAATCACATGCTTGATGTCAACTGCTGCTACAGTTTTATCAGTGTGCATTGGAAACAATGCAGTCTGATTCTAGCTAATCGACCCATCACATAAATCATGCGTTCAATATTCACTCATTGACAAATTCATCATATGGTGATGACAAATTCTATGGGAACAAAAGTTACTGCTAAACTTTGAACCTTTGATTTAATTTAGCACAATTCCTACTGGACACCAGATGGAAACAGTCAGATCAAACAGACAACTGGACATAATATCAGAGATAATTGATCTGTTTATGCCAGAGATACATGGTTTTCTTTTTCAACCACAAAGATTAAAAAAAACAAATTATGATGATCCTAATGGCAAAGAAAATGGATAGCTTTGATGCTTGTCATTGGTACTGCAAAACAAGTGGTATTTCAACAGCCAGACCAATTATAAGATGTGGGCAAACCCTCCCATCAAGAGATAACGGTATGTCCGAAATCATAGGGCCTGTTCAGTTTGTAGCCAAAATAAACCTTACCAAGTTTTAGCAATTCCAAAATTTTGGCAAGATGGCAATATTGCCAAAATAAATTTTAGCAGGATTTCTTATGTATTGACCAAATTTGGCAACAAACTAAACGTAGACATTTTTTGGCAACTTTGCCAAAAAAAAATGGTATGGTTGAAAATGACATCAAAATAAACAGGCCCATATATGCACAGAAAACACTGATGGTGATGTAAAGTTGCCAGCAACCAGAACTTCTAGAAAATTCTTCAGCATAATTGCAGATTTGCAATACCATGACTTCACTAAAAAAATCTGCACTATCATCAACATTGCCAGAAATACAGAAACATAGCAATCAAGGTTCTAAATACCAACTGGCAGGCATATAGCATCTAGATACAAGAAGCAATGAAATATTAAGTCTATCAGTCCATCAATCCTAACTTTGATTGGAAGGGTGTGTATCAACAAGATAGTTCATTCAATTGAACTCATAACCCGTGACATGTAAGTTTTTATGAACAGTTTACAAACGTTTGCACACAACAAGATCATTTTCTGTCAAAAAATATATGTCCAAAAATTTTCCAAATCTTTACCTTTGCACTAACAGAGCACGACCTATAATAATTTTGGTACAGGGAACGTCACGTGGTAAAACTTGGGCGTGCCATTGCCATCAGGGGCATAACCGAATTCCAAAACCTAAATTTGAGGAGAGACTACCCCACATACGGCTCCCGGCACCTCCACGAAGCATCAAGTGCACAGTTCCCAGATCAAGAAGTCTAATCAAGAACCTAAAAAGCAAAAGAAACAACCCACACAAGCAAATCCGCCCGGAACACGGGAAGGCGGCGCGGGGGGGATACTACCAGCTCGAGAGGGGCTCGATTTGAACAGCAGAGATCGAAAGAGACTCACCACCGCGGGGCCCCGTTTCCCCCCGAGGTAGGGAGGAGACGGGGGAGGGGAGGCTGCACCGCCTGCACGGGCGGCCGGAGGAGGGCGAAGCGGCGGAGACGAGAGGTTGGTTGCTGGGGTTTTAGGGCGCGCGCGGCGGTGGCGTTTTGAGACGCCTCCCCGTTCTCTCTCCTCTCCTCGTCCCCCCGGCTGCTGCGAAGTCGCCGGATTTTGGGTTGGTGGTTCGCCGCTCGTGGCGACGTGGGCGGGTAAACCGGCCCAGTAAATGATGGGCCGGAGCAGGCCGAGCACACAGCGGCCCATGCATGGTTCACACTTCACCCCCAAAAGGCCCATGTATTTTGGAACGGGGCAACCGAGCATACAACGGCCATGTACGGCTCACACTTCGTGCATGTTCACTTTGATGCTATTTTTAATCTTACCAAATTTTGGTAATGTCAAAAATGCGAAAATTTTGGCAACTTATTAAAATTTTGGCAGGATTTTCTATATAGTTACCAAAATTTTGTAGCAAACTAAATGTAGCCACTTTTTTTTTGCCAACTTTACCAAAATTTGATAAGGTTAAAAATGACATCAAAGTGAACAGGACCGAACTTTCTTTATGCAATCAATATACCTAATTATATGTATTGCTAAACAGATCTTTATCTATGTGATATTTTTCTGAGACACATGTTTACATAGCATTCAAATCAACAACAAAATCAGCAAGATTATCCTTGTCAAGTGATTTTGGTCTTGATCGCATGCACCAAATAAGTTCGTGCACCAAAATAAATATTTTATAAGTTTATGCACTAGATTGCACACATCTGACAAGTTTATATACCGCTATTACAATTTACTCACAAGTGTACTAGTACTATATTTCTAATTTTTTTTAATCCAACCACTCATCATTTTAATTTCTTTCTATCTTAGTACCAATCATCCCCGCCGTTCCAACCATCGCTCATTTAATAAATGGCATTTAAGTTATTTTTCTGCTCCGGTAATTTGCCTTTAAAATAGTGGAAGTGCAGTACTTATGGAAGTGCAGTACTTAATTAGGAACGAATGTAGTATAAATGTTATACTGTCATTTGGAATGCAGGGGTAAGGATATCTTCTCCATACTCTTCTTTGTTTGTCTATTCATGTACTAAGTTTTTGAGGCAGTTTATTCCTGTGCTTCATACGCCATATAAAATGTAAACTTAATTTTTGTTTTGTCTATTTTCTCCATCTGTTTTATGTTTATGTTGCTATTAGCATTTTTCTTTCTCGTTCAACTTTAGTTGAACTCTGCAAGTGCATCATGCATCATCACATAAGAGCAAGTTTAATAGTATAGCCCACTACTAGCTCTAATTCATTTATAGCTAATCTAATAGACAATTCATACCATAGTTGCTTACTATACTATTAATATATGGTCTCACATGTCATACACATATTGCATTTTGGAGTCTGTACTGCAGCTGGCTACCGATCTGTAGCCTGCTACTCTTCTCTCTCATCTTTTATCTCATTTAAATATGTTTATAGCTGGCTAATACTCTACTATTGTACTTACTATTATACTTGCTCTAGACGGTTTAAACAAAATGAAGGGAAAAAAAAAGAAAGACCCATGCGGAACTACTCCAACCATCCCGTACTGTAGTCTTGAATGCGTAGTACATGGAGAGCTGTGATGCTCCCGTTTATCGAGATATCAGCTTTTGCTGCGTTCCTGTTCCTCTCCATCTCAATCACTACCGCATCATGACTCCATAATTGCTGCAACCAATGAGGTTCAACCACGTCAAAGATAATGGCAGGGCCTCCAGCTCGGTCCATTCACAGCCTGGCTGAGCAGGACACAAATGACTGCTCACATGGGCGTACCTCTGGCTCTGGACAAATTCAATTTTGTAAAATGAGGCATTTTGGTAAAATTAAAATTTAAACATTTAGAACAAAAAAAAAGCTAGTAGATATGTTGGTGAGTTGTCAGCGTGTGCAACAAAGTGCCACCCCATTCACCATGGTGTGACAAAAAAAAAAAAAACCCTTGCCACGTCTCCAAAATTTTGGTGTGACCAAAATTCATTTTCCTACTACCATCAAATGAAAGTTTGTAAAGGGAAACCTAAATATATATTGCTACCTAAATGCTTCAAATATTATTAATTCTATTGGCATTATAAATTGATGGAAGTTTTAAGGGTTTTTATAAACTTTATAGCCACACTTGCTACTTCCTCCATTCCATATTAAGTTAATCTAGTACGAGATCTGACATATCCTGTCTAGATTTGTGGTAATATGCAACGTCACATCTCGTACTATATTAACTTAATACGAGTCGAAGGAAGTAGATCTTAGACAAATAGCTTCGGCTAAGGCATGTTTTTTTTAAGACCGGATGCGGATGAAACCTGATAGATGATTGATTTGTTTATAAGAAAGAGTTAATCAAAATACTACTACCACCGTACCAAAATATAAAAGATTTCAGTTAGATGTGACACATTCGAGTGCTACGGATCTAGACTAGGAGCTTGTCCAGATTCGTAGTACTGAATGTCTCAACTTGCCAGACTTTGTTGCTTAAGTAGTACTCCCTCCGTTTCAAAATGTTTGACACCGTTGACTTTTTAGCACATGTTTGACCATTCGTCTTATTCAAAAAAAATTGTGAAATATGTAAAACCATATTTGTACATGAAAGTATATTTAACAATGAATCAAATAATATGAAAATAATAAATAATTTCTTAAATTTTTTGAATAAGACGAATGGTCAAACACGTACTAAAAAGTAAACGGTGTCAAACATTTTGAAACGGAGGGAGTATGCCATTTTTAGGGCTCGGAAATCATACATACACATGTTTAGCAAAAATTTGTACTCACTCCCTATCAAAATATAGTAACTTCTAGCATTTAAACTGCATGCTTGAATATAGCAACTTCTCCATTTACTTCCTCGTCTCAGCAAATGGCAATGATCTCTCATTTAATTTTGCAAACTACTTCCTAGTAGTATCAACCAACAACCATTCCAATTTAATTTCACCTCTCTCCCTAATCTTTGAAAAAGCTCGATAAGTGATTATATTTTGGGATGGAGGGAATAACTATGCAGATACAAATTGGGCTTAGTTTTTGTGCCAACCGGTGAATGTATGGCACTAATCAAAATGTTTGTCATATAACCATGTTCCAAATGGATTATTGGACTAAGATTATTTATGCCACGCTTCTAATAAAATGATTAATTTGAACCACTTTTTCTAAGCTATTTGTTATGTTTATAATCCTCCGTTCCAAAATATAAGGGATTCGGGTTGGATGTGGCACATTCAATCTATAATTTTCTGAATTTCCAAAAGAATCAATCGTTTCTAGCTAAGTTGCTCCATCCAAATAATCCTCCTCTCCTCTCCTATTTTGCCTAGGCATCCAACCAACCAAACAGGTCCATATCTAGTATTTGTGACAGGGACAATTACGAAGATGGCCAAAAACCCCACATATTTGTGACTCGAGTGTAATGCTATCACCAGCTCCCCCCTCTGCACTCCACACATGACTGAGTCTGAAGGTATGAACATACAATGTCCTCCTCCCTCTCATACGCTGTACCAGTACACCACAGGTCATAAAAGTCCCATTTGCAGCAGCCATCAGAGCAGCTCGTGCCCAATGGTAATTGGTAAGCTAGCCCCTCAATAAATGGCAATTCAGCTCGCGCGGCCCATCCCAAGGAGCTGCGCCAACTGCCCTCCTCTCCCTCTTCAAAAACACCAGCGCTCTACTGCACTGATGGCTCGATCAGTAGCTACCTCTCTTGGCGTGTCTTCTTCTTCTTCTTCCTCTTCCCCACTGTCCATGGTGGACTCCATCTTGGCATCTCTGAATCAGTTTGATTTTGATAGGAGTTCTTGTTTTGGAGTGCATGGCATGTCCAGGCTGAAGTTAGGTTAAGGGGATTGTTGTCTGGTTCAAGGTCTCCACATTGTGCAAAATGTTCATTCATGGAGGCACAGGATGCTTGGTGATCTCGGACCAGGCTTCAATCCCTTTAACCAGCATCTGCACAATATGTCTCTCATCCGAGTGTGGTGCACTGGTATGTTATATGTTTATCACCTCCAGTTCTTGTTCTTGTGTATTAAGTATTAACCCGGAAATTTTCATTTGCTTTTAGCTGTAACTGGAGTAGCTCTTGCTTTGTTTTATCAGCATATGAACAAGCAAAGTTTAACAAAGATCTAGGTTTGCTCATCAAGAATCCAAGGTTTTGGTTCTATCTAGAAGGAAACCCTGGATAGCTAAGGACCAGTTACTCTATATAGTGTATATGTGTTTTTGTAGACAGTGAGCAGTGTATATGTGTGTCAGGCATGCTGCTCATGCGGGGAAACGCATGCTGCGAGCTTCTCATTTTCTCAGTTCTCACTGACTCTGAATCAACTGCTACCCTGCAGTTTTATGCACCTCAACACCTTGCATTTCTGCATTGGCATCAAATCTCGATCTCATCAAGTTCTTAACTATGTTTACATGAAAATGATATCACACCCATGCATTGCACGGATTTAATTGCTGCAGGTGTTCTTCTCTGAAAACTTATATCAACAGCCATGCATGCAGATCTTGGAGATGAAATTCAGAAACTGTACGTGCATGCATATTGTGATTTGTGAAGCACTGCATCGTGGTACTATGCTAGTACTGTACGTAGCAATAATGCTAGTATTCACTGGGTTCAGGGTGGTAGTAAACGTGAGCACTGTCACTCTGACAGTCAGAACAAGGGGAGGACCGGAGGACATGAACGTAACTGCCGACGCATTTAAGCAGGGACACGGCTATAGCTAGCCTCATTACTTCGCTCACGCAGCAGCTGTGAATTGATCGACGATGCCATTTACACGGCGAAAAACTACTACCACAAGTTGCACCACTTCAAGGCGCCAGATCGTTTTCTCTCTGGGATTTATGTTCCATGTGTGTTCTTCTGCAGACTGCAGTTTACTAGTGCGCTGCATACTGACATTGCATTTTCAGAAAAATCTTCAGATATGTAATTGCAGCAGTACTACTAATCATATGTTGTCTTGATCGAGTACAATGATGAACATTGGTACGTCAAATGTCGATGCCTATGATGGTTTCAGAAGGATGCATGCTAGCTTAGCGCCTCCACTTGAGGTAGAATCCAAGGTTCATGTCGTTGATGAGATCAATTTGGTGTACAGTATGCAGACTTGGAGCAATCGATGACTCTGTTCGTGAAACTGACGAGCACATGCGTTGACATTGATCGATGCTTTGGTAATCTCTGGAAGACAGAAAGATCAACGCAATGATCATCACTAGTTGTCCTTGTCGACCCCAAATTTCTGCCTAGCTAGATAACTCAAACCAATTAATGTTCCTAAATCTTAATTCAACAACATCACCATCAAATTGCAGCAGATATTGTGTCCTGTAATTTCCTGCGTGATAAGAACTGGAAAAAATAAGACTGGATCACTCTGGGAATACGTTAATTGAAGATTATAACTGACCGGCTGACGAGAATGATGCTAGCTTGTAGATTCATGCCTAACTAGCTAGACAACTAGACAAGCCACATGTTTTTGTCGTTTTTAGGATGAAATACATACTACTATTATACAGTGGTTTTCGAGGTTAATGCTTGTGTTAACATTGTAAACACGCACACGTCAACTGAGCATCAGAGAAGGGGAGTCAACTGGGCTCCCTGTCGTCCTCGCGCGGGCAACCGGGGGTGAACCCTAGCACCGCCGCCACACCCCTCCTCTCTCTGGCCTCGCCGCCGTCGGAGCACGTCGCCGGAAAACGTGCGGCCGCTGGGATGGCGGCGGCGAGGCTCCAACCCAGGCGGCGCGGAGCTTCGGGAAGGCCGCGGCGGCGGTGTGGCGAAGAGCAGCGGATCCGGCGCCGCCACCACCGGATCCGGCGCCCAGCATCGGCCACGAGGCGAGTGGCGGCTGGATCCGACGTCTCCGCTGCCGGATCTGAGCCGTGGTGGTGCGGGAGCACGGCAGATGCGGCGACGCCGATGGCGCGACGGCCGTGGCTGGTCAGCAGTGGTGCGGAAGCGTGGCGTCGGCGGGGAGACGCGGCATCGGCGGCAAGCGCTACGGCTGGGGGAGCGGGCGGCCGCAGCAGGCGCAGTGGCGCGACGGCCGTGGCTGGCCGGTGGGCAGCTGTGGCTGGCAGCGCGACACGACGGCCGTGGCTGGCTGGCAACGGCAAGGCCGCCACGGCGGAGATAGTGCCGGCGAGCTGGCGGCTGGTGACGGGGTTGAGCTGGGCGGCGGTGGTTCTGGTGGTGGTGGTGACGGCGTCATGGTGGTTCAAGGCGGCGGGGATGGCGTCGGCCGAGGGCGCGAAGGCGGCGGTATTGGTCCCTGCGCGGCGACGGCGGCGGTGCCCCCAGATCCGCGCCTCTCGGCCGGATTTGGAGGGTAGCCGGCTGTGGTGGTCGGAGACGTTGGCCGACTTGCGACGGCTGGCAACGGCAGTTGGCGACGGCGGCGGTGTGGCCGCGGCAGTTGGCAGCGACGGCGTCGGCCGACGACGCCGGCGAAGGACTTGGCGGCAGCATGGCGAATGGCGACAACGAAGCGGCTGCTGGCAGTGGCGGCGGCTCACGGAGGCGGTGGCTGGTGGCCGCGACAGCAGTCACCGGAGGCATGGCGGCCCTGGACGGCTAGCTGAGGGCGTGGGAGATGGCTGCATTTGGCCGACGCGGCATCGTTTGGTGGAAGGGTCGGAGACCGGCTTGGCGCAGAGAGGCGCAGCCGATGGCAGTGGAGGCCGGCTCGGCGCGAGAGGCGCGGGCGGCAGAGTTGGAGGCCGGCTTGGCGCAAGAGGTGCAGCCGATGGAGGGAGGCCGGATTGGCGCGAGAGGCGCGTCCGGTGGAGGCGGCCGGCTTAGCACGAGAGGCGCGGCTGGCGGTAGAGGAGGCGACCTAGGTGTGAGGAGGAGCTGCTGGTGGGTGTGGCGCGATCTTCGGCGCACGAAGGCTGGTCGGCAGGGGACGCCGGTGCAGGGGTCCCACATGTCGGCAGAGCTTGTGTGGTGGTGGAGCATCGGTGTGTCAGCCGTAGGTCTCACCCCTCAAGGGCGATTGCCGGGCGAAAGCCTAGTCTTGGCTCCTTTGAGTCCCGACGGACGGCAGTGGCGGTTTTTCCGTCGCTTCTCTTCTTGAAGACGTCGTTTTGGCATCCCCTAGGGAGCGATCTCAGCTGTGTCCCTTTGTTAGTCTAGTGGCGGCTGGTCACGCTTAGCGGCGGCCGGTCCGGTGCTAGCCTTCTCCTGGGCTTGTGTGTTGGCGATGTCGGTGTGTGGGTGGTGTTGTTTTTTTCTTTTTCCTGGTTACGACCCTCCAGGGTTATAATCTTGTAATTAGAACTTCGCACCGTCTCGTGCGAGTCGTTAAAAAAAAAGCATCAGAGAAGGGGAACTGGGGGCGTCTGGGCCAGCTCAGCGCGCGTCAAGGATGGCAAGATAAGCAACCCCCACGGCCCAAAACTCTTTGGGCCTCCGCACGTCATAACCTGTGCTCCAGTACAACACGGCCCAGAAAGCAACGGTTAGTCGGTTACTATCAGACTAGGAATAAGTCCACTTTGGCTCCCTTAAAAAGTAACCTGAATCTGATCCGTGACCCTCAATCGCAAAAACCGGATAGGACGACTCCCCGAACTATTCAAACCAGTGCAATTTGATCCCCCTCAGTGGTTTTGGAGGGCGGTTTTGCTGACGTGGCGTTGTTGGCTTCATCCCACATGACGTTTATGTGGCATTAGAAAATATTCGTAGGTCCCATATGTCATTTACTCGAAAAAAATGTGGGCCCACATGTCATCCTCTGTCTTTCTCTTCTTCCTCCTCCCTCCCTATCCCTTCTCTTTCTCCCCCCTTCTCTTCACCTTCTCTCTCGTGACGTAGTGGGAGGGCAAGGGCGCCATCGCGTCGGCGGCATCGATCTGGAGGCGGTCGACGGGGAGGGGCACCGCCGTCGTAGTAATAGCATCGTTTTAAAATTTCTGTAAAAGACACACTGTTTAATAGTTTGAAAAGCGTGTATGCATAATTGTCCATGCTGAGTTTGGCACTTCATGTTCCCAACTCACGTCTTTTGTTTTTTGCGCGCACTTTTTTCGAACTACTAAACAGTGTGTGTTTTTTGTAAAAATTTTCTATACAAAAGTTACTTTAAAAATTCATATTAATCTTTTTTTTTAAAAAAAGCTAATACTTAATTAATCATGTGCTAATAAACCACTCCGTTTTGCGTGCATGAAGGATTAGTTCCCATCCTACACTACCGAAGAAGTACTGACACATTGCCCCACTCACAGAACTTGTTCTGTAGTATTTTCTAATATTAAAATACCACTTATTTTAAAATGATGAAAGTACTCCATCCATCCCATAATACAAGAGATTATACAGTTTTTAACATAAATTAAGGAAGTAGCAACATATTTTTTTAAGATAATGGAATAAAATATTTCGGCCTTTGCTCAAACGAGTTACAGCCAATTATTACATAGTTCACACAATAACAAACTCACACAGTGAGTCTAGAACCACAGAATGAAAATTTTAAACAAGCACAAACTAATAGACACCAACAAGATAAAGATCACACAACTATTGAATTCTATTTGAGAACCTCCATCCGAAGTTGGGGAAGAGCTGCATAATCGTTGACTCAAGTTTAGGACATGCATCATTAATTAGGCTGATATCTTCTTTACACCTTTGTAATTGGGTCCAACACCAGAGCCAATACGTTGCCCTCAAAAGTACCTGTAAATAAGATTTTGATGGTGATTTATCAAAAACCATGTCATTCCTACTAAGCCAGAGAGCCCAACATAAAGCGGATGCTCCAACAAGAATAAGATTCTTAATTCTTTTATCAACACCAACAAGCCAATTCCCGAATATATGAGACATACTTTGTGGAGGATGTAAATCAAAAGAAATGTGTACATATCTCCAAAGAAATCTCAAAAAATGACATTCAATGAATAGATGGTAGATGGTTTCATTTTTCATAAAAAACAACATCTTAAACTATCATTCTAATTCCTTCACCAAATTATCCTTAGTTAACACAATTGTACCATAGGAGGATAAAATAATACAAATTGTGGTAGATAGGAGGATAAAATTGTACAAGATTTGATATATGTGGAATAAATTAGCAAAGAGTTGATAGGTGGAAGAATAAAGTAATACTCTCCTTGTCCCTAAATGTAAAGGATTTAGTACTATGATACATCACATCTAACCAAAATCTTTTATATTTATGGATGAGGGAGCAAAAAAATTGATGAATGGGAAAGGGATTGTGTTATCTTGGGATTCCAAATAGTAACTTATATTGCGGGACAAATTATAGAAACAAAATTTCTTAGGCCATCCACAGTCGGTGTCCCTGGGTCGTCCCCCCGCTCATGCCGTCCGCCGTCCGTCCGCGCGGCGTGTCTCTAGAGGGAGGTGCGACCCTCACGCGGGGAACGCGCCCCTCTAGCTCCCCAGCTCACTTTTTCCAGAGACACTCCCTCGAGGCTACGCGTTGTGGCGACCCGGTGCCCCATCTCCTACCTTCTCTCCTGGCGTTTCCCTTTCTTGCCCCTCACCGGCGGCATGGCAACGAGAGAGAGAGAAGAGAGAGGCGACGACGACGAGGATCCGCGACGGTGACGACCAGATCCGGCCACCGCCGCGGCAGCCGGCGGCCACCAACCGGCGACGGGCTCGGCTTCCGCGACGGAGAGGATGACGATGACCCGGCGACGACTGCACCCGCCACCTCGACGGCCGCGTCCGCCCACCAGATCTGCCCGCCTCGGTGCCGGATCCGCCGCCGCCGGCGCTGGAACCACTTCTGCGACGACGGTGGGACACGGCTGGTGGAGGCGGAGGGAAGAGGAAGGCGGCTGCTAGAGAGGGCGAGGAGGGAGGCGCGGCGGCGGCTGGGGAGGGCGAGGAGGGAAGCGGTGGCGGCGAGCGGCGGGGGAGAGAGGAGGGAGGTGGCGGCGGCAGGCTGGGAGGCGGGGGCGGCGAATGGTCGACGAGGAGGGCGAGAAGAAGAAGAAAGAAGACGTGAGAAGAGAGGGTGGAAGAAAAGAGAAGGAAAAAAGAAGAATGGGCTGGGAGGGTTATTTGGGGATTTTTCATCTGGGGTTACTTTGGGCCAAGATACCCATTGTGGGCTGTAGTATCTTCATCGGGTTGCTTCAGATTTTGAGGAGCCCATCCAGAGATACCTCCTATTGCGAGCTGAGTTTCCTACAAGTCTCCTCAGTTAGTGAGGACACTCTAGAAGTGTCTTACATTGTGGATGCCCTTATATTATACGAACGGAGGTAGGGGTACTAGTAGAGGAGTATGAATAGGACAATTTCTCCTAATCAGCACGCTCTTCAGGACAAAAAGGAAAAGACGCAACCGTACACTGCCAAGATGCCAAGCAACTCCGTTGATCTGATCAAAATCAGATTGGATCAGAATACAAACGGCACAAAACAAAATTCGAACGAACCAACACCAGCTTCTCGCAGATCTGGATCCTCTGCATTTGCAGTCTCGCAGATACTCGCAAGCACCCTCGTAAAAACCTCACCCTCCCGTACTCACACCTCATGTGATCCCAGGTCTGCAGTTCTGCACAGCCGAACACAAGATCCAAAACCCCCCGCACGCTTTCCAAAGCAAAGCACTCTCTCGACATCGCCCCACTCCAGGTCAACAGTCTCCACTCTCACTGGCTCGCAGTCGCACACACTCCCACGCCTCCGCGCTCCCGACCACCGTCGCCATCATCATGCCACCACCCTTGCTCCTCCTCCTCCTCCTCGCCGCCGCCGCCGCCGCCGTCGCGCCCGCGCGGTCCAAGTCGACGCTGGAGTCCTGCTCCTCTTCCACCGCCTGCCCAGCGCTGCTCTCCTACACGCTCTACGCCGACCTCAAGCTCGCCGAGCTGGCCGCGCTCTTCTCCGCCGACCCGCTCGCCATCCTCGCCGCCAACTCCATCGACTTCGCCGTCCCGGACCCCGCCGACCGCATCCTCCCCGCGGGGCTCCCGCTCCGCGTGCCCGTCCCCTGCGCCTGCTCCGACGGCATCCGCAGGGTCACCACCGTGCGCTACGTTGCGCGCCCGGGCGACACGCTCGCCTCCGTCGCCTCCTCCGTCTACGGCGGCCTCACCACCCCGGACTGGATCAGCGACTCCAACGGCATCCTCGGCGCCAAGCCCGACGCCGCCGTCGACGCCGGGACGACTCTGTTCGTGCCGCTGCACTGCGCCTGCTTCGGCGGCGTCGACAACGGCCTCCCCGCGGTGTACCTCACGTACGTCGCCGGGAAGGGGGACACCGTCGCCGCAGTCGCGCAGAGGTACCGGACCACGGCCACCGACCTCATGAGCGTCAACGACATGGCCACCCCCGAGCTCGCCGCCGGTGACATCATCGTCGTCCCGCTGCCAGGTGAGCCCTTTTCTAGCTTCAATTCATAGCTTCTTCTTGGATCTGGTAGTTTTTGGTTTTGTTGCTTTGTGCTACCGAGATGTATTGCGTGGTTCGTTGGTAATTAGATCCATGGCCATGGGTGGTTAACCGACAAATTTGGTTGGTAATTTTACTCCATACTCAGTAAGAAGTAGCAGTAGGAGTACTATACTGACAGTAATGTGATTAGTCTAGTGTGTCCTTGGTAATTTAGTGCAATGCAGTAACCGCACTGGCCACAAGCCTTGCTACTGCGAGCATGAGATTTACTCCGAATTCTGGATACGGGCATGTGCAGATTTGTAGTACTAGAATGCGTCTAATCCGATCCTAAGTTGCTATATTTTGGGACGGAGGGAGTATCTAGCTTTGATATCAGAAAGGCCATGTTTAGTTCCTATGCAAAAACTTTTTATCCTGTCATATCGAATATTTAGACATATACATGGAGAATTAAATATAGATAAAAAAACTAATTACACAGATTGCGTGTAATTGTGAGATGAATCTTTTAAGCCTAATTGCGCTATGATTTGATAATGTGGTGCTACAGTAAATATGTGCTAATGATGAATTAATTAGGCTTAATAAATTTGTCTCGCAGTTTACAGGCGGAATCTATAATTTATTTTTTTATTAGATTACGTTTAATACTTTAAGTCTATGTCCATATATCCGATGTAACACGCCAAAACTTTTCATCCTGTAACTAAACAGGGCCAAAATGCTTCAAGATTCGTGAGGTGAAACATGAGTGCCAGCAATGCAGCGCATCACTGCTTGTCTGCTCAAATTGTTTACTAGTGCCAGTTCGGATGCTCTGTTTGTGTATCTGCACGTACTGGCGCTCTCAGCTTTAAAATAAAAGGGTCCATGCATGAAACTTTACCTTTCCACTGCTCCTTTTGATCATTTGCTGTCAATTAAGCTGACACCCAAGAAAAGGAGATGAAAAAAAAGGTGTAGCATGCAGCACGATTGCACGACATAAATTTGACAATTAAGAATGTTCAACACAAACTTAGAGAGACTTTAATTTCACTATTGTGAGAAAGAAAGTGTTGTGTCGTTTTCTCTGTTGTGAATAGCTGAAAGGTCTTCTAGAGTTCTTAAGTGCGATCCATGTGTGATGCATTGAAAAAATTAACGATTTTCATTTGTGCACATAGATTCAGCACTGAAAAGCTGTGCTGTTTTCCTGTTTCCTAAAAGGAGGTTGGTAAACAAACTAAACACTCTGCTCTGAGTTTCTAGACCGAATTGTAGTTCCGATAATTTCTGAAGGGAAGTGGCCAAAAGTTTCAATCCCCTCCATACCCAGATGTTCTGTCAGATCACGGACAAACAGGATTCTATCATAATTAATCAGTGGCCACTACAATAGCCAGTACCTAGCTACAGTTAGTACATGATTGGTCCATTTCGTCCTCGTCGTCACTGTTATCCCTATACCGTTTTCTGCTTCATTTATCTCACATGCAATTAATCATGACGGAGTACCATTTTTTTTCTCTCGAACATGCAGCGTGCACATCATCATTCCCGGCGTTCACGGCGGACTACGGCCTGGCGGTGGCGAACGGGACCTACGCAGTTACTGCCAACCGGTGTGTCCAGTGCAGCTGTGGCCCAGGCAACTTGGAGTAGGCACCGATCGATTTCACCCTCCCATCTTCAATCTGCTCCAGATCTTACGCGAACCGAGAGATTTCTCTCCTGTTTCTGACGCTGCCGTTGCCCGTTGCTTTGCTTGCTTTTGCTCTGCTGTTGCAGCCTGTTCTGCGTGCCGGCGCCGCTCGCCGACTCGACGTGCTCCAGCATGCAGTGCGCCAACAGCAGCATGATGCTCGGCAACTTCACTCTCCTCATGACCAGCTCCGGCTGCAGCGTCACGTCCTGCAGCTACGGCGGATTCGTGAACGGCACAATTCTCACCACGTAATTGATCAGCTTTTTTTTTTTTGTGTGTGTGTGTGTCCCAAATCCATCTCGCATTTTGCTATTCAGAAACCGTTGTCTCACCGTAGCGATACATTTTGTGCATCTTTCAGGTTAACCACAGCACTCAAGCCTCAATGCCCAGGTATAAAATTCGTGCTCAATTATGTCTCAGTTCACCATTTCTGCCTTGAAAAACCGAGACTTTATGCAGCTCTTGCTTTTCGTGCAGGTCCGCATCAGTATCCTCCGCTGATTCCGCCGCCGACGTCGTCCTTCTTCGAGACGTACCTCGGCCCTTCGCCGACGCCGATGGCATCCGAAGGAGGCGTCATGGCCGGCATGGCGCCGACGAGCACCCCGGCGGCGAGCTCCGGCCCTCCTCCGGCCGGCCGGCACGTCGTCGGCGACGTTCTTGGGGCGTTCGCTCTCTGCCTCGTCGGCAACCTGCTGTGGTAACAGAGCGGCTCTCGCCGTTGATGCTACATAATTTTGTACAGAAGCTGTGGCCGGCTGTGTTTTTGTCGGGCAGCGTCGGGTTGTGCCCAATTTTTGTTGCGTTCATTCGATTTGTCTGCCACTCACTCCTGTGGAATGGCAAACACAATTACAGAAGCGCAGATCTCTCCAGCGCGGCTGTAATGGTCCTGAATTCCTGATGCTATTGAGAATGTGAGTACCGAGTAGTGTGCTTTTTATCGACGCTTTTTACTGTACCTTCTACTACTGATATGCTTTTTAGGGCACCCACAATGGTTATTTATAAACTCTCTACAGGAGATTCATATCAGCATATTTTTCTACTTGGAAGATATTAAATAAAGAGAGAGAGCAAAACTGTTTACTAACTTAGAGATAGTCTATAGAGAAAAACGAGGCAATACATGAGAGAGCTATAGATACCCATGTAGACATACTATTGAGGTGATTTACTATTAATCTAGTCTATTGCTGAGATGTACATGTTTTATAGAGAGCACCTTACTTTACTATTACGGGTGCTCTTATATGCGTTTCCCCAACGCTAATCATCAATCAATAACTCTCCTAACCCCACTGTTTTTCTCATTTTTTTAAATTCTTTTTAGGCTATCTTATATTGTTTTACACGTCGCTGCTAATCCCTCTTGCTCCTTGCGCGTAAGGGGGCAACCGCCCATAAGCGGTGCGCTGGTTGATCAAAATTTGGGGAAATTTTTTTAAAAGTAATATGATTTTAATGGAAAATCGCAAAACTATAGGTCAGTTAGTCGAAATCGCAAGTTTAGCACTCTATCGAACAACCGTGGTTCGACAAGGTACCTATCGAACAACCACAGTTCGATAGGGTACCTGTCGAACTGCGGTAGTTCAACAGGTGATTAAAAAAATTAAAAAAAGAGAAAAAACCGTGGTTCGACAAGGTACCTATCGAACAACCACAGTTCGATAGGGTACCTGTCGAACTGCGGTAGTTCAACAGGTGATTAAAAAAATTAAAAAAAGAGAAAAATCACTGTTGCACACTGTTCACAGTACCCTATCGAACTAAGGCAGTTCGATATGTGACTGCGAGCACTGTAGCATCACTGTAGCGCGCTGTTCACGCAACCCTATCGAACTTTGGCTGTTCGATATGTCCCTGCCTAGCATTGTAGTGATACTGTTCATGTAATTTTTTATTTGTTTTTGGACCACCTACCCTGTCGAACTGACGCAGTTCGACATGTACCTGTCGAACTGTGGTTGTTCGATAGGTATCCCTGTCGAACCGCGGTTGTTCGACAGGGTGCTAAACTTGCGATTTCGCCTAACTGACATATAGTTTTGCGATTTTTCATTAAAATCATATTGCTTTTAAAAAAAATTCAAATTTGGGCGCTGTGGTGGTGTGCATGCGTGCCGGTTACGTGGTGAAGGGGCTGCTGGCTAGATTGGATAAGGAGGGGAGGAGGGTGGAGGGGAGGGTGAAGGCAGTTTTGGAGGCGGCTCCGCCGGGAGGGGGGATGGCGGTGGCGGCGGCGGCCAGATGCGGAGCTCCGACGCGCGCCCGCCGCTCCAGACCTCGAGAGTTGCGGCGGCAGAGGTTGGATCCGCCGCCGCCGAACTCTGGAGCGGCGACGGCTTGCGGATCCGCCATCCCCGACCTCGGAAGCGGCAGGCGGTGGCGTTGGGAGTTAGCGGCAACGGTGGTCCTCGGATCCGGCGGCGCCACCCTCGGGAGAGCTGGCTCCACTGCCGTCGGGAATGGCTACGGATGCGGCGATGGGGACATCGGCGACTGCGGCCTGCTCGCGGATCCCGCCGCCTCTCCTCCCTCTCTCCTTCGTCTTCTTCGACCCCAGCGGCCGAAGGTCACGGGTCAGCGGATCCGTCAGCCGTTGATCCGGCCGCTGGCAACGACGACGACGACGGGAGCGGTGGCTGCGGCTGCGGCGAACTCCCGCCCTTGTCGTTGAATGCGCAGGCGGCGGGCAGCGACAGTCATCGGTGGTGAGCCGGGCGCCGACCAGGCTGGTAGCGGGGAGCAGGGGGTGGCGACTTAATGTCTGTATACTTGTTTCTATTTGTTCCTTCCCTTTGCATTATTATGATCTTTATTTCCATGATATTAATAGCTTAATTTCTGATGTATATGCAGTTGCACTGATTGGAGGGTCCCTTTTCTTTCTGCAACAGTTTGCTGGCATAAATGGCGTTCTGTACTTCTCATCATTAACATTCCATGATGTTGGTATTACCAGTGGTATCTTGGCAAGCTTATATGTTGGAATAACTAATTTTGCAGGTTTGTTAAACTTGTTTTATAATGCTCTACTTTGCGGTAACTATTCATAAGCTCATGGACCAAATTTCAGGGGCAATTGTTGCTTCAATTTTGATGGATAAGCAAGGTCGAAAGAAACTCTTGACAGGAAGCTATCTTGGAATGGTATATATTGCTTCTACCGATGCTTTTCAGGAAGTTTTAATATAATATTTTATAGTTGAGTAAATTCTGCATTGTTTTTCTTGTTTCGGAGGAGTTATGGCAAGTGTAAGCTATGATGAGTATATAATTTTTTATAGCATGATTACTGTTCTGGAAATATTGTTGTGATCTGCTGTAGTCCTTAAACAAAACCTGATGCAACTTTTCTACTTTTTGCAGGCACTTGCAATGTTCCTAATAGTATATGCTATTAGCTTCCCCCTTGATGAAGGAGTTAGCCATGGCCTGTCAATTACTGGAACTCTGTTGTATGTACTTCTGCATTACTTTCTTTTTCATATTCTTCATTCCACTTGCTATGATACAATGTTCCCTGGTAAAGTACTTGTAATTAGTATTTGAAAGAATTTTACTTGTTGAACATGATAGCTGTTTTTTTACAGAGGTTACTACAAAGGGTGTCCCTTTTTTGGAACCTTTGCTTTGAGGTCTATTTATGATTGCTGTGAATCAAAATCCTTGCTTGGAATATGGAAAATTCACGTGTTTAATTTCTCAGTTTGCCATTTACCTTGCATTGCTGATGGATAATTTAAGCCATTCACCTTTGCATTGCTGATGGACAATTTTAAGGATCCTTTTCTAGCATATTTATACTCTACTTCATGATCTGGCAACTGATCAGGTCTCACACATTTTGTGTTTATGGAACAGTTAATACTAACCGATTTTTTTTATCTCACTTATTTATTCATCTTTACATTTCCAGGTACATATTTACATTCGCCATTGGAGCCGGACCAGTTACAGGAATCATCATACCAGAGCTGAGTGGTGCTCGGACACGCTCGAAAGTTATGGGCTTCAGCTTCACTGTACATTGGGTATGCACTTTCCAACTGTATAAAATCGCCTTGTAACTCTCCTTGTGTAGTGTGTAGTTTGTATGTACTCTACATTGCCGCTTCAAGTCAAGATATGCAGTTTATTAGTCCTGTCTAATTCAATACTTATGGATTGGGTTGTTCATCAGATATGCAATTTTCTGGTGGGACTGTATTTCCTGGAGCTTGTGAAGAAGTTAGGCGTTGGAGCCGTCTATGCAGGTTTTGGTGGAGTATCCTTCTTGTCAGCACTTTTCGCCTACAATTTCATTGTCGAGACGAAAGGACGTTCTCTTGAGGAAATCGAAATGTCTCTGAGCCCTGCTGCCCCTGGCAAGCGAGAGTGAGACACATTCTTTCATTCACTTACGCAGATGGATCAAGCATTCAACCACTCCAAGGAGTTTTTTATCCATGGGGTACTGGAATTCCAGATTGTTGTTCTAATGATCCAACCTGCTTGTCAGTGCATATAGTGGTTATGTTATGTAGAAGTAGTAGCCATCCAGCAGATCCATGTTGTCACCTTACTTGTGTAGTTATATAACCATGTATATAATGGATCACATTACTGAAGAACACACACCTCAGGCTGTTAATAGGGCAAGCAGATGAAGTAACCATGCAAATAAAGAGTAGAGGAATTGCCATTGTTTTATGCCTTTCCACATTTTGTGCTTTAATTATATCTGCCTTGTTCCAAATTTGTTTTGGTGACAGTTTAAGCCTCTTTTGAGTGGTGGGCCGGTTTGAAAATCTTTTGAGTGGTGAGCCGGTTTGAAAATATAAACACGGTTTGCATTTGCATTACAAATGCATATTTCTCGATTTGAGAAAGTGCTGTCAAATCTCAATGCTTGCAAAAACTGAACTCTAATGTGATAAAAAGTCATTCACTTTTTTTTGTCGAGGTGTTCAAGGTAAGAATCTCTGAACATCAGATGTTCCCAAAGCTAAGCCATCAGTCAAACTGTGCATTGCCATGGCTTTCTACAGTCCACAATCAACTGTATTAGTTTTTTGAGTTCCATAAACCGATCAGCTGATCAGTTGCTGCTGATCTGGTGCAGGAGAAGACGACAAGGTAATATATAGATAATCGAGCTGCAGTGGAGTAGAGTTGTTTTAGAAAATGTTTCAAGGCATTATAAATTCAGTCTTGATAGTTCTTTCGAGATGGTGCTCTCTACTGACACTATTTTACTATCCTCGCTTTGGAAGTGATCTCGACCATTGATTTATAAGTTCTTGGGTGTAAAACTTATAAATCAATCTCAACCATTGACCATTCTTATTGTTGCCTCCTCTGTTGGCGTATTTGAGAAAATGATTATGCAGGATGTATGTGATCTGATGTTGCACGTGAAATTTGATGTTAAGCAAGAATTAGGATCCTTTGCAGTAACACAACAGAATTCGGCAGATTATGTAGTTGATCTTTCTTTATAGATAGGGACAACAGACAATGTAGCAGTTGTGATTGTTCCATTGGGATCTCATTATAGCTCTAAAGTTACACTAAAAGATTGGTATATATGCTTGAAGAAAATTTCAGGTCATCTATTTCACCATTACAAACCATTCCAAACCAACAGAAATCAGGTAGGTTTAATGTACAAAACTCAAAAAGTTCTTTTTATTGCAATCACTCGGCGATTTGTAGTCATGGCCACTTGGGCAATTTGTACATTATGTTTTGTTTAGAATATCGAGCTTTTCATTAGTTTTTGAGCAATAATAAATTACTCCAATAAATTTCTATTGTATTACATTATCTATTTGTTTCAAATACATCTTTAGAATTGAAAATTATTTTGTTTATATGGTAGTCATCCCCTACGTGTTTAGGGTTTGTTTTGATTAAGCTGTTAAACATCCTTGCGTGCGTTGCTGTGCGCGGCGTGGCGCCGCGCTTATACTTCTAGTTGGGCTAATTGGGCTAATAGATGCCATCAAGCTGTACTGCTTCCCCCACGCTAATTGGGCTAATAGAGGCCCCTTACGCCGCACTGCTTCCACCACGAGGAAAGAGGAGAGGATAAAGGATAAAGAAGTGGTGTCACTGACCTTTGGGTCTCACGTACATTTTATTTTGTTCATTTCTGATTGTAATGCCACTTAGATGCCGCATCAGATGAGGATTAGGTTAATGTGACATGTGGACAACCACTGTCAATACTGCTGAAGGAGTTGTTTTACACCGGTTTTACTAGTTGAATGGATCGGTATACCCGATTTTAAGGTTAAGTGAAACAAATCATATTCGACATATATTTGAGGAAGTCAAATTGTGCATTTTCCAATCTAAACACGAGTGTTCGGTGCATAGAGGCCCAAACGTAGCATTTTCATTATGCACATAGATGGCCAAATGAGCCGCCCGGCCTGTCACGGCTTGACCATGACCGGGCCCGAGCTGAGATCAGTCAGGCCGGCACGGCCCGACCTACACGCTGAGCTGGGCCATGCTCGCCCACGGGCTGCACCAATGGTCCAGGCACGACCCAATAAGACTCGGGCCGCCTCGAAGGAACGATAGTCCATCGTGCTTCTTCATGGAATAAGTCTATTTTGCTTCCTCAATCTCTTCGGGCCGTGTCTTATATGGCTAGAATAAGTCAATTTTGCATCCCTCTTCTCTTTAGGTCATGCCTTGTATGGCTGAATGAAGTCTATTTTGGATCCCTCAACTATTACTTCCCTGCTCATTGGACCGTGTTGTGCCGGGCTGGCCCACCGTGCCATGGCATCATCCCAGGCATGGCCCAATTGTCGAGCCGGGCCAACACGAGCCTGACACCAGTCGTGTCGTGCCATGCTTGGGCGGGCCAAATGGTCGTGCCATGGGCTGGGCCATCGAGCCTTGGGCTTTATGGCCATCTATAGACAATAGCAAAGAGACCGCTCATGAGCGCAGTCGCCCGGTTTCCGCTGCTACCATCTCCACTATGGATAGCCGCCAACACCTATAAAAATCAGTTGATCATCGAAAAACACCATTAATCGTTCAGGTTTGATGATGGTGCTAGCTCCGGCACTGACTATGGACACTCCTACATCCGCATCAGTAGAGCACGAATGTTGGAGCCTTTCCTGCTTGTGGCAAGCAGGGGGTCCTCACCGAGGCGCACATCAAGTTGGCGAGCTGCCTTGCCCATACTTAAGGATTCGGGTCCATAACCACGAGTACATGTCAAGTTGGCGAGCTGTCTTGCCCATACTTAAGGATTCGGGTCCATAACCACGAATTCCAGTGCACTAGATCTTGTAGCACTCTTGGGTCGCAGCATACGAGATGAGGAGAAGAAAACGGAAGAAATCTGCGCAGGGATCGGGACGGAGTCTCGTTAATTCGTGGGGTTCAAGTTGGCGCGTCTCCATTGGCGGAGCTAGGAATTTTATAAGGCCCGGGCAAACCTAACTAAAACTGTCAACTCGTATATGTAATGTATATACTCTCATTTGCTACTACTTGAAGACAAAACAATTTTACTAGTTCAATATGCGCGCACATTTTCATTAGTTGAAAAACAATACAATTTTATTATAATCGGACGAATTGGATGCATGGTGCTTAAGTGTGTCACATTAATCATTGTGAAACAGATAAGTTGGCAACTGGTAATTGGGCAACATATCCAATGCACACAGGCCCTCACGTGTACATACGTGCACACCAACTAAAAAATGTCACCAAAAAATCTAGAAAAAATCATACACATACTTTCAATTGTATTACACCTAGGGTTAAAATCTTAACGTCAAATTCATTATATTTTAGCCGTAACAAAAAAACAAAAAATCTGACAGTTTTAAGGTTGCAATTTTGTCAGAATTTTATCTTTTTTGTTATTCTGTATGTAGAATGAATTTGAAGATGCGACTTTGCACATAAATGTAATACTATTGAAAGTACATGTATAAATTTTCCTAGAATTTTTTGTGATAATTTTTAGTTGGTGTACACGGTGTGTACACGCGAGGGACTGTGTGTATAGGATACGCTCCCTGGTAATTGATGGTTAGTACATCCCAATTGAATGCTAATGGCTGAAAAGTCTGCTGCTTGTGCCAAGTCTTCTAATTAGAAATCTAATCTTCTTGCTTTGCTTGAAAAATCATTACATCGGTTGATTTTACTGCGGAGAAATCAAGCAACCTTTCCATGGTTTTTGCTCCCGCAGCCCGGGCCACTGCCCGCCCAAACCGGGCGGTGAATCCGCCGCTGCGCGTCTCCATCTCCTGACTCTGATGGAAGTATGGAACTGATCCCGGTGACGGCCGTTTCGTTGGCTGCTGCACATGGCCTCGCCTTGCTTACAAACCCTCCCGTTGTTTCAATCAACGTTCATTTCGAACTTTGTCGACCTACTGCTATTGGTACTTCTGCTGGCTGAACCGCTGAACTTGTGTACTACCTTCCTCCCTAAATGTTTGATGTTGGTTAGTTCGATTTTGAGCCTTCTTTAAACAACTTAAAACTCATCTAGACCTCGAGGAGAATGTGACATTTTTTTCACCTTATGATATATTAGAGTATAAACTTATAGGATGTAAATCTTTGGGTTATTAACCTTCTTGCGTTTGTTCGGTCGAATTATGACTTCTGAACTGAGATCCTTTTGTATCTGTTCCTTTGGTTCAGATTTCAGAGTAGTATGACTTGTAGGATCGCTACTGGATATAATTTTTTTTAGATAAATATGACAAGAACTTCGATAGGCGAAATAAGCACACGCTCGCGACACAGATCTCTAAATCTCCTACCCTAGCTTGCGTTGATTGGAAGGGACGGAGAGTTTGAATAATATTGCATCATTGCAAGCTCCCCTCGTTTCCATACCCAAATTCTCTGCTCCATGGCCAAACCACCATAATTTAGTACATGAGATGATGAGAATGAGGTGTATACACCCCATTAATCCAGCAGTTCGCTCAAGCACAAGCAAAGCCCTCATGTCTTCAGGGTCAGTGTCGAGTCCTACACTCGTGCATGGACACGGTATAAAACACAAACCCAAGAAGCCTTGTATCTCACTACATTCTACATCCCGTTCAAGGTAGTAGGGTAGTAGTAGCATTTGCTGCCGTGATACGCTCTCTGCTGCTCCAGAGAATGGCAAGCATGGCGGTGTTCTTGCTCGTCTTGCTGGCAGCGCTTGTTTCCGTGGATGTCGCCGCGGCGCATTCCGGTGGCGGCTTCGGCTTCAAGGCGACGCTTACCCACGTCGACGCGAACGCCGGGTACACGAAGGCGCAGCTGCTGTCCCGCGCCGTCGCGCGGAGCAGAGCCCGCGTGGCGGCGCTGCAGTCGCTGGCGACGGCGGCGGACGCGATCACCGCGGCACGCATCCTGCTGCGGTTCAGCGAGGGGGAGTACCTGATGGACGTGGGCATCGGCTCGCCGCCGCGGTACTTCTCGGCCATGATCGACACCGGCAGCGACCTCATCTGGACGCAGTGCGCGCCGTGCCTGCTCTGCGTGGAGCAGCCGACGCCCTACTTCGAGCCGGCGAAGTCGACGTCGTACGCGTCGCTGCCGTGCTCGTCCGCGATGTGCAACGCGCTCTACTCCCCGCTCTGCTTCCAGAACGCGTGCGTCTACCAGGCGTTCTACGGCGACAGCGCGTCGTCCGCGGGCGTCCTCGCCAACGAGACGTTCACGTTCGGCACCAACTCAACGCGTGTCGCCGTGCCGAGGGTCTCGTTCGGCTGCGGCAACATGAACGCCGGCACGCTCTTCAACGGCTCCGGCATGGTCGGCTTTGGCCGGGGCGCGCTGTCGCTGGTGAGCCAGCTCGGGTCGCCCAGGTTCTCCTACTGCCTCACCTCCTTCATGTCGCCGGCGACGAGCCGGCTCTACTTCGGCGCGTACGCCACGCTCAACAGCACCAACACGAGCAGCAGCGGGCCGGTGCAGTCCACGCCGTTCATCGTCAACCCAGCGCTGCCGACCATGTACTTCCTGAACATGACCGGCATCAGCGTCGCCGGCGACCTGCTGCCGATCGACCCGTCGGTGTTCGCCATCAACGAGACCGACGGCACGGGCGGGGTCATCATCGACTCCGGCACGACCGTCACGTTCCTGGCGCAGCCGGCGTACGCGATGGTGCAGGGGGCGTTCGTGGCGTGGGTCGGGCTGCCCAGGGCGAACGCCACGCCGTCGGACACCTTCGACACGTGCTTCAAGTGGCCGCCGCCGCCGCGCCGGATGGTGACGCTGCCGGAGATGGTGCTCCACTTCGACGGGGCGGACATGGAGCTGCCGCTGGAGAACTACATGGTGATGGACGGCGGCACCGGCAACCTGTGCCTGGCGATGCTGCCGTCGGACGACGGCTCCATCATCGGGAGCTTCCAGCACCAGAACTTCCACATGCTCTACGACCTCGAGAACAGCCTCCTCTCCTTCGTCCCTGCGCCGTGCAACCTCAGCTAGCTAGTCTCAAATTTCTTTGTGTCGATTTGGTTCATGATCTGTGTGTATCATGTAATGGAGGGTTTGGTTTATTAGGATGTTAATTTGGTTGTGTCCTCTCAGCCACAGTTGGATTAGTGGACTAATAATTAAGCAGCTCATTTGATTAGTGTGTGTATGTCTTCTCCATGAAATTTCATTGCATTAGACCATTAGGTATGTGTATGTACACTAAAAAAATCAACCATTAAGGAAAGGGTTTTCTATTGGTTTCTCATGTTCGAGATTCTGCGTTTCTCGAGGCCCAGCTAGCTCTCAGCTTAGTACTGTAATCCTTCAGTTTCGTTTTGATTTTTTTCTATTTAATTTTTATTAACTTAATTAAGTTTATACATATAAAAGTTTAGTAACATTTAATCACCAAATTAATTTCATTAAATAAAAAATAAATATATCATGATGATATATTTGTTTTGTGTAAAAAATTTCATTCTATTTTTTATAAATTTAATTAATTTTTTTTAAAAAATTAACTAGAAAAAAAGTTAAAACGTGGAGGGAGTATCTCACGAGAAAGAAAAAGCTAGCTCTCTAGTCCCACCTTTCAGCTACAAAGGCTAGGAAAAAGTACACCCAAGGTCTCTCAACTTGTCATCGAATTACAAAATCATCCTCCAACCATAAAACCGGATACAACACGTCCCCCAACTTATAAAACCGGTGCAAATTAGATCCCTAGATGGTTTTGACTCCGGTTTTATCCAACGTGGCAGCTGACTCAGCTTGGGACCCACATGTCAGCCCTTATTCCCTTCCCTTCTTCCTCTATCCTCTTCTTCTCTCTTCCTTTCTCCTTCTTCCCCTCCCCACGTAGGGCAGCTGGTCGGTGGGGGAGCGCGGGAGACCGGCGGCCGGCGACGGGCGATGGGCGACGAGGCGGCGGCGGCGGCGCTGCATGGCCTCCCGCGCCCGCCCTCCCACGCCGCCGTCGTCGAGGGAGGAGCTGGGCGCGGCCGTCGGGGGCGGAGCGGGGCTCGGCCGGCGGGGCGGAGCTGGGCACGGGCGGCAGCCGGCGGTGGAGGAGCTGGGCGGCGGCACCGTGGGAGGGCGGGCGCCCGATGGCCTTGATGACGTCCTCTGGCCGGCGGCATGCCCATCGGCGCCACCCTCGCAAATATGGTGGCCTTTGTCGACGACGACTTCGAAGTCTACACCGTACCCAGGCCCACTTCGACCTCCCGCTGCAGTCCACCACCTCGCCGTCGCTCGACGGCGACACCGACGACGAGTAAGACGATACGGCCGGCAGTGGCGCGTCCTGCTTTCCGGACCACCCCCTCCAGTTTAGGCGGCGGCGGCAACGCCTCTGCAATTCGTGGTCGAGCCAGTGACGGCGAGGTTGTGCTCGTCCGCCGCCCTCTTGTCTTCCCCTTTGGCTTCGACTCATGCGGCCCCGCCGACACCGACACGCATGACCTCATCGCTCGCCTCTTCGCCAAGGACCCCGCCGCCTGCCTCGGCTCCCCCGGCGGCGGCGGCGTGGGAGGGCGGGCGTGGGAGGCCATGCGGCGCTGCCGCCGCCTCGTCGCCCATCGCCCGTCGCTGGCCGCCGGGCTCCCGCACTCCCCCACCGGGCGGCTGCCCTGCGTGGGGAGGGGAAGGAGAGAGAGGAAGAGAGAAGAAGAGGAGAGAGGAAGAGAGGGGAGGGGAATAAGGGGCTGACATGTCCCACGCTGAGTCAGCTGCCACATTGGATAAAACCGGGGTCAAAACTGCTTAGGGATCTAATTTGCACCGGTTTTATAAGTTGAGGGATGCGTTGTATCCGGTTTTACGGTTGGAGAATGATTTTGTAATTCGATGACAAGTTGAGGGACCTTGGGTGTACTTTTTCCCAGAGGCTATTGTGCCAACATGCCGCTAGAGCCTCTAATCTTGATGGGCCTATATGGGCCGCAGTAGATGGGAGCCCAGGACTCACCGAAAATCTGTTTCGTAGCGGCCACGAACTCCAATTTCCATCGTGTGATTTATCTCCTTTTCTTTCGCCATTTTTTTTTGGGGTATTCGTAGCGGCTGCGTTTCCTCCTCCCTGTATAAAAGGCGGTGACCGCAGATGCATTCCATATCCACATTACCGCCTCCATTTTTGCACCGGCCGCCACTAATCTGCGGGAGAGAGCGTTCGTTCGTTCGCCGGCGAGAGGGAGAGTGGCAAGATGCAGATCTTCGTGAAGACGCTCACCGGGAAGACGATCACGCTGGAGGTGGAGAGCAGCGACACCATCGACAACGTCAAGGCCAAGATCCAGGACAAGGAAGGTATGCGCATTGGTCGCCATTTCTCCATCCGTTCAACTGTTGTTCTTCTTGTTGTTGCCATGTTATTGCTGATTGCTCCGTTGATCCGTACGTTCACACACCGTGCAGGTGCATATATCGCGTTTAGGCAACATATAGTGCTAGAAATCATGTCCTTTGCCCTGGTAGCGTGTAAACTGTAAGGTTTTCTCATTTTGTTTCGTGCAGTGCCCAAGTATATATATCGCACGTGAGTAGTAAGTGATAGATCGATCTGTTCATGTAGCGGTGTGTTTGTTACTGAGAAAATTAAGCAATATTATATAGCATTCTGGTTAGTCGTCTTCGTTGCGTGTTCCCTGTTGCCTTATTTAGGGCAGGTTTAGTTCCCAAACAAAATTTTTCACGCTGCTACATCGAATGTTTGGACACATGCATGCAGTATTACATGTAAAAAAATCAATTACACAGTTCGCCAGGAAATTGCAAGATGAATCTTTTAAGTCTAACTGCGCCATGATTTGACAATGTGGTGCTACAGTAAACATTTACTAATGACAGATTAATTAGGCTTAATAAATTCGTCTCGCAGTTTCCTGGCGGAATCTGTAATTTGATTTATTATTATACTACGTTTAATACTTTAAATGTGTGTCTGTATATCCGATGTGATATGCAGGGGCAAAAAAATTTTTTTTGCCAACTAATCAGGCCCTTAGTCGCTACTATTTATTTGAAACGGTGCAGATCAGCAGATCGGTCTTGTAACGGAAGAAACCAATGCTTTTCTGCACATCTAAACTGTATCTGGAGAGTTTTTTGTACTTTTGACAGTTCTAGTTTCTAGGATTATAATTGTATTACGCTTCGATTTCATGATCGCATTTTGTCTAAATTTAAAATTCTCATAACACCAAATCTGCCTGTTAGGTATCCCGCCGGACCAGCAGCGTCTCATCTTCGCGGGGAAGCAGCTCGAGGATGGCCGCACCCTGGCCGACTACAACATTCAGAAGGAGTCGACGCTTCACCTGGTGCTCCGCCTCCGCGGTGGCAGCAGGGGCGGCTACCCCAAGGGGATCGAGCCCAACCTCCGCGAGCTCGCGCAGAAGTACAACGAGAACAAGCTGGTTTGCCGCAGGTACATTTGCTTCGCGTCGCGCGCACTCGACCGATCGATTCATGTGCATTTACGCTTGAATCGAATGCTTTCATAAGATTGATCCTTGTGTGCTGAATCCGACGCACTGTCTTCTCCTGCAGGTGCTATGCACGCCTTCCCCTCAGGTCCACCAACTGCCGCAAGAAGAAGTGTGGCCACAGCAATGAGGTAAACCTTCATTTGCTAGGTTGCCACTTGCCATTGTTCATGTTCTTTGTTTTGATCTGCTGTTGATGACTTTATCTTATCAAGTCATATATCGGCACTTCTCACTGTGTGTTGGAATAGTTGTGATTGGCTTGATCAGTACGCTCTTGCGATGCTATGCTTTACTGTGCTCCAGTTGTGTTGCACACATCTGATGTTTCTTTTCTTCGTCTGATTTTTCAGATAAGGGCAAAGAAGAGGTTTATGTCCAAGCTTTCGAAGTGAACCACTGGAAAGCTCCGTCGTGGATCAGTTCAATCGACCGCCTTGCAGCTTTTATACCTTCTTATTAGTTACTTTGTCTCTTCATGGAGAGATGCTTATGAGATTTTGCTTTCAAGTTTCTGTTACTGGATTTTGGACAAATCTCTATGAATAAAGTTTTGGTATAAAATTTTATTTACTGCCCAGCTAAATTCTTTTGGGCTTATGTGAACGAGCATCCATACTTATCATGTTGAAAGTATGTATTCTTAAATTAACAATGGAATAACAATTAGTATAAGCACTTTCTATTTTATCAGACTAGATGAATGGCCAAAATTATTCATTCTCAAAGTAGGATCGGTTTGTGCATTGAGGAATGCACACCTAACTGGGCCGTCCTGTGCTCGTGCAACGCAAACCCTCAGGCTTCAGCCCATTATTCTCATTGTTCCTAGCACCTGAGGAGCCGCTGCCAATTTGGCCCGTCTAGCAGGCAAATAAACCTCCAAATGCCAATCCTAGTGTGTAAGCAAGGACAAATAATTTTCGAATTCCTTTTTTCGTACAAAGAAAAAGAAATTAATCAAACATCTACATCTGGTATATAGAGACTATGGTGGCGTTTGAATCTCCTGAAGATGAAAATAAAGATCAAGTGTTTCACGCAAAACGAGGTAATAATAACATGTGATTAATTGAGTTTTAATTATTACAAACTTGAAAAATGGATTAATCTGATATTTTAGAGCAACTTTTATATAGAAAATCTTCACACAAAACGTATCGTTTAGCAGTTTGAAAAGCGTGCCACGATAATCTAAAATTTCATCCTCTGCTACGAGCAGAAACGAACAGGGCTATGTACCTTATAAACTTGCATTAGGTCGTTAATTGGTGAACGGGATGTACTGAAACATGTAAGAGAAGTATCCGCTGGTGCCTGATCAGTTATTCAAAACTTCTTTTTTTTTGTTTCACCCATCTCAACAACACCAAGTGCCCACCCATTTTGCAAGTTACAGCCCTCTGTACTATCTGAAAGTTCTTTTGAACTGAAACTTCTGGACCTCTTAACCTGACGCTTGCTTGTGTCAAAGAGTCAAAGACCTTGCATGGATAGCTATTAAGCTCATAGCTGGTGGCCGGCCGGTGCCGTTCTTAACTTGTTAATCTCTCGTTGGTCGCCGCCGTGCACCCGAGTACCTCACTTGCGTCGTGACTAATCCTCCAAAAAATTGCATGCAGCAGAGCACATTCTTGGCCACGTTACATCAACATCACACCAAGCAACATTCCATTATGCAAAGGAAGGCATAATTCTGATGGCAAGCCTAGCCCAAGTAGTGGTGCAGATGAAATGGGACGGCATTTTTGAACTCGTACCCACATATGCTTTATGTCTAGTGCTCCAAATTCAGTAGTCTGCAAGCCAGGCATATCGTGATTAGATCAGAGAAACGTACAGTAGATGACCCCATTTAACCTGGACATGTCATCTCCAATCAATTTACTAGAGTCAACTGCATGCTCGGATGAAAAAAAAAATCCCCTTCGATTATTGTTACTTTTGTGTGTGTGCTGATGAAAGATTTAGATTAGGTCCGAATTAGATCCCCGGACATCACTCTTCAGAGCGTCTAGCTAGCTTCAGAATATATTTGGCCTTGCAGCAGGAATCCCAGCATTGCTCTTTTCACCGGGAGGCCTAAAATTTTGCAGGATTCGCCTCAGAATTCGGCGGTCACATCAAGAATTTCTAGCCGCGATCGCTGTGGCCTCGCCGGTGAGTTACAGGTCGCCAACACGGCGATGCCCCAAGAGCATTGGTGCGAAAGACTGCCGTGCAGAAAAGGAATTTTATAAAGCCTCATGGCCCCTTTTCCTTTCGCCGTTGCTTTCGTGCACAGCTTTCGCCCCCGATGCGTTCGCGACGGAACGGTGCAAGAATATTTCGAAGCCTTTTGTCAATGACAAAATCGTAGAATCTCTTTTGGTTCTATCTATCTATATATATAGGTCACTCGGTTGCACGAGCTGATTAACGGGGCGTTTTGGTTAGGAGATAATTAGACATGCGGGGGGTTTCGGTGGTGCTCGTGCTGATAGCTTGTTGGCTGTGTGGCTGTCCGGTGGCCGGCGAGGCAGCCTTCGCCGGCGACATCCGTGTCGACCTGACGCATGTCGACGCCGGGAAGGAGCTGCCGAAGCGCGAGCTGATCCGGCGAGCCATGCAGCGGAGCAAGGCGAGGGCGGCGGCGCTGTCCGTGGTGAGGAACGGCGGCGGGTTCTACGGCAGCATCGCGCAGGCGAGGGAGCGGGAGCGGGAGCCTGGCATGGCGGTGCGCGCGTCGGGCGACCTCGAGTACGTGCTCGACCTCGCCGTCGGCACGCCGCCGCAGCCCATCACGGCGCTGCTGGACACCGGCAGCGACCTCATCTGGACGCAGTGCGACACGTGCACGGCCTGCCTCCGGCAGCCCGACCCGCTCTTCTCCCCCCGGATGTCGTCGTCGTACGAGCCCATGCGGTGCGCCGGCCAGCTCTGCGGCGACATCCTGCACCACAGCTGCGTGAGGCCCGACACCTGCACCTACCGGTACAGCTACGGCGACGGCACGACGACGCTGGGGTACTATGCCACCGAGCGGTTCACCTTCGCGTCGTCGTCCGGCGAGACGCAGTCCGTGCCGCTCGGGTTCGGCTGCGGCACGATGAACGTCGGCAGCCTGAACAACGCCTCCGGGATCGTCGGCTTCGGCCGCGACCCGCTGTCGCTCGTGTCGCAGCTCTCCATCCGGCGATTCTCCTACTGCCTCACGCCGTACGCCAGCAGCAGGAAGAGCACCCTCCAGTTCGGGTCCCTCGCCGACGTCGGCCTCTACGACGACGCCACGGGCCCCGTCCAGACCACGCCGATCCTGCAGAGCGCCCAGAACCCGACCTTCTACTACGTCGCGTTCACCGGCGTCACGGTCGGCGCGAGGCGGCTGCGGATCCCGGCGTCGGCGTTCGCGCTGCGCCCCGACGGCTCCGGCGGGGTGATCATCGACTCCGGCACGGCGCTCACGCTGTTCCCGGTGGCGGTGCTCGCCGAGGTGGTGCGCGCCTTCCGGTCGCAGCTGAGGCTGCCGTTCGCCAACGGGAGCAGCCCCGACGACGGCGTGTGCTTCGCGGCGCCGGCCGTGGCGGCGGGCGGCGGGAGGATGGCGCGGCAGGTGGCGGTGCCGAGGATGGTGTTCCACTTCCAGGGCGCCGACCTCGACCTGCCGCGGGAGAACTACGTCCTGGAGGATCACCGGAGGGGGCACCTGTGCGTCCTCCTCGGCGACTCCGGCGACGACGGCGCGACGATCGGCAACTTCGTGCAGCAGGACATGCGCGTGGTGTACGACCTGGAGCGGGAGACGTTGTCGTTCGCCCCGGTGGAGTGCTGAGAGGGCACCACGTGTCAACTGAAAATCACTGTAGTTATTTTTTTTTCTTTCTACTCCTAGTTGACTCTTTTTCCTGGGCCGTACGATATGCAGACCGAATCGTGGAGCGGTACTGGTGTCCTATACGAACGACGAGCGAGCACACAACAATAAAGGTAGCCCCTTGAAAACACGTTTAATACAGGGGTTAATCATAAAATTTTAAACCCCAAAAATTTGAATTCAAATCATGGTTACTGGGTGAACCATCCGTTTCATATACTCGGCAATTTTAACTTTGATCTAGTTTGATCACTTCTATTTTATAAATAAACTGGAAATATTTAAAAATATATTATATTATTGGAGTATGATATATGATAAATATAAAAATATACACTACACCTTGTTAATTATAATCAAATGATTTAAATATAACATTGCTCAAACTAGAGCAAACGCAAGTTAAAATTATCAAATATTATGAAACGGAGAGAGAGTACTTGCTTGCTCGAATAATAGCTATTGTGATTACTCAATTTAATTTTCTTTGGGGTTTCACATCATTTGCCCACGACCTTTTATTGCCCAACGCTGAAGGAGAATATGAGTTTAGTTTTTGAAAATTTTAACGGGTTTTTAAATCTAGGCCTTTCATTTCTTTTTGCCAATAAACTACAATGATAATATCAACTCAAACTCGTAGTAGAATCAAGGGATAATTATTTCTACTAGTGATAGAATTTATATCGCTAGTAAAATTACTAGACCATCGTAAGATACAACTAATCCATAGTTAAATATATGACACTATTGATTTTATTTTTTTTTCAATTCTGAACACTATTTTTCTACTAGAATATATAATATACTAATAAAAATATAATTGGAAAAATATTTATAAAGAAAAATCTATCCATTTGATTTTTAAGTTTTCAAACTAAATATTTTGAGCTATTAATGGTCAAGTTTTTGACCAAATAAAATTAACTGCAACACATTTAAATATGAAGAGATTATGATTTTGATGTATGATTAGTCAGGCGGCTCAGGTCTCAGGCGAAGAACTTGGAACTCTGATGGAGACATGAAGCCCAAGGCTTAAAAAAAAAACATACAACTGACCAGAACGGTGTTAGGACATCACTCAAGTTTGTATTGCAAAAATCATAGTATGATTGTAGCATATATTTTCGCCAGACGATTGTAGCATATATTTTCGGTCTCCGCATGTACTTAAAATGGTCGCCACAAGAAGTTCAGATACGGACTAATCAGATTTCATACTAACGAATGAATTAATTTAATGTAACCATTTTTCTTTCTGTACTATGACAATCAACATGTGTACTAGCCACATTCCCCTGAAGAATGTATACCCACGTCTTCAATGTTCCATCCTAATAAAGAAAAAGGGAGGTGGTGTCTAAGTTCAGTTTATCGTTCTGCCAATTCCTTCATCAGGTGTATGTATATGTTTCTATCTCTTCTAATTCTTTTCCCACTGCGATTTGCAAAGCTCTGAACTTCAAGGAGACGGATACTGTCTGCACAAACGTATGATTATATGAACCCATCTCTTAGTCTGTGAAGCTGTGAAAGCTTGTTAGCATCTCGTCAGAATGAAGCGCTCCAAATTGCATCATCTCCTTCACTGCATCTCGAGTGCACATACTTCAACCTTTCAACTGGATTGCAGACCCCACTACACTTCCAGTCGAATGATGCAACACAAATATTTCCTGCTTGCGCTTTCCATTCGCAGTCTGCAAGTTTCACAAAGCACATATTAGCAATTAGTACCGTAGTGAATTAGTGATATTCAGAAACAGAGCAACTGAAGAAAACTGACCTGGTGGTGTTCCACAGCACATGTCTCTGTCGTCAATGTGCTCCACGTCTAAACCGATAAACCATGCGCCAAGTGAAACGTCTTCGTTTGCATATTTGTGCAATATAGGCCTGGGTTATATGGTGGGACACAAGAGTATCAGTAACAATTCAGTAAAATGAATATTTTGTCTGAAGAATCATGTGCAGCCATTCTCTAGGCTTACCGGTTGATCGAGATGTATGTGGCAAGGTCCTTTGAGATGGCATATATCTGCCCAGTGGCATGGCGGAAATACTTGTTCCCGTCTTCGCCAAACTTCCAGAACTCAGGCTCGTGGTATTTCACATTTCTGATAAAAAGATGCAGGGAAAAATGAATATTAGCATCTAGAGATTTCATACGATGGAGCTTCCAGAAGTAGTTTTATGTTGTTTCCAGAATATTTACTTGTCAGCAAGAACTGGTCCTGATTTCATGCACCCAATATAAACCCGGGGTTTCAATTTATGCCGACCAAGGGTTGTGATCAGCATTCCTGCATCACTCCCATCAGTTAATTACTGAATAACAAATCTCTCATCAAGGTCAAAGGCTAAATAATAAAGCTTACCAAGGTTGACATGAACATCATCATCCACCTTGACATAGAAATCAGCATCCCATAATGCCACAGCAGTGGAAAAGAATATCTTGGTCTTTGCAGATAGCTCGTGATACCCTTCAACATGGTCCTACATACATGTGTGGTTGCAGCAGAATAAACATTAGTATGGACTACAGCCCCAATCACAGTAAAACAGATTTTGGTTTAACAGAAATAGGTAAAGAATGATGTGCTTCTACTTTTGGTGGATGTCACCATACCAGCCTAAGAAAATCATGATGAGCGGCATCCTCTGCGTCTATTTCTTTATCAAGCACATTGTTTGACGTAGCACTGTAATACATAAAAAGTAGTTAGTATTAGTTGATGCATTCGTATTCATTATGCTGAGAAATAAGTAGTAAAATCCCATGAACCTCTAGCAAGAATTTTGAAATCAATTATGTGCAGTATGAGCTGTTGTATGCACATTTTGCATTTCCTAATAAACAATATAAGTTTTTAATGGTCCCTGTGAAATTTCAAATCCAGCCATTAGTTCACTGTTTGTTTATGAAGTTACTAGAGCTCAAAGCTACTCAATGAAAAATCTGTCTTTTCGAGTTTGAGCAAAATGACTAACTACAGTCTAATCTGGGAATCACAAGTCCAGTACTTTTTTTTTCGCCCCTAAAACGGAAAGGTTACTACAGAGATGTCTAGAAAATCTTTGTTTGTATTACGAATAATGAAACAAACTGCAGATGATGTTACCTATGTCCTATCATAAACCGAATGATGATTCCCTTCTCCTCTTCCAATTTCTTGAGTTCCTCACCTGAAAATAGGAGTGGGAGATATGAAATTAGTCTTACAAGCAATGAGTACAGGAGCACAGCAAAATACAAACAATTGTCGCCTAACAAAATGATTCATTCATCGGAAAGGCTCAAATTTAAAAGAAATTGTGCAGGTGACAAAGGTACAACTGCATTTGTTTTATATTAGAAGGCTTATATGATGATAAATATTCCTATTTGACTAGATATCTGCATGATCATTTTCTATATTTCCTTGTTAGCTGCATGATCATTTTCTGAAAGCAGGTTAGGTGCACGATCGTTCTACTTTGATCAAATGCACAAATCTTCTGCATGGCTTCTAACTATGAATAAGAAATCCAGTAAAGTTAGTAAAGCATGCAAATAGCCATGTCTCATTGCAGTACTATGTGTTGCATTGAAAAGTATGAACCTTGAGGCATCCAGGTCTGCCGAACAGAATCCCGACGCTTCCTGCTACTGAATGCAGTGTTGATCCCAATCACTACAAAAGCTTTCTTCCTTTGCTGGCTTATACCATTTCCATTGCCAAGTAGCTCGAGTGTGCTGCGCTTACCTGCCAGCTCCATTTGTAGAGTGGCAATGGACTTATCTAGATATCTGAACAGAAAACGCTATCCAAATTAGTCTCAATAGAATAATCCAAATCTGCAAATAGGTAAGGAAGAACATTTTTTTCAGGATGCATGTAACGTACTGTATGGCTTCATGAGTCTTTGTTACTTCGCTCATCACGTCTCTGTCGTCCGTTGGTTTCTGAATTAAAGGTTGTTAGAAAAGAATTTGAATTAAGTCCTTCTTTCAAAAAAGAGAGAGAATAAGTCAGAAGAGGAGACTCAAGAGAGGAGTTTCATATTCAGATAGCCAACTCTACTCTGCATTGCATTCATATAAAACAGCTGGCTTCAACCTTATGTTCTTTCTTTTTTTTCATTTTAAAAAACTTGCCTTTTCCTTTTCTTTTTATTACAAACCAGGTACTACCATGTAAAAGAGGTGCAATCAAGGGGTGCCTTGCGAGTGCTTAATTGTTGAAACAGCTGTTTCTGCATGATAATACGGCCAAACTTTTACAGGAAAAGGTATTATTTTTAATTAAGACACTCATGGATCATGACACTACAAAGTTACAAACAACAATGTCTGAAAAAACAAGATGATCAATTGTTCGATAATGGGGATATTTCCGGGGATAACAAGATTGCAATATGGTAGGGGAAAAAATCGTCTAGAAAAAACAGAGAGAGGTAGAAGCAAAGGCAAAGACTTATGGTTCATAGTCCCATAGGTTAGGTTAGTCAGCCTTACCGGCTTGGCAACAAAATCTTCATCAAGGATCTGCAGCTTCCTGTCCTGCACCCGGCGCTGCGCCGCCAACGGTTTCTGCCACTCCGGCACCGATCCAAACCTGATCACCGGAAACATCCAAACATCAGTCGCACCAAAGCAGAGCACTCTCTCCCATGTCGCTCGCGCGCACGGCCGCATGGCGATAGCAAAACACAAGAAACCTGAAACCCCAACACGGGGGACGGCTGAACTGAACTAATCAAGGCTAGGGGATCGACTCGATCACTCACTGGTCGGAGAACAGCATGCCGAGGCCGAAGCTGAACGCGCAGAGGAGTATCCACCTCGGCGGCAGCCTCCTGTCCGCGGCCGCGCCGCCGTTCTTGGGCTTCATCCTCTTCTCCCTCGTCTCTCTGTCTCTCTCTCTCCCGTCTGTGTAGGGAGCTCGTCGTCCTATGCCGCTATGCGTTCTGGTATGAGGAGAAAGGAAGGATTTATGGATGGAAGGTTCGAAGTAACCGAAGCTGCTGTGGAGGGAAACAAAGAAGAGGAGAGACGACTAGTTTAATGGCCTCAGAAAATGCTACGTTCACACTTCACAATGAAGTGTATGAACAAAGGACGGCTGTTTTTTTTTCCCCTTTCCTTTGTCAATTGGCAGGCGGCGACGGACGATTACTTTGGAAGTTGGGATAGCGAACTCAAACAATTGCACCGTATGGAGAAGTGAGTTAACGAAATTCCTACTGTGGATAATTCAAGTCAAACATGTTTATTTTTTTATCATTAATTTTAGAAATTTCTATAGTTTAAAAACATGTAAATTATATATATGCAAGTATTTTTCGTAATGAATATAAAAATATAAATCTCATGATGTTAAACTCATATGAGTTTGTAATAATTGATGGTCAAGTTTTTATTGTTGGACTTAAGACAAATTTAAAATGACAAGTAATTTGAAGCGAATGTAATAGGTAGTTGGTAATTAATGAATTTCCTTTCACATAGTGAAATATGCACTTTTGTAATTCCTTCTAAAACAAAAAATGTGATAGCCAATCACAATTTTCCTTAATTATTATAACTATTATGCAAAATCCAACGCCTTGATGGTACGGTTGTATCACAAGATTTAGAGGATGTTAGGTTAGTGATTAATTTTATGACAACTCAATTTGCTATAAGTTTTGCCGTCGTTCAAAAAAAATTGGTACAAGTGAAACAAGTCACATAAAAGTGTGGTCAATAATGTTTACAAATGTTGTAAAACTTTTGCTAGAAAATAAAAGTTGGACAAGTTTGGTTTTGGGGTAGCGAGTCATAACTAAGTTTCACTTAGCGACTCTTTATAAAAAGAGTAAATTGCGTTCACGATACACAAACTTGTATGGTGGGTGCAAATAGGTACAATAACTTGCAAATTGCTTATTCCGGTAGAATAACTTGGCTAGTTCATACAAAGATGGGCCAAACCAATCCACACAAGTAAAATTGATGTAATATGATACGTACTAGTGTGTAATTATTGTTACACATCAAAATTTTTTACTGACACATATTATTAGTCGCATGATACTTTCAAGATCTAGACCAACGAAAAAGCAAAATAATTAAAAATACCTGATTGTTAAAATACACTTTCGATGAAAGTGTCAGAACATGAACATAAAAATTAAAATTTTCTTTTAGTAGTTAATAGTACATATAAAAATTGTCTTGGTCTTGAATAGATAAATAAACATTAGACGAGTTATATAGATGATCAAATTTTTCCAAAAAATGAAACAAATATTGTACCATGGACATGAAAAATAAACTTTTGCACATTTTTATTTGGATTCGAAATAAGATCTCCAAATCACAGTTATATGTATATGCTGTTATGTCATTAGTGTGCACTAATTTAGAGCAATTTTACTTGTGTGGATCATTTTGGCCCGGTTCACACCAAATAGCCAAGTTATTATATCAAAGTGAGCAATTTGTAAGTTGTTGTATCTATTTGCACTCACCACACAAGTTTATGTACCGTGAGTGTAATTTACTCTTATAAAAAAACAATTTGTATGTTGTCGCTACTAATTTTTGCACGTTCGCGAAAAAAAATGTTGTCGCTACTAATAAGTCACATGTTGTGAAGATTTTGTACAATTTAATGACAGTTTTTTCTTGGGATAAAACTTATCACTACTAACCAGGGTTCACCAAACCGTTTTAAGTGGGGTTACTGTTACCTCACGGTTTAGTGGTTAAAAAACCGTAGCCGTGAGGTATAACGCAGTTTCACAAACTGAGAAGATTATCGCACATAATAACCACGTGATAATCATACGGTTTTATAAACCTGCTAGTAGCAGATAGCAGCTCTGTGTGTTACTAGCAGTACCAGGTTAACAGCAAAAGCTCCGTGGCTAAAACGAACTGTCGATGGCGGAAGGGCGCACTGGAAACAGGCCAACCCGGGAGTGCGCCCCGCCCACCCCGTCCGCACTCCGCACCAAGGGATGAATTAGGGGGAGTTCGGCCGTTTTGTCTCCGCGCGCGGGGGTCCCGTATCAGCAGAAGAATATCGCGGCGTTCGATTCGATCGATCGATCGCGGTCGCGGTCGGGAGTACGCGGCACGGGGAGAGGTCGTCGAGGCCGTGGAGTCCACGCGAGTCGGACATGTGGCGCGGACGCGGTAGTCGCCGTGACACGCCCACGCCCCGCCCCCGCCCGCCTTTTTGTTTTTCTGCCTTCTGCGACTGTGCGCACGCCCGACCTGGCTGCGGCTGCCTGCCTGCCTGTCTCTGTCGAGCGTACGAGCCCTCGAAGGCGTCGCCGCCCCGACCTGGCGGAAGTAGCCGGCGATGCGTTTCTTCCTCGCGAGAGCTAAGGATTTCTCCTCCCCGCAACGTGCTTGTCGCGGATTCGTCTCTTTGGGACGAAATGCTAATTTGGAACGTAACTCCGCTTCGTCTCAAAATAAAAAATAAACCAATGTAAAACAGAATATGATATACTCCTTTCATCCTAAAATATAAAGAATTTTATATAGATATGATGCATCGCAGAATCAATCTTTTAAGCTTTAAGTAAAACCTGGTAAAATAAGAACTATCACGAAGCTATAAATTTAGATGGGTATTATAAAACTATAAATTTAGCATTAAGAAAACTATATTGATTATAACTCAAACACAATACTAATACTAATACTATGAATCTAAACTCAAATATACTCTCTCTCTCCGTGTGTTTCATATTATAAGACGTTTATTTTTTTTAAATCAAACTTTTTTGAGTTCATTAAAAGTATAGCAACATTTACAACAATGAATTAATTTTATTAAATTTAGCATTAAATATATTTTAATAATATGTTTGTTTTGTATTACAAATGTTGCTATGTTTTATACTTCCTCCGTTTCACAATGTAAGTCATTCTAGCATTTCCCATATTCATATTGATGTTAATGAATCTAGATAAATATATATGTCTAGATTCATCAACATCGCTATGAATGTGGAAAATGCTAGAAATGACTTACATTGTAAAACGGATGGAGTAGTAACTTATCAAAACATCATATAGTGGGAAACGGAGGAAGTAATAGTTTTGTGACAATTATATTACTAAATCTATAGTTTATGGTAATTTGTGTTGGGCATATAGTTTCATGGTAAATTCGATGTTAAATCTTTAACTTTAATTAGTTCTGAAAAAAAATTCTGTAGTTATACAAAATATATTCATTAGGAATCCTCCTACATGCCGCGGCTGTTGGGAGTGAAGTAGTGAACCACTGAACCCTAGTCGGCCGGCCACATGCCCACACAAGGTGTCTCCTGCACCATGATTCATTGATTCTTTTGGGGGTTAGCAAGCGACAGTTGTTAGTTTATAATAAGCTCAAATGAACGAATTAATGGATGGCGCTCCTAAAAAAAACAACGTGATGTTCCAGTCAAAATCAACCGTTCAGCGAAAGCGACGAAGCTTAATCAGGGACCGAAAATGTCACGGAAGAGCGACACATGCGGATATCTGTTTTAACGGAACGGCATCGTGTAAAACTTCACTAGCTTATCAACGACCAAAACGTCACGGATTAAGCGCTGCTTTGATCGAGACAACACGGTACGGATGGTTCCAGATCAGCTTGCCGTTCACTTCACCCGTTGCTGCGTGGCCGGTCCAGCAACCTGGCTGCAGACCATGGCCTCGTGCCGCCGGCAGCTGGGTCCCACTCTGTCTACAAGGCGCCGGATCAATTAGGCCAAGTTTGATGCCTCGAGCAAATCAGAAAGATATAGTGAGTGATATGCAGATGGAAGCTTTTGGTCAGCTACAAAAAAAAAGGCAGTTTCTTCGCCGGGAAATAAAAGAACAGCAGTTTCGATATGTGGTTTTGATGTAGGGAGTATTATCAGCACAAAGTTACTAGTGGATGTTGGAAAAACTGAACCTTTGGAATTGGCGATATTCTCCACTTAACCAGATGGTAAGCATAGGCATATTATAATAAAGATAGAGATGTAAAGATTAGTACAATCAACTGATGCACTATTGCAATCCCCAAAAGAAACCCACCAAGAAGTTATTTTTGGTACTGATTACAAGCACCTTGATAGAATCAGCGGCAGCCGCATCTGCAGTTGGAGTCAATTGAAATTTGTCACGCCCTAGGCGAGGTGGTAATAACTTGTTAGGGAGCACCATCCACGGCACTGTGGCAGTTTCTTAGCTCATAGTAATTCAGTTTCAGATCTAACCTCAAGATAGAGCATCAGAAGATTCAGAAACCAAAACTTCAGAAGAAAATATGACAAACACGTACCAATGTTAAGGATCATTTCAGAAAGTAATCAGTTATGCACAAATGGACATCCCGTCTTCCCAACACGAAATGAGCATATTTTTTGTACACAAAATCACATTGACACTGGCAGAAAAGATTTCTTCGGAGCATTATCACCACGACCTTTCACCCTCGGAAGTCTTGCAACATTCTGGCCCTTAGTCCTCAGAGTGACACGTCCAATATATCAACCCACTGCAAAAGATGGTGAAACGTCAGGATAAAAACTGACCAAATATATATAACACAGGGAGCGAGAGAGGAAGATGATTAATCACAAGTTCACAACGGTATACCTTATCAATACAAGAACACATTGCAGAACACCAGCAACACCAGTCCACACAGAAGGGCCTTTGTCTGTCAAGGCATCTTGCACCAACATACCCACTGATCCAGCTAGGCAGACGAAAGAGACAACATACGCCACAAAAAGCCAAAGCTTCACCCTGCAAATTAAGAACCATTGTAAAGACACAGTACAGCATCAGGAGAAAATATCTCTTCGTTGCAAATTCCATTTGCAAGTATATTTGATTGGTCTGTTGGTTCTCTAAACGAAGCAAAGAGGCTTAAAATATTGTGGCAGAAAATGTCTATAAAATGTGCTTGATTTGGAGATACAAATTGCTTTTGTGGTGACTTGCTGAGGGAAAATTAAATGCAACCACAAAGGCACAAAGTACAACGTTAGCACTTAGCAACTAAAGAGTTATTTTAGTTTAGAGTATACTTCATAAGTTCAAGATTCTGCACAAATAAATGATCCACAATACTAAAACCCTAAGCTCCATATTGAACATAGATGAGAAAGTCTTCAGCCTTGTGGTACATTTTCTTAGCACAAAGGGCTTGGGTGAACCTAGTCTATGCCTAGATACTGAGATTCACTTTGTTCAAAACTTTCTTAGCTTTGTTAATATTTCTTGAAGCAATTTTATCTAGCTCAAGCACTGAACTTGTCTTCTTGAGAAACATGGTTTGTAGTACGGTTACAATCTGGTACACTATGCAGGGAATATTTTGAGGCAACTTAAATTCCCCTTCTGTCTCCCATTGCACACAGGATTCTAATTAACCATGCAAAATATAATGTAGCATCCTAACATGGATGTCAGTCATGCATTCACTATGTAGTGGATCATAGAAACAAAGTCCAAAGATGATATATTAGTCCAAAATTAAGACAATTTAAACTCAGGAAAGTTAGTGTAATCAATGAGTTCAGTAGAACAAGTGTCTATAACTTCATGGAAACATTCAAAAGCAATGTCCACCAAAAGAAAGCATTGTTATGGCTTTTCTGGATGATTTAAACTCTTCAGATTAATCAACATTTTAGTCAATTCAGGAAGATGGAACTCGATCTAATATGGTTTATACATGGCAGTTAAAATCCAAAAGCAAGAAAACTAGAATAAACAAAATGAAGGGTAGATTGGAATCATCCTAGCTGAACTACATCATAGGGAATTGGAGATGTCGGTGGGCATTTGCCTAAATGCATATCTGCTCAGCATGAAGTTTAATGTCTCCATTCATCCACAAACAACTTGTTATCTCAGAAACAATCAACTCACCATAACATTTCTTTCTTAAATAGTACATTGCAGATAACGTGACCATGACACTACGCTGTTCACTCCGCAAAATAACATCTAAAGGTTCCAATTCGAATATCCAGACTTCACTAGCCTATACGCAATTCAATCAATTAGGTCCTAATCAAACAATAACCTCACCTCCACTCGGAATCGTCCCCGTAGGGCGAGTAATAGTCGTATCCGATCTCATCCTTGTTCACGGCGTTGAACATGAGCGCGGCCAGCGACGCGAATATCCCTGCAAAATTGACACCCATCACCTCCCATCCCAAGGCCGTACAGGGAAGACAACTTCACCGAATCGAAGCGAGGGGATCTGGCCGTTCCGGGTCCTCACCGGGTAGGTAGTGGAGGAAGGAGACCTGGACGGAGCTGCAGACGACGGCGTCGACCCAGAACCACCACCCGGCGCCGAAGACCGCACCGGCGACTCCCGGCCCGATGATCCCCCAAAGCAGCGCAAGATTCTCCATGGCGGCGACCTCTCCTCCACCACCAACTCCCTCCTCGTCGACGAAGCAATCCCCTCGGCTTCCTTGTCGCCTTTTTCTCCGATTTTTTTTTGGGGTGTCTTCTCTCGATTTCTCGAGTCGAGACGACGCAAGAGATGCTTCTGGGCCGAGAGGGAAAAGAAAAGGATTAAAAGTCTATCGAGCATCCCCAGTATCTTACTAATCATCACCCTCAACCGTAAAATCGGGTATAATATCTCCCTTCTCTAGAAACCATACAAATCAATTTATCTACTACTCCCTCCGACTCATAATGTAAGAGATTTTGAAGAAATGTGACGGATGGAGTAGTAAGAGCAAGTTTAATAATACAGCCAACTACTAGCTCCAAATCATCTATAGTCGATGTAATAATCAATTCATACAATAGTTGCTCACTATATTATTAATATCTGGTCTCACATGTCATATATACATCACGTCTTGGAGTCCGTGTTTTCTCTCTCTTCCTTTATCTTTTTAAAATATGTTTATAACTGGCTTATAGCCTGCTAAATATGTTTATAACTGGCTTATAGCCTGCTATTGTACATGTTCTAAGTGGTTTCTGCAGACAATGTTCGGCGGTTGACTCGTTTGAGTCAGCAGTTGAGGGAGGCGATTCAATCCAGAGGAAAAGATACCAAATATACTTATATTCTAAAAGAAAACTAGAGGTGAACGCGCGCTTTGCGCGCCGCGCCAGTGGCATCAGAAGATGTGAGTTTTTCATTGATACGTTCGTGTAGCAGGTTAAATCATGAAAAAAGACACGCAACTACAAGAATTTGCATTATGGTAGAAGACTATCAATTCTACAAGAATAACAAGTCAAAACATATGTAAACCTCTAACACTAACCTTTTTACGCTATTTCTAGCTTATTCGAAAAAAAGGGTAAAGCTTGTGCTTTAGCTCCAGCAATCTATCAAAAAGATTCGCGCAAGGCTAAAATTATACATAACTGAAGCGTCGCAAATATCTAGAGTGTGCAAATGGAATTGAAGTTTTTTTAATAAACCAATATACATATATATTTGGCATTTCAAACCAAAAAACATTATACATTCCAAGCTGCACGTTCATTCCAAAATTACTAAAACTATTACAAATGTAAGCAACTCTCAATTGTGAAATTCAACTCTCAACTTGCCATGTTACAAAGTACTCATGTCAACATGGTAATAGCGAACCCTAAAAAAAACATGGTAATACTGAAGAAATTACACCTTTTGAATGATGAAGCGAAGAAAAAAAATAGAAAACACCTTCAACTACTTACAGTGAAAAATTAAAAATGTACAAGTTCGTCATTTTTTGACATAATCTAAGTTCTATCACCGCCAATTATTTTTTGGAGCCTAAGAGTCACATACTATTGACCTGGCTGGATGGATATCCAAATCCAAGGTCCAATTCTCTCAGAGCAATTTGATTTTAACCCTGCTGTGGCAAAATCATAGATCCAATGTGCCAAAAACTTATATATGGTAGTAAAGGAGCTGAATACATGAATCACGTGTGCAACATATTTAGCTAGTGCTATTTATAGTTCCTCCAATAGTTGAAAACTCAAATTAAACTCAAGAGGACATTATGAAACATGGAAACCTTATGAGATGGAAAGCACACACTCAAAATTGCAAGTACTATTCACTAAAAAAAGATATGGATATACTATTTAATGCAAAGGCCATCTATGAAACTTTGGAAGAACGATGCATCACAGGTATTGTTTACAACAGTTGAGCTGTAGTAGACCACAGATATAGATCTTCAGTATATACTTGCCATCTGTACCTTCTTTTTTTCTTTGATCTATGCACATGGACAACTAATCCGATGGCATGATCTTCATGGTAACGGCCTGCCCACGTGGATGCCGCATCCGGACCTTGTGAAAGCATTTCGAAATCAATTAAGATGGAGAAGTCAAAATCAAAGCAACATTTAGAAAGTAGGAAATTAGCATAGCAGATGTATCAAACAAATACCGACTGTCGGGAGAAACAAATTCTAACTTTCGCTAGCTACTGAAGATGTTAAGCTAAATTGCTCGCATATCCATCTAAGAAGAATGTGCTCAAAACAGTTACTGAAACTTGATCAAACTAAAGACTGAGACCAAGGCGACTCTAGTAGAATTTCGTAACTTTCAAGCCTAAATTACTTTCCAGATTCTGACAAAAAAACAATGATATAGTTCTGTTAAACCTATATGGTTGTAGGGACAAACATAAATAACATCAACAGCATATAACATTACTTGGAGGGACAGAGAGCCCAAATAACATGAGATAATTTCGCTTAAGCATTTCTCTTTCTTCATTCATCCAAATGAGGTCATCCAAAATATTTGGTATGTATCCCCCATCATATAATAACACAACCTGTAGGTATGCCCTATTCTAAAAGACTGGTTCAAATTCTACCAAAAAAACATGGAAGATACTAATAATTACTACAGTACCATGTTCATACTTTCTACACTTACTATTGATCAAAGATTGCACAGTGCAGTCCACAACCAGCAGCACAAATTGCAAAGTAAACAAACAAACCTGAAACGCTGGCAAAGCACACAATATCCTAAATGATCCATCATCAGCACCTTTCATTACTGCTGCAGTCTAACCTGCAGGTGGAATACAGAAGAACAAATAGTTATTACATTAAGCTAAAATGCCACAACGATCATGCTATCCAAACTAAAAGGGTGAACCTAATGAAATATTGTTGTTAGATGGTTCTCCCAGTCATTCAAGTAGGCACCTCCCAAGAAGCTTATGGGAGCTTTCCTGCCATAAAATCCTGCAAAATAAATCAAACAAAATGAAAGTTTAGTGAATAGTCAAGTTCTGTCTTATTTGGCCAAAGGCTTCACTTCTCGATTTGCAGTCTTCAAATCATAGTCATACATGGGCTAAACCGAATCTATATTGCGTGGGTAAGAGAAAATTTAAGGCTATAAAATTCTTGATATGAATATATCATATATGGCAGAAAAAATGACTCGGTTAATCACATGTAATATATAGCAATGCCTGAATTTTGGTTCCTCAAATGACAGAGAGTTGTAGTTCAGAAATTTAGGGTAATATTAACATGCAGCAGTGCAATTAGTTCTAGAAATACTTCACCTGAAGGCCATGAACACATCTATTACTGAAGAACTCAGCTCCATCTACCAAAGCAAGCATCACACCAAGCTTACCATTTGCTTTTAGAGTCCATGACATGGATTAGCGATCAACTCTGTACTGAAAATCAGCAATCTAAAGTATCAAAAATCGTCAACCATGACAATATATCGAGTAGACAATGTAAGGGGAAAAAGGATGCAATAGAATACCGACCTGGTTGACTGGTTCACATTGAGATGTCAGAATACCATCACCATCCATGTTTGCTCACTCATCTGCACCAATAGAAAAGTATTTATCACAGAAAAACCTGAATGAGGCATTTAAGTTTCTAGTTTCTAACAATTTCTTAGAGTCGAGATCCTAGTTTTCACCTGTCAATAGCAAGAGGCCTGCAACCTTTGTGAAATATCAACCAATACCAAAACGGTACAACATTACCACCGGTTTTTTTGATCAGCAATTCAGCACCATAACACCAGGCATAATCGAGCCTTTCTCATGTGCATCTTTAATTAACCTACAGATAAGAAACTACACGTCAAAGGTATGGTTGTATACATGGTTTATATATGCTTGCTCACAGAAATACAATGTGGTGAGATGTGAGAAGTGGGGTGGAGTATAATCAAAGGTAAAATGATTTGTTCTAGAAAAGTGATTTGATCCAAAAAATAACTAAAGGAATGTGCAACGTGGAATTAGTTTCAATCACCACCAGTCAATGCTTTAGAGGCGACCCTAAACCCAAACCCATACAGCCATGGGAAAATGGGGGGAAACAATTCTAATAGATGTATGGAGGGACAATACAATTTTATTACTAACCATTTATGTTCTGATCAAGGAGCATGAGCAACTTGGTGATCAAGAAGCATGAGCAGCTTACTGCCCACCAACTTTCTTAGCCAAGTGCATTACCGAGACAGGAAAAGAATACTCTTTTTTCCTGCAATGTCAACAACAGATAGCAAGTATCAATAGATACTCAAGAAAAGCACCTCTTCTATTTTTTCTCAGACAATCTTGTAGAGTGGCTGGACTATACTTGTATGCAGGGAGCCAGGGGCATGCAGATGCAGGTGGAAGCATCGCCAGATTTGTGTGTTGTGGTGGCAGGATGATAGTGTTGTCGGTGCATGGAGAAACACTGAAGCATGTCTTCCTCAAGCCAGAGTTCTGCACCATCAGGCTGACCTTCTCGCTACCAACTGTCGCCTCTCACCAAATTTTCAGCTAGCTTGCTGACCTGCGAATGAATCTGCTCCCAATCCCTACACATCACCAATGGAAATAGAGAGCATGATACATTGCTGGAAGCAAGCATTCAACAAATCAAGCTTTTGTACCTGGTCGATAGTGGATGCGTTGTTGGGATCTCGTATATCTTTGAATCAAAATAGATGAATACATATGAAATATGATATAGTATCAAACAATTCAATAGATTAGTACTTAAGAGGTCTCATAGAAGAGAAAAACAATAGCATTCTATCTATCCGCATTCATGTGTATCACTGTAAATAACTGAACATGCATCTCAGATTTTTGTCAGTCAGTAATAAACACCACCACAAAACCTGTAAAGTGCTCAAGAACATGTATTACATCTACACACGCAAAAGTGCATATGCATTCATACTCAATATACACATCATATCATCCCTACCTTCATCAATTTGCACGATAGACCATCACCATTTTCATCGGTCTACCAAGAACACCAAAAAGAACAAAAACTTACAAGTTATAATGCCAGATGGGGTTGGGGAAGATCGGCTTTGGCCTCGGCCTCCTGCACGTCGCTGGTGTATGCTCTCGGAGGAGGCCGTGTCTAACACGTTTCTTCCATCTTGCCCGAGCTACTGCTGCCGTCGATACCGAGCTCAACAGACCCAACGACCCTGGATCTGTAACATGGAACCTCCCCATCATCTTTAGATTTGGATCAGAGAGAGGGGGAGAGTGAAGAAAGAAAGGGCAGGGGAGCAGGGCCTTCCCCCCTGGAACTCACCACTGTGAAGGAACGGCCGCCGTCGACACTTACAATGAGCCTCAATGACACAGATCGGGTTGCTCCCTCTCCGAATCGGGCCGCCGTCCTTCCGGATCTGGTGATTCCCGGCCTCCTCGATTGCTCGCCCGCGCGGCCGTTGTTGTTGCAGGCCTCCGCCGATCTGCAAAGGAATAGTGGAGATAGAAGGGAGAAGAGAAGGGAGCAGCCACCCGTTGCCTCACGCGATCCGCGCGGCCGTCGTTGTAGCGGTGCCGGACGTAGAAGGAGAAGAGTAGAGAGGGTGATAGCCGGTCTCCCCTCGCCTCCGGGCGGCCGGATCCACCGACAATGAGGCCGGGGTCACCGGATCCGACGGTCCCGGCCTCCTCGTTGGCGGATGCATCGACCGGAGCGAGAGGAGGATGGCGACGACAGTATGATGGTGCGGCGACAGCGGTGGCTCGCGTGAGGAGGCGAGGCGGGCCTGGGCATGGAGAGAGCAGAGCGAGGGAAGGAGAGGAGGTGGTGGGAAGTGGCGGCTAGGGTTTGGGTGGGGTGGGGGGTTTTGGGTTGTATTTTTTTCATAAAAGGCCCTCACTTTATGTTATTCAGAGCGTGCTCCTCTTTTTCGATTTTTCTCTTCTTTGCATAGAATATTGCATTTTGTAGAGGCCCTGTACATAAGAACGCAGATCACAGTACAAACTAAAGAGCATGTACCTAAAACAAATTATCAATAAAATGAAGGGCCTTTTTTCAAAAATACAAGGGCCGACGCAGACGCATGAGAGCTCGCGAAATCCCACCGTTTTCCAGCTCGGGCTGACGTGTCGTGACGCGGGAGCGTCCACGCCAGCGCAAAATGCCGTGGGAGCTTCATTTCAGGGCTGGTTTGAAGACTTTAGATGAGGTTTGTTTTTAGTTTGGAGCAGTTTAACTAACCTAACCCGTTTGGGGCCAAAATGTTTATAGGCCACACGTACGCGGAAATTCCGGAGGGACTCACTGTACAGTGGTCCTCATCTTGGGGCAGCGTTGGAGGTTGGCGCAAACAGCGTACAGGGGAAGGCGATGGCGCGACGTGGCGGCGCGTGGGCGTGGGCGGCGACGGCGGCCGCATTGCTGTGGTGGATGGCGGCGGGAGCCGGGGCGGTGTGGCTGGAGATCCCGCCGTCGGCGACCAAGTGTGTGTCGGAGGAGATCCAGTCCAACGTCGTCGTCATCGGCGACTACTCCGTCCTCTACGAGCACCACCTCAACCCCACCGTCACCGTCAAGGTATGCGCATTGTACCGGGGGATCAATCTGGGGGTTGTCATATTGTTCTACGCCGATGAATGGAATGACGGCAATTTATTGGGGGGGATTCTGATCCAGATTTTCTGGGGTTATATATGTTTGCATGTATGATTGGAAATGTAAATGGGGAATGAACTGCGTCATTGTGTCTGGGTTGTTAGTTGTTACACTCGTACCGTTGTGCGTGAACTCTGCATTGAATCGGTTACAATTGGGTCCACAAATCTGGGTATGTTGTGGCTGGTAGTATTAATCATGGAAAAAAATAAAGAAAGTATTTAGTCATGAAAATGGTAACAATTAAATTGCTGGTGACAACCTCAGCACATTGTGCATGTGAATATGTGATTAGCCCTTCGTAGCAAGATTTTGGAAGGATATCAGGAAAATATGCAATTGATCAATGCTCATGTGCGATTGCGCTTTCTGTGTTTATAAATAGTGTGATCTGCTCTTATTTAACATTGCAAGCGTACGTAGTGGAATGGCTTTACAGACCATTTCGCTTGCTAAAATGTCTGATGCATTTGATTTTCGGGAATACGCAAGGAGCGCATTTTTTCCATTAAGAGAAATAAAAGTTATTTACAAGGATAAAAGGAAAACAAGCAGTGGACCGATACAGGACGCTATGAAAAACTATAGGAATATCTCGCGCTAAATTTGGCTACCACGACCTTGTAAAGGCCAAACAGCGGGGATCCCGTGATTAGCTGACTTCCAAAGCATGGCCTCCTCCGCCATTGCTTTCGCCACTTCGGTCCAAGACCTTTGTTGTTGATTGAAGATTCGGTTGTTCCGTTCCTTCCAAATTGTCCAAGCCACCAGTGTCACGACAGTGTCGAAGCCTCGACGATGCCGCTCCCCAATCTTCATTCGGCTCTCACAGAGCCAATTGTGGAAGGATGGCTCGTTGACAGGTAAGCAGTTCGGACTCTTTATCGCCTGAAGCGTCCACCACCATAATTGTCTCGATTCAGGGCATGCTACCAAGATGTGATCAATGCTTTCCTCCTGCTGATCGCAAAGAACACAGCGATCCGGGTGTGACAACCCTCGACTGCGCAGACGGTCAGCGGTCCAGCATCTGTTCATTGCGACCAACCACAAGAAGAAGCGGCATCGAGGCGGAGCGAGTGACTTCCAAATTGGGGTGGAAAGAAAGGCGACACGACCAAAAAACAAGGCCTTATAGGCAGATTTTGAGCTGTATTGGCCCGAACTCTCCCATTTCCAGATGATTGAATCAGGAGTAGTAGGATCAAGATCCACCATTTGGACAAGCGACCAAAGCTTTAGATATTCTAGAATAGGTTGGATCCCAAGTGCTCCTCGGATGTCTTTGATCCATTGGCGACCTGTTAGTGCCTCAGCCACCGTCCGACGCCGGCGCACGTGTGGTGGAATTTTATCATAAATGTTCGGAGCAAAGGACCGAATGCAACCCTCTTGCAACCAGCTATCTTCCCAGAAGAGGATAGTTTGTCCGTCTCTTAATTGACAGACGGTAGAGGCTGCAACGAAGTTCCTTTCCTTTTGCGACCCCGAAATGGCTAGCCCCTGCCAAGGTTTGCTTGAGGAGGTCCGTTGCAACCATATCCACCTGGAACGAAGAGCTATACCCATAAGCTCCAGATTCGGTACCCCTGCCAAGGTTTGCTTGAGGAGGACTGTAGTAGTCTGATGCATTTGTAAACAAGGCAAATGATCAAGACTTAAGATTTACCATGCAAGAGTATTTTTTCCGTTTATTGTTGTGTGCTGTGGGTAGAGATCCAGCATTTTTTTCCCTGTACAAACAGCTGAACCTTGTTCTTCTGAGGATTGGTTTGTTCCACATTTTATTTATCCCCTTATTGTTACTAAAATTAAGTGGGAGCACTTGTTTTATTTTCGCCTCGTCTGTTCTGTGAACTTATCCTTAAACCTTCTGATGGGAATCACCCTTGCAGGTTACATCCCCTTTTGGAGACATTGTACATCATAAACAAAAGGTTTCCACAGGCCAGTTTTCATTCACAACTGCAGAAGCAGGAAACTACTTGGCTTGCTTCTCGGCTGATGGTCGGAACAAGAGGTTAGTGGTGAAACTAAATCTTGACTGGAGAGTTGGTATTGCAACAAAAGATTGGGATTCTGTTGCTAAAAAGGAAAAGCTCGAGGTAATGTTCATGAAATTAGGATATTATGCTTATGTTCTGCATTTTGGTGTTATTCCTCCTTAACAACAACATTCCTGAACAGGGAGTTGAACTAGAATTAGTCAAGCTTGAAACCTCTGTCCAAGCAATACATGAAAACCTGCTCTTGCTGAGATCCAAGTAAGTACACTTCCTTTTGTAGCTCAAAGAGCTATCCATGGATTTTAATTTGATCGATAACTAAGGGCATAAATAGTCTTAAAAGGTTGTTCTCAATGCAGAGAAGCAAATATGAGAGATACCAGTGAGAAGACGAATGCTAGGGCTACATGGTTGAGCATCATATCACTCATTGTTTGCATTATAGTCTCAGTTTTGCAACTTTGGCATCTACAACAGTACTTCCGAAAGAAGAAGCTCATCTGAAATTATATCTGTAACGTAGTCCACCAAAACATGCGTACCCTACTTCTATGTTTTATCTATTGAAGATAAGGCTTGGCTATTTTGCCATCACAAATGTCAAAACAATTGTTTAGTTGAACTGATAACTTTTTTCACCCAAAATAAACAAAATGAGCATGATGTTCTCACCTAAATCCTATTCTCAGATAACATAAAACTGCTGTTTTTGATGGTCAATTTGCTCTTACATGCAAAGCAGTATATGCACCCTTTACTTTCCCTAGATAATTCAAGGATCTCTCTCCACAGACTTCATGAGGCCCTTGACCCCTTGGCCGCACCTAAAAGAAAGTCTCTGTAATCATTCTCAGGCAAGCTTTCAAGGATGAAATCCTCAAGGTCCTTTCCATAACTACTTTTGAACACTGACTTGATCTTGTCCATATCGACATCGTCACTGCCCAAAATAGCCCTTGTAACCAACCTTTTATTGGTCGCTGAGCATTGCAGACTTCTATGCAGCAGCTGACGAGACAAAGAAATAGAAGGATGGGTCAGAGACATGATATGAAGTACCAACTACAAACTGCAAATTTTCAGCTGCCATCACCTTGGAGAAATACATGGAAGGATTGTAGATGCACTTCACAACAACCCTCAAAGATTGTTCAAACTCACCGAAGCCATTTTTCTTCAGTGCCTGCATACGCATTGTTGCAACGATAAGCTCAGAAAACAGTCATCATTTCAGTAGTTTGGCAGATTGTTTCAAGATAACGTCCGAAGGCAGTCATTTCAGTAATGTTGTATGCGAAGTGAATGCCATCAGGTTATTGAGTTTGCTTACCTTGGTGTAGTCATGCCCATATATGTGCTTGTAACTGCAGAATGCTAGCCTGAGCTGTGGGATGCTCCTCTTGCTGAACATCTCAAGAATGACAGCCTCGTCGACCGATCCCATGCCGCTGTTCTTCGCATCATAGAGCCTCCTGGCGTCACATTTTGCAATGTGCCGACTAAGTTCATCGTGGTGCGACTTGTGGGAGGTTGCAAGTGCTACCAATAGCTGCTTGAATTGTCACCAGAAAGCAGGGGAGGAGTTGAGCTCAGCTGGCTAAAAGGTAAAGAACACAATTGGAAACTGAGGTAGAATGGTAAGCAACAAGCAAGGGCTACCCTCTGGTAAGGATGAGACGGCTCTGTGACCATGTCCTGCTCCAGGTTCTTCTTGAACCTGGCAAGGTATGCCTGATTGGTGAAGAAGAGCTGGTTCTGCTTCCGGCGTGTGAAGATCTCCACCAGGACCCGGTAATCCGTGGCGCCGCCATTCTCGACGGCGTCCCGAGCCATGATCGCGTCGCGCTCCGACGGGTCGAGCACCCACAGGTAGAGCAGCTTGCAGAGCTGGGAAGGGAAAGATCATGGAGAGGTAAGAACTTGAAAATCAGTCTGAAGCAAGGAGTGCAAAACCGAGAGGGCACTTACCTCATCTTCCTGGTTGACCATGAGGATTTTCTGCACTTCTCCGGCGAGATCTTCGCCGAACACTGTACGGTAAGTCGCCTTGATTTTCTGCCTCTCCGATGGGCTCCGATGAGCCAAGAGAACGCTCAAACGGCGTGGCTGGTTGCACGCATCATGGATCTCTCTGCACTCATCCTCAAAACCTGTGGTAACAAGACACCGAGAGGCCATGTCTACTCAAACCTGAAGTGTTCAATGTAGAGAACTGAGTTTGCTTGGCCGGCCATTGCCCAGGTATATATGATGGCAAGTATTGCTAGCTATTGGTTTCCTTTTTGCTAAAGGATGGATAAAGCTATCTCAAATGACCAAAAAGGAAGCAAGAGAAAGGAAATGGTAGGAAGGAAGAAAATCTGCGTCCTACTCAGCAATGGGATCTGAGGGCATGAAACCGAATTTCAGTGATGGACGTTTCGACTTTTCAAGACCTTTTGAGCTTCTTTCTCGATCATCAATCACTCAAATCATGTTTTGTCTCTAGATATTCGTATCGTATGATCCAGGTATTCCTTGCGTATTACTGTTTCAGATTGCAATGAAACGTGAACGAAACTTAGCACTCCCAGAAATAAACAAAGTTGTAGCTAGGAGTAGCGTTTTAGGAGGGTGTGATTATCTGGATGACTGGATTAAGCAAAATGTAACGACAGGAGAAAAGATCCTGGTATGTGCTAAATCTGTAAAGTTAACACACTAAACTATAAGGTGCAACAAAGGAGTCATAAAGATAGCCAATTCTGTTGCTACTGAACACAGGCTCAGAATACTACATTCACCAACTTTTGCGGCTGGTGGTATATTTAAAGCAAGTTTAATAGTATAGTCAACTACTAACTCCAATTCATTTATAGCCAATCTACTAATAGCTTATTTATACAATAGTTACATACTACATTATTAATACCTAGTCTCACTTGTCATATATACACTGCGTCTTGGAGTCCGTGCTACATCTAGCTACAAATTTATAGCCCACTGCTCTTCTCTCTCCTCATTTATCTCCTTAAAATATATTTGCAACTGGCTTCTGCTATTGTACCTGCTCTTAGTGGCGCTACTGGCATCCATTCCGTTCGTGCCTTCGTGGATTCCCAGTTGGCTCCATGTCAATTCCCGCCATCTTTTTCAGTCTCCAGCCTTTCCTTTTGCCGAACTGAGACGAGAGCCCTCCACTCTTTTCATCAGGTCACAACTTTGTTGGCCTTTCTCCCCCTTTGTGTTTTCAGCTCGAAAAAAGTTTGGTGTTTGTTTTGTTGGCATCGAAAGCTCGATCTGCCTCATGCCGTCCAATGTTCGCCGGTGCTTTTTCTTCTCTTGGGCCACAGGATGGTGAGAGAGATCGAGTGGATCGGGGTTGACGAGTGGTGGTGGTGCGGTGTGGTCTGTCGGGTGAGTGGAGAAGGAGGGCGAAGGCGACGTCGACACGTCGTGCCGCGGCGGCGCGAAGCGGCACCACCACCGGCGAGTTCCGCCGCCTCCGGACTCATCGTTTGGCTGAATAAACCAGCGGTATATTTGTAAACGAAAAATACTTTGTGAGTAAAATTTTTATATACGTGTTCTTAAGTATCTAAAAGTAAAGGCTACATAATAAACTTAGATGAGAAAACTTTAAGGTCAAACTCTAAATTTAATATTGAAAATTTAAAGTTTGGCTAATAAGCATAAGCACAAGCGAAAAGATGGGGCTGGAATAAGATTTGGGATGGAGGGAAGGTGAAACTGTGGGTCGCTACCATTGCTCGCGGTCGTAAATTTTGCAAGCTCATCCCTGTTTTGGATCCGTCGAGATTGCAATCAGTTCTTCCGGGATTGGATCAATCATGATTCTTGACTTCTTTCGGTTTTCGTCTACCCGTCCTAAATCTATGCACTTTAGTATATTTCATATTATAGGAAGCTTTAACTTTTTATAAGGTTAAAATTATTTAAGTTTGATTCACTTTATAGAAAAACACAGTAACATTTTCAATACAAAAACACAGTAACATTTTCAATACAAAGCAAACATAGTATCATTTTCAATATATATTGATGTTAAAGGTTCATGGTTTCAGAAAGCCTTTCGGGCCGGACAGATTACAGCAACAGCAGCAACTAAGCAACAGTACAGCTTAAAGGAAGCGGCTATTTCGACAAGCATATGAAATAATTCCAGTAAAATGAGAACCACAAGAAACAATCATAGATCTTCAAAAATTGCTTTTATATGATTCATTTTCATGATTCCAAGTACAACAGAGTATCTCCTCTTATGCTGGAAACAGAACAAAATAATTGCTCAGCTCTGAAGCAGAAATGCTCCTTCAGCAGTTTGCTCTGTACAGATAGGAGTCTCTTTTAGCTTTGCATGCTATAATATAACAAAGATCTGCCAAACAGGCAGTTGAAAAAACAAATTGGTCAGCCAAAGTGAATTTACAAACACTCTATAAACAACAGTGAGAGCTGTGAACTGGAGCTCGGCTCATAAGTGGAGCTCCACAAAAGAGTATGACACATCGGCTATCCAGCATGGCCAGAAGGTCTGGATACACCTCACGACAACCCAGCCACAGAATATTCAGCGCGAGGCTCGTATATTGTATCTGTTATTCTTGATGGAGGCCAGTACCGAAACACAGATCTTCCAATAATGTTCCTCACAGGAAGAGGCCCCCTGAAATGTCAGATTTGATTCGAATCAGATCTAGCATATTCTATGAGATGAAAGCTTCTGATGCAGATTTGAGTTTAGTTTTGACCATACCAGTTATGGGAATCGAAGCTGTTGTTACGGTTGTCTCCCAGCACAAACACATAACCTTCTGGAACAAGCTGCAGGAACAATAATGAGCTATTAATCAACTGAAAACAGAAGGATTATATTGCTAAAACTGCATTTGATGAACCAATATGCCAAACGAATTACAAATGCTAATTAATAAACCTAAGAAATATATAATACTCGATTGGATATTATGGTATACTAATATGTGAACTCAACACTGGTCCAGGAGATCAGTCACTCTGGAAATGCAGCTAAATTGATACTTTGATTACTCAAGTGTGCAATCTAAAATTCTACATTTTGATTGTCAAATTTCACATTAGTTTACTCCAGTGATAAAAATCAAACATTTCAATAAGAATCTGCTCAATCTAGAGTACTACTATGCAAGATCGAAATGAGTATAATCATGGAAAGATGCACACAATTTAGCATAGGAAGAAGACACATACCATGGGTTCCATCTCGTAATTGTGAGGCTCCAACACAAATTCCTCATCCTGGACTACTCCGTTGACAATCAACTTGCCATCACGAACCTATCAAAGAACAAAGAGAGCAGCAATTATAACCCAACCAATACAAACATTTTGCAGCATAGCAAGTTAGTAACACAGACAAACAGACGCCACTACCATTGAGGTAAATGCTTACTTCGACATAGTCGCCTGCCTTGGCCACAACTCTCTTGATGAAAACATCACCCGAGCTGTAGCCCCAATCCTGCAGTAGCATTCCAATTCAATCATCACATTTACATCAAGATCATTATGAAGTATGTGAAAAAACATGTTATAGAAATCAGAAATTATACCTGAAGAGCTGGTGGTGCACGGAAGATCACAATGTCCAAGATTTCCGGCTCCCGGAATATGTACGAGACCTGAAGATCATCATAGAATTAGACACTCACAAAACATAGCACAGCAAGACAAGATTACCAAACTAAACACCAATTTCAACAAGCTCTACCTTCTCGGCGAGAATCCGGTCACCAACATCGAAGGTCGGGTACATGGACTTGGACGGGATGGACCTCGGCTCGGCCAGCGACGAGCTGTAGAGCAGAGGCACAGTCACCGCTGCGAAGGCCGTCTTGGTGTCGTCGGAGCAGGAGCTCATCCACCTCGACAACCAGTTGCTCCTGCTCATCGCGGCACCACTACCACCACTGCTCCTCGCAATCGCCGGGGAGCTGGAAGCACTACTCACCAACGCCTTCTTGGGACGAATCGAAGGCGCCGGTGCGGGAGGAGGAGGAGAAGGAGAAGGAGAAGACGGCGGCGCAGACGAGGAGGTGGCAAGGTCGCTGCAGGGGAGCCACTTCGAGGTCTGCAGGAAAGGGAGGAAGGAGGCAGGGTTGAACCCGAGAGAGATCGACGACGACGAGCCCGACAGAGACGCGGCGCCGTAGATCCCACCCTTCGACCCCGTCGCCCCCTGCGCGAGCACCGACAGCAAACCCACGGCCAGCGAAGGCGGCTGCGCCCTGGACGAAGCGTACGCCGGCGAGAGGAACAGCGAGTGGCCCCCGGCGGCGGCGGAGAGCGGCAGGGCCTTCGGGCGGTCGCCCTCCCCGGCTTCACGGCGGTGTTCGCCGCCGCCGCCGCCGTTCCGGTGGTGCTCGGCGTGGCCGCGGGAGGAGGAGGTGAGCATGCAGAAGGGGCGCCACCCGCCGTCCTGGAAGAAGCGGCAGCCCGCCGCCGTGGAGGCGGAGGAGCAGCGCAGGCCGAGCGACGCGGCGAGGCTCTGCGCCACGTAGCCGGAGTAGGACACCGTGATTCGGATCGCCATGGCGAGCAAGCAGAGGAGCCGTAGCGGGATCGAGAGGAGACGAATCGAGTAGCCCCCGGAAGCAGGCGGAGACCAAAGGCGCCGGCCGATCAGATGACGGGAGAACGCCGCCGCGAAGACAAGGTGGGAGGCGGGGGGGTTTCCGGCGAGGGAGACCTCGCCGGCGGGGAGGTCAACGGTGGCGGTCAACGGAGGAGGCGGGGAAGAGGAGCTGCGAAAGCGAGTACAGAAGAGAGAAGGTGGGAGGCGGAGGAGACAAGTGTTTTTTATAGACGCGTGGTTGTTCACCTCACCGTTTCGGCGTTTGGTGAGGTGGAGGCCAGAGGCCCTTGAACTTTGGAGAAATGATTTTGGAGTTCTTTTACATATTCGAGAAAATTGGAAATGGATTTACCGGATAATTTTTGAAAATAAAAAAAACAGAATAAAGATAAATTAGTTGAGTGGTGATGGCACTGTGGTTGGCTTGTAAAAAAACGAAGTGAATACGATAAGGTGCTTCTGTTAGTTTCATGTGTCATGAAGTAATTTGGATGATAGATTGGAGTACCATCAATGCCCTACGAAAACGGGGTTACGGTTAAGAGGGGCGTATGAGAAGGGAGACGTTGAGTATGCACAATAAATTTAGGTGAAATGTAGAATATTGACGCAAGCCGAAGAGTGTGGTGCATAGCTACATCCTTTTTACCAAAATTTTATTTAAAAATGAGTTGCGCTTAAAGGTAAAGAGTGGGACAATAAATATTTACCAACGACAATAAGATATCTTTACATAATAATTCTATTGAATACTATCAAATTTTTACCCATACGTTTTCGGTCAACAGGTCAGAATAACCGCAATAAACACGTGGCTATCATTAGTACTGTAAACTGATATTTACCACACATATTAAGATATTTTACCATTTTTAATACTATCAATTTTTTGTTTATACGTTCATAACTCGAAATAACCGCAACAACTAAGCAGTTATCATCAATATTGTAAACCCTGCGGTGGACTGGAGCCTAGAGACTGACTTCAGAATGCAATTAGGTTAAAAACACCGCCGCTGGCCTGATAGGGATTTTATTTGATCTATCGATTGAGAAAACAAGACCGTACTCCAAAGCAATCAAAAAAGTCAAAATGGACGAGCTGTGTCCCTGCCTGCTGTTGCCATCGAACGACGCCGTGGAACCGTCTCCGTTCATCCCCTGTGGTTTGCGACAGCACAAGCAGCTTAACGCCACTGAAATAATCGCCTCCTGCACCTAAAAGAATATGGCTAATGCTGACCTATTTCTACATGTGGTTAGCTTGGATGCTTCTCTGAAACTTCCACTGTCACGGTCGAAGGAGTTGGGGGTTTCAGTGATTGGGCAGGACACCTCATAGCTCGGTATGGAAAGCAAATCCAGTAGTTTATTAATTTTCAGATGGAACAGCGAGTGAGTTTCTTCCTTGCAGTAACATGATTTGGAATAAAGGGATCTGTATTCATATGACTGAAAGAATCCATCCTCTCCGTCCAAAAAAAAATAATTCAAACCCGGGTTTGAATCTGAACACTTGGGTTTGGTTCTTTATGAAACAGAGTAGTATATATGAGATTTGGAATAAAGAGCAGTGTGTTCATATGGCTGAAAGAATCTATATATTATATATAGTAAGAACTAATAGCTCAACATCATTGATCTACATCACTCAAACAAGGATCATTGTTAGAGAGCCATAAGAAGGCCCCAATTGATGTGAAACTGATGCTAAAATCCTTTAATTCTTTTCTATATACATGTTATTTATCTTTGTAATTATGATGCATTTATGCAGTTTTAACTTTTAGTAGAAAGAATCTCCCAAGTGATTGAAGAGTTCATGTTCTTCAATTTTCTTTTGTTCGTACTCTTTTTTTCTTTAACTTGCATGTATTTTTAAAGCCATTTATCCATATATAATCATCCTGTAGCGACGCGGGGAGTGCTCTTTTAACTTGGATAAGAGTTCCATTCAAAGATCTGGATCAGCGCGTTCACATAACTATTGCCGGGAGATCTTGACTTTTTTAAAAAAGAAATAGACAGGAGAATATATAGCTAATCGTTACAGTGCATCTGACCTGACATATTTGATTGTTTGACAACCATATGCATTCAAGCCTAAAATTTTCTGTGAAAATTATGTATAAAGGACCCTTTATACATGGACATATTCCAGTTCACAATGTATCATGTAAATGAATCAGCAGAAGGAAATGGCCACAGCATGGTAAAAATATATAATCGGTTAAACCGAACTCTGACTATTCAAACAATTCAACAAATTATACGCATACTGACATGTGGGCCCACTGACGTCAACGCTTGACTTCCAAGCCCTTGACACAACTACCAGCAAATAATACCTGCAGAAAATGCCAATCGAAGGAACCAGCTCTATATAAAAACACACACAAAACATTAATTTTTGGGGACTGACATCCGGGCTGTCGTAAGCACTTACGTCTACGAGGCAAAGGAATCAATCATATTCAGATAATTAGAAATTAGAGGCTTATGAGACTAGGAACCATGAGCCATCACAATCAGACACGAAACGGAAACGTGCTACAGATTAACTACTGTTAAGTTACTACTCCCATATGTCTGAAGAATTCCAAACAAAATGACAAAAAAAAGTATTTAAGGTTAGAAGATGATCATGGGAAGAAATTATCCAGAAATTACATGGAGGGTGATGAGAGGTCCAACCCAAAGCTGTTCAACTATCTGTGACTGCGCCCAGGCGCAACGCGCATTTGTGAGGTGATAACTGATAAAGACAGTAGCTGAAAGCACAGCGATAAAAACGATCCTAAACACTACTCACCATTACCGGGAGTAGGATGCATCTATGCCACACCAATCACCATGATGTTGAAGCTGCCCATCTCTGTGCATGCTTCCTAACAACTGCACACTTCAAGATCATATCAGAGTCCAAACAAAAGAAAGGTCAGCCCACTTCTTGGACAGAAGGAGCCTTCAACGTTGCTTGCCACTAAGCACGACATGACATTCACAGATACTGACACACTGGGGTTCTGCAAAATCATAGGAAAGACAACCATATTCATAGAACAGTGCTTGATCTTAGTGTCTAAGTTTCCTGAATCGAGACCAGGCTAACTTTAGGTCAATAAGAGGCAATGAGGATTTTCATCACTAAACAGTCAACCAAAGAAGAATTAAAAAAAAAAAAGACATTTGACATGCTTCATAACCAAGTCTCTGAAATGGCTTTAAGCTACTGGAAGCCAATGTCAACCTTGTTTTTCTATTATATAAAATATTTAAGTCTAGGTAAGAATTGGTAAGTTATAAGTGCACATTCTGATAGTACTGAAATGGGGCACATACATTAGAATCTATTAAGTGTCACAAAACCAATCATGCTCCACTACAATCACCGATAAATTAATTACAAGTTCTTTCCATAAGACAGGAGGAATATGAGTCTGAAATATGTTTCCATAGTTCAGACCAATTTGTAACCACTGGTGAGAACCTTTCCCTCTGTCTTAATGAAAAGACGCAAATATTTTGCGCATTCTTGGAAAAATGAAAGACGAGGAAAAAGAGATACAAGAGGCACCCACATTTCACGCTCATCAGCTACACCTAGCGTCGGCCCCGAGGTTTTGACCGCACTTTCTGCACCATACAATACAAAAAAGGTGTTGGGAAATGGGAATTATATAACAATAAAACATTGACAATAAAAAGGACAGCTTATGCTTGACATGGTTATATCCTTTGCTATAGCTGAAAAGGGAAGAATACTGCATAAATTGATGGAGATTATACTTACAGATGTACCACCAAAGCTGGATCCTGAAGCTGTAGCTCCACCTAAGGTAGACACAGGTTAGAATGTCATGCAATTTCCAAAAATCAGGATATCATAGCATGTATAGAATAGGAAAAGATATATTTGTAAGTTCAATTGGAAGTAGGATAAAAAGAAGAATATTGCTGGTGAATTTCAATATGGACGGTAACCATAGATGAGTAGAAACAGTGAAGGGCATGCACGGCAGGTGTGCCTGAGCTATATAACCCACTTGGAAAAATAATGGACAACTAAGTGTACTCTGCTGCCAATAACAAATTTCAGTTCAGACCAAAAACATAACAACAAATTTAGAGCTATGAATTGCCATGATGAAATCAAACTGTAGATGTGCCAACACTTCAGAAATGTTTATATACCATGACGAGATCATCTAAAATGAGAATTTCACAACATAAAAGTACCAAATTGTTTTCAGATAGCTACTGACTTATCATAAGCATATGACTATCTAACAGTTAGGAAATATAAATATAGTATGGTGAGAGTTTGTATACCTCCGAACGGCGTAGAAAACAGTGAGGTTCCACCTAAAGCGGGCGTTGAAGCAAAAGATGGAGTTGTATTCCCAAATCCAGATGGAGCCGGCGTTGATCCAAGCGTTGGAGTAGAGACTGTCCCAAATGGTGTGGACAGCTGGGCTGATCCAGATGTACCAAAAAGGTTGCTGGATAGAGTTGGAGTTGTTGGAGTTGAAAAGAGACTTGAAGAAGATGGAGCGGAAGCTGGAGTGCTGAATGATGGAAAAGCACTTGAAGAAGTCGCTCCAGAAGGAATCAATGATTGCTGTGGTTGACTCGTCACTGTTCCAGCAATTTGAGTTGTGGGCTGTACAGGAGCAGGCAAATGCAATGTTGGATGTACCCTTCTGGCAGCTGCTTCTTGTTTAGCCGCTTCTCGTCTATTTGCCTCTAAAAATGGATCATTGGCATTACCCAATCGCCGCTGCTCATGTAGATATTCAGTTTTCAATGACTCAACATATTGATGAAGATTTTCCACCTAAAAAAAATACAAACATTAGAAAATACTGGGTATCGCACCAAGGCAGTGCAGCAAGCCTAAAAGTAAGCAATCTCTCTTATTTTTTTCACGAGATACAGCTGTTACAAAAAAAATTTGGTTGACTTACAGATTTACATTTATTTTTATGACTATATTACATAATAAATGATTTATATCATGGGGGAGAACCTCAAAATAAATGCATTTTAACAGTTCAACTGCAGTGTGTGTATGAAAAAGGAGATTTACCTTAGAAGCAACATAGATGAAATAATCATGCACATTCGACATAACCTTCGGTAGAGATTCTAATGAGGCTGATTGCCTTTTATTGTTCTCCATTTGAACAAGCTGCTCTAGCTCCGCGATCCACTTGCAGCATTCTCCAAGATATTTCTCAAACCTGTTGATAGTCTGTTGCATAAAATGGGAAGGCCGCTTTGGGATACCACTATAGAAATCAATGGTTGGAGCCAATGCTACTGGCTGATTGGACTGAGCTCCAGCAGGACCAGAAGGATTTGAGCCACCACCATTTGCTCCAGCACCTGGACGGATAAATCTTGGTCTCAGCATCATATATGACCTAATAGCAAATTCTGTGTTTCGCATCATTTCATTCACAACAGTCATTAACTCTTGAACGGAAGCCTTCTCTCTTTCCATCATGGTGGTTGTCCCTCCAAGTTCCTGTTAGAGCAGGAAATATTTAGCCATAAATTAAAGGATTGGTATAAGGAATATGTAACAAAATTGTGATCATAAATACATTACATGGTTAGACAAAAACATTGTCTTGGACATTGACACAGTTCCCACACAGAACCTTAACAACTGATTCTATTTTAAAATATTTATAGAGTCCCGCAGAAATACAGTATTTTGGTTGAAACTTACCAAGAAAACTCTAGTATTCTACATATATGTTTTTTTTATTTTCCAATCTAAATATTGAAAAAGATTTTGATACTTAAAGTTCCACAAGTTTCTGACCAAAGTGGGTAGTAATTAGGAATGTTTTTTATGGATTCATGTGTTCGTATTTCATGAATCAGTAAATCCTAATAATTATCAACTAGTCAACTTATGAACTAAAAGAACCATGAATTACCACTAAATAAAAATGTGTGTTGTAGGAGATAGTTATGAACTTCATTCCCTCTCCAGTTTTAAGGTAAAACTATGTACCCTTCAGCACTGATGCGTTGATATGCTATCCAAATTGAAGCTAATTATGATTTTGTGGCTCAGGAACATTTCAAGATTTAAGGGTAGATATTGATTTTGAATTAACAATGCCTGTTAATGATCTGATTACACTTACTGCTGCACAATCAGGATGGTGAACCCAACCTTGCTACAAGGGATAAGCTGATTATTTTCTTTATCGAGTTTCATTAACAATATACTCCATTGTGCTAATTTGTTCATTGTTCAGGGCAAAACTAAAGCATTACAGAAAATAGAGGTTCTTGTCATCTTCGCAGCCCAAAGTTTATATTTACTTTCAGTTAATCCTTAAAAAGAAGAGGAAGCAGAGACATAGTTCTCCAATAGAGAGCTCAAGGTGATTGAGCATGATTTTATAGTTTCTAATTCGCTGGTCAGTAACTGATCAATTTTCCAATGGGTACAATATATGTTTCTTTGAAGACAATGCGTGTAGGCATCTCATTCTTTCTACTGTTGACTATGTGAAAAAATACTGAAATATCTCTTCTAGAAAGTGTTCTGCTATTTTTCTAAACTGTCAACTGACAAAATCCCATATCAGTTACGAAATAGGACCAACATAATCAGAGTCTTTTACCCCTATGCCATTAAAAAAGTTCCTGCTTACCTATGTGCCACAAAAAAGTTTGGAGTCACCTGTATGCCATGAGAAAAACTTTCGTTGACCCGTGTGCCATTCCGTCCACCTTCTGTTACAACTTAACGGTTTTGTAGTTCTGACATGTGGGACCATGTATGAAAATGACTAATTTGCCCCTGAAGGATTTTCAGCTCTATTCTCCTCTCCTGCTATCTCCCGTGGAGTGCCTGCTCTCTCCCCATTGCGCCGCACGCCGCCGCACCCTAACCCTAGCCGCACGCCGCCGCCGCCGCCTAGCAGAGCCGGACCCGTCGCCGCCGCCTGGCCTCGCCGGACCCGTCGCCGTGCGCCCAGGCCGGCGAGATCTCTCCAGCAAGCACCGGCCGCGAGGGCTGACGACTGATCTCTCCGGTGACCGGAGCGCGGCTACACCGTCACCACTTGTAGCATCGGGCTAGCTAGCGGCGGCGGGCGGCGGCGGCGCGCCGATGTGCACGAACGGGTGCGGGTTCTTCGGCAGCGAGGCGACCAAGAACCTCTGCTCCAAGTGCTACCGGGACCAACTCAAGGAGGCGGCGTCGTCAGCGGCGGTTGCCGCCGCGGCGCCTGACGTCGCGAACAAGGAGGAGGAGGCGAGCACGGCCGCCGCCGCCGCCGACGAGCAGCTAGCGCTGTGCGCGAGCAGCTGTGGGTTCTTCAGCAGCAAGGAGACCAAGAACATGTGCTCCAAGTGCTACCGCGACCACCTCAAGGCGACGTCGCCGGCCACCGCCACCGCCTCCACTCCCAACATCATCGTCCCCATGACTCCGGCCGCCACGGCGCCGACGTCGTCGCTCAAGGGGAAGGAGGAGGCAACCGCCGCCGCATCATCGTCGACGGCGCCGGCGAAGCCGAACAGGTGCGTGGCGTGCCGGAAGAAGGTGGGGCTGCAAGGGCAAAACTGTCTTTACACAGCCCCTAACACCTCTGTTATGTCTCCATTCATCCAAAATGGCACACGAGTCAACGAAAGTTGGGCTCATGGCATACACGTAACTCCAAACTTTTTTGTGGCACACAGGTAAGCAGCAACTTTCTTAATGGCATAGGGGTAAAAGACTCACATAATCAAGCGTCTCATGTACGACTGACAAAAGCAAGAAAAGCAAGTCCAACCTGAGCAATTTCACTTGCATCATTCTCAAAATTGACAGTTGAGATTGAAGAGTCATGAAGGCGAGAACACTGATCCAACCTCTCGCTCTCGTCCCTGTACTCCCTTATTTTATCCCTACAAAATTCAAAGTGAAAAATTACACCAATAGCATGCCAAGTCCCAAACAGGTAACAAAAACAGAGAAACTGAACTCTCTAACCCTAAAACCCATGTATTGACCACATCAATGCAAAATGAGGCAGTAGCTTAAGTAATCCGTAGCAAATGGCATAGATCATAGAGCACAAAACGTGTTTCCCCTTCCCCTGAAACCCAAGTAAACAATGATCTGCTAAACCATCAGAAACAGTAGCCCTCCATAGTATATATTGCTAGAAGAACATATTTGTTTAAAGCAAACTGATCTCTGAGAGACTGTAAAGGCACAAGCTTATCGCATAAAGCGTTAAATCTAAACCACAGACAGAAAAAAGAAACTACTTTTCCACCTTATCACCAACCCAGCAGCAGCAAATTCCACTAGGGCCTAAGCTGACTAGTATACCCATATAACAAAAAAATAATAATAGCATACCAACAAGGATTGCGTTTACCAAGTCAGATGGAGCAATTTTAGTTGACTACAGATCAAGAAAAAAATTGCAGTGCAAAGACGCTTAAACACTAAGTTCAATCACGAACAAGCACTCTCATTTGCCACAAAATAGGGGAAACCGGGGAGGGAAACCATACTCGATCTGGAGCAGCGCCTTCTGCGACTCGGCGTGAAGCTCCTCCCACTTCGTGTTGTACCCCGCGGGCTTCCCGTCCGTCGTATATAGCATCAGCTGCTGCTGCTGCGGTTGCGCGGCCGGCGCCGCCTGTTGCTGTGGCGGCGGCTGCTGCTGCTGCTGCTGCGGCTGCTGCAGGTTGAACTGAAACGGCGAAGGAGACAGGGACGGGGCCTGCGCCGGCGTCTGGAACGGATTCTGCGGCGCCGGTGAGGCGAAGGAGAACGCCATTGCAGCGCGGCGCGCAGGGGGGCTTGTCCCCGGCGGAGGCGGCGGGAGGTCGCCGGTGGGATCGAGGGGGGCTAGTGGGCTCTGGGCCGGACACGGTGGGCTCGAAGAGTTATTAAACCCTAAAAAACCGAAAAGGTTTGAGAGGGCAGTGTTAAGATGACGGCTTTACCCCTGGAGGCAAAACGGGTCGGAAGAATTTCAAAATTGAATTTCACGTTTGTCCTTTCCATTGTTTTCTTACTAAGGAAATTTCTACATACTGTAAGTTTTTGCCGTTTTATTTTGCAAGGAACATTACATTTTAGATATTTTTTACCAATGCATACTCTGACTTTATAGGTTTACATGTAGTTGGCGCAGCAAAAGCCAGTCACTTGAAATGTGGTTAAGTGAGGTAAAGTCCTTATCACACATTGTCAGCTTTTGCTCCACGCGATGGTAAGATGGTCCACGCAGTGGTAGAGCTAGATTCGGACCTCCCTACCGAGATCATGCGTCATTTCCCAAAGGTGCTCAATGTGTGCCATGGCATGCTCCTACACCTGTTTGCCACCGCTTGTCTCATCGAGCGTACTGAGCCATTACACTTCGTTGGGTGAGCAATGATATCATCCTGACTACAACTAAACATGCTTGACCCAACATTTATTTTAGCGTTACGCTCACCTCGCAAAGACGGGTACCAAGAGTATACTCCAATAACATTTCACTTGGCCTAATTGGAATAACTCAAGGGTATTTCAAACCTTCACGCGTCTCCTCACTCCTCACCATGCCAATATAATAAAATATTGGTAACGGTGTGTAGTGGCAAAAACGCTGCAATTTATAAGTGTATTTCTCCAAAGATCCAATTCTACAAAAATCTCTACAGCTAAAACCATGAAGCTAAAACGCAATACCCAAACAACAAATTTTGCTTAAATTTCACTTTGGAAAGGTTGGAATCAAAGCTCCTTTGTACTCACCTTTTTCTATTTCAAATTATCCAAAACAACAAAAACGTAGCTCGAAACATTTAAAAATCATGGTGACAATTATGCTACAAATCCTTAATATACCACCAGCAATACCTTTTCACAAGGAAAAATTATACTCTGATTACCATTATGAATGTCCTCAAAAAAAAAGATTACCATTATGGAAAAAAAAACGAAGGTTTGGTCACGGATCCACATTGAAGACGTCAAAAGAGTATCTGGAGGACCATATTGATACTCATAACTAATATAAATTGAGATGCGTAGAAGTTCAATTTATCACAGATTAACTGAAGAATGAAAACCAGAAGACAAAAACGAAGCTCTAAGTTCCATCTGATGAAATCTCGCAGTAACTGATGTTAGATAGATCTCCCTCCCCTTGAGCCCAACGGCTCAAGAGGGCCTTGACCGCGCCCTGATCGGGGGGCGCCCAGCCCAATGGCTGGTGGGCCCCCGTCACACTGCGCCATATAAAAGAGGGGTGGAGGCCGGCACGGCACAAGGTACGAAGTTCACCGCCGCCGCCAACTCCACCCCACAAAACCCTAATCCGATCGAGAGGGGGCGCAGCCAGTGACGGGAAACGCCACCGCCGCGCCACGCCTCATCGCCGGGACGTCTACGACCACCACTGCCGCAGCCGTCATCGCCGTCGACCTCACCGGCGTCGCATCCACGTCAAGCCGCGACGACAACGACGATGTCCGGCGCCTCTTCCTCCACGAACTCCTCAACCGGTCGGTCTATCTAAACCCTCTCCCGTTTTCAATCTCTATAGTTCAAACATCAATCCCAAATAGAACCACCCGACTAGATCTAACCTAGGTGATCCTAGAGCAAAGTCTAACAACTGAATTTCCAATACGCAGTGCTGTCACAACCTGCAGCAGATTTCCAACCTGTGCTTTGTTACAGCCTTCATATCAGCAGGGACATATGGTCATTCAAGTAGTGTCCAACTGTTCCATCCACTTCATGACGCTAAATTCACCTGACCCACAAGGTCATAGCTATCACTTGGGCAGTCATAAGATGCAGATTTTAAGAACAGAAGGATAAAACAATAGTGTGGTGCAAGCAGCCAGATAACTAGATAAGGTATATTTTGGTCCGCTTCTGTTATGGTGCAATTGCCTTAATGCTCCAAGCCAAGTGTGCAAGAGCTTTGTTCCCCCTAGCAACCAGTTATATCAAATCAGCTTTCATATATGACATAGCATAAGTAAATTTTGGTAGTACTATTAACTTGACATGGAAACGAGCATGAGCAGGTGAGGGCATGAGGCATCATCTAGCACATGAGATATTAAATATCAATTCCATGATTGAAAAACGAAGGTAAAAAAACATCAATTTCATTGTGTAGATAAGCAACTGAGAATTGAAAATGATCCAATGGTAGCAGCATAACAAAGATAAATTTTACCAACAAGGAATCATGGGCAGCACTTGGTAGCAGATACCATGCGTTGTGGACTTGTTGGACGTCAGAACTGCCCTCGTGATAGCAGATCAGATCATCAGACCATATTTTAGCCAGGCCGGCCTAAGATAGGCGGACCAAATTTACTTAAGAAAAGGGGTATTTACACATATACAAGTTTCAGACTTCGACAAGAGGCTGTCGAAGTGAAAGGATGTTGCCATCGCAGCAACTTCCTAAAAGAAAAACAAGTTACAGAAGGTTGTTACTCTCCTAAAACATTGAAAACCCCAGCTTCTTTCTAGATTGCCGCTTCATCTTTAATTGCGCCAAACAGGAACCCCGCTGTTCGGCTCTGAGCGTTTCTTTCCTTCCAAATCATCCAACAGACCAGCAGCACTAAAGTGTCAAATGCGCTCCTCTGGCTGGTTTGAAAGACCTGCCACCACTCCAACCACCAATCTCCAAGGTCCAATCCGAGCTCTGCCGGCAGCTGGAACCCGGCACCGATCCAACCCTTGATCTTTCTCCAGACATTTGAAGTGTAAGGACAGGAGACAAAGAGGTGCTCGCAATCTTCGTCATTGCTCATGCAGAGGGGGCAGGATTGTTGGTGTGGCCATCCTCGCTTGGTGAGATTGTCGGCCGTGAGACACCTCCCTCTCGGCCAACCACATAAAAAATTTCACTTTGGAAGGTTCTCTAGTGTGCCAAATCAGACTGCCACATCTCGCTTCTGTATTTGCCATGAAGAACAGTTCGTAAGCCGAAGCAGGGGTGAACTTCCCATTTGCAGCCCTCTTCCAAACAGTCACATCCTCCTCTCCCCCTTGCACCTGCACCTCCTGGACTGCATCCCAAATCTGAAAATACTCCCCGATGGCTCGATTAGATGGCGCACCTTTGATGTCACACACCCACCTGTGGTTCCTCAACCCCTGAGCCACTGTCAAGCCGGTGCGTTCCACATGGCTGAAAATCAACTGGAACCTCGATTTTATGCTTCCCATTGGCAACCAGTCCGCAAGCCGAAACTTCGTGTTTTTTCCATCTCCTACCTCTTGCCGTGATGCTGAGTAGTAGAGGTCTCTCAGATCTTTCGGCTCCACAGTCGCAACTGTTGTCCAAGGCCGGTCTTGCTGCTCACCCTTCTTAGCCAATCACTTGAGCCGAAGCGCTTTGCCAAAGAAGTCCAGGCTTTTTATACCCAACCCTCCCTTTTCAAACGGCATACAAACCGCTTTCCAAGCCACCAAACAATGTCCGCCACTCACCTCCTCCTGCCCCTTCCACAGGAACCCCCGACACTTTCTATTAATCTCTTTGATCGAACACTGTGGCAGCTCAAGCACCGAGAGGTAGTGCACCGGCAAGGCAAACAGGACAGACTTGATCAGAGTCAGACGATCTCCAGTAGACAGGAATTTTGGCTTCCAAATCATCAGACCATATAACTGAGACTGATGAATTGTGAGCGTGCAACTATCTCATAAACTGTAGGGATATGCACATATGATTTTCCCCCAGGACATTCTGAGAAAAAAAAAAGTACGAAATAGAAGTGTGGTACCTCAGATAATCTCCAATCAGTTGATTCCAGACTATTGCTGAAAAGAGAGGCCTGACATTGTAACATGTGCTCCCCATCTTTGGGCAATGAGTTTAAATTCAAAGAGATAAACAAGATGTTCATGTATCATGAATCATTTTAATTAGGAAAGCAGTCTCCAATGCTAATTCCTTGGTTTGCAAATACTTGCTCTCTTCTACAACATCTGTTGTCAAGTTGAGAATTACAGGCCGCTCTGGATCATAGCGAGTAACTTCTCGGACTTTTGCGACCCATTTAGCTGCTTCCCATACACCAAACCTACCATTTTCAACCACAAAACATATTCATGTCCAGGACAACAGAACTACAGAAGCAAACTTGCAATAGCCATTAGCCAGTTATCTTTTCTATTTATCTAGTCTAAGGTTATGTTGTAAATATTACAAGCTTCAATGCTACTCCCTCCGTTTCACAATGTAAGCCATTCTAACATTTCCCACATTCATATTGTTGTTAATGAATCTAGACATATATATCTATATAGATTCATTAGCATCAATATGAATATGAGAAATGCTAGAATGACTTACATTGTGAAACGGAGGAAGTAGAAGGTAGTAAGTCATACATAAAATAAAAAAATATCAAGTTGTTGAGCTATTGTGCATTATGCTGCAGAGGTTTCAGAAGGGGATGGGGGTAGTAAGTACCCACAAAGAAAAGTGTACCTTGTATTAAATGATGATGTCACAAACACTGCTGGGTAAGGAACATCCTTCTGGATGTTATCATAAGGAGAATACTTCCTGATTGAAAGGAACTCTTCATGGTCCACAGGAAATCCAAACTCTTCGTAATCAATAGCTGTAAGAGGTAGAATAGGGTGGAGAAGAGTATTGCAAACATCCAAGAAAGGGACCTGGGGGACAAAATGTAAGTCATGAATCATGATGGGCCATTGGTATAAATAACAAGATCAGTGGTAATAGTACAAACTGAAGATTACAGGGAAAGGATAACTAATACAGCAATCCCAAACTTGATGAAGAATTTGATAACACAAAGTTCCCTATGGATAATCTGTTACTTAAAATGCTTCATTAACTGATTTCATCTGTCACATCTTTTAATGACAAAGAAACAACATAAAAGAAGAGTTCGTGATGTGTGGACTATGTGAACTATTTGTGATGCCAATCTGCAGCAATTTAAACCAATTGTAATGTTCTAAAATTTAGAACAATTTTGATTTGGGGCAAACATATATAATGACAAAATGACTTGAAAATCCTTCCTAGTTCCCACGTGCATTGATGAATAACACCATAGACTAGAAAATAAGAAAGTAATCTTGAAAATCAGCTAATGATTTCTACACAAGCCAATCAGTTAATCATAAATACCTTCAAAACGACAGCACGAAACAAATCGGGCCGAGTATTAATTGCTGAAGCCACCAGAAGTCCTCCAGCACTATATCCCCATCCAGCAAGTTTATTTTCTTTTATGATACCCTTCTCAAGAAGAAACTCACCACAAGAGATAAAATCATATATAGAATTCATCTTTTTTGTACGTGCACCATCTTGGTGCCACTTCTTCCCATAACCTCCACCACCCCTGAAAAAAGATGTGCTGTTATGTTGACACAATTATTTGTGCGTCAAAATTCAGAAGACAAAAGCTGATACATTCCTTGATGCAACAAATGTATAAACAATTTCTCGTACTTGTACAGCTTTGAGCTAGCATTTGTCAGTTATTTCAAGAGGTTGAGATGGTTATGTTCAATTTAACAAAATATAATAGGCATACCTGACATCAGCAAATGCAATCACCCAGCCACGATCAAGTAGGCTCTTTAACTCACTGCGCCAGCGCTTATCCAGAATCTCACCATAAGCACCATGTCCATGAAGTAACCCTGGATTTCCCTCTTGCTTGTGCTTTTGCGAATATACTAATGTAAGTGGAACCAAAACTCCATCCTTTGATGGAACATCATAGTACTCACAAGCATAGTATTCAGAGAGTTCATTCCAATCACAATCTCCAAAGTCCTCACTTGACAAATCACCTCCTTTTGAAGATGGCTTAACCATACTAGCAGCAAAAGCATTCCCATATAGTGCTTTCGTTCTTTCATGAAGCATGTTTTGCTGTTGCACTATTCGCCACTTACCATTCGGTAAGTTGTAGTCAACAACTGCATCAGGCATCTAAAATGACATGATCATAAAGTTGTCCAAAAAAGAATGCATCAACAAGCATGAATATAATCTAATTCATTAGAGTTCTCTAGAGCATGATAAGTAAAGGAGCCACCGACATTGTTGAGAAATTTTAGTGCTATGATGCCACAAGCAATGACATCATTGCAAGCACAACTAAATATCCTAATAATGCACATTGCAAGCAGATTGCTGTAACATCATGAGAAATACCAAACTGTTATCACTTAACAATCCTATAAAGGCATGGCACTAAATTCCAAATAAAAACACAATAATGCAGTTGAAAATGTAACATGATAAGGCTGACATAAAGAGGGAAGCACAAAAAACAGAGGGGATATTGAGAATGTTACAAGTGCGTAAGGAAAAAGCACTAGGCTGAACCAAACAATTTATGTTTCAAGGATAAATTTCCTCTGTCATAACATTATCCACATATAATGTTGCTTTATAACCAAAAAGAATCTTCAAGAACATATTCCAGAATAACCAGAGCTAATTCATATTACCATTCATGCAAATGATTGAGCAACATAGCAAAGAAAAAAAAATGTAATAAGCCATGGAAGTAGATAAGAAGTCATCTCAACAAAAAAGAAGGGATGCGCTTATAGATTGGAAAGTTGGAGAAGAAAGGATGTTATTCACACAAAAAGTGCAAGTAAAGCAACTCAGCATTTTCTAATCAACAGGACTTTTTATGGCTTTGTGAATAAAAGCCACAAAAGGTGCATAAGTGAACTAGAGAGGATGAGATAAATAAATAACACATGTCCATACCACAGGTGATGATATTGTGAAACGCATTGTTGAGGAACGATAATCGTAATTTGGGCCAGGTAAAATCTGACACACATGATTTGGAAGAGACAAGTCAAATGGATGGAAATCTGACAGACGAGCAGGTACCTGATACATGGAAAACAAGTATCCAAAGATAAAAACAGTATCAAGCATCCAATAGGCAAAATAACTGTGGATTTCATTAATTAAATAAGCAGAAAAGATTTCCAATGTTATCATCGAACACCAGAGCAGCAGACTGTGAGGGTGTATAGAATTCCACCAAGAACTAAGGAGTAAATTTTCTCAGCTTGAATTGTATATAGATAAGGAACAACAATTGACTTACTCTGATGTGTTCAGGGAAAGGTAACTTTACTGAACAGAGCTTCAGCTTTCTGCCTTGTCTCAGAACAAGCACCATGTGAGTATCACAGAAGTCAACATCTTCAAGAATAACGCCTGGTTCTTCAAGAAAAACATCCTGATGCAAACATTAAAATGGTTCAAATAGATTAAACAAAGTCACTAATGCGAACTAATCCTGAGCTGATGTGTGCATTCAGAGTAGACTAATTTAATATGGCAAACTTCACACCTTCCAGCTCTTCGGCCCAGGAGATTCCACATCAGACAGCATTAGATAATGAGAATCAACAGGGGTGCCTTCTCTTGAAGCATCAGTAAATAAATATAGGCGTCCATGATGGTGTTCAACAATACAATGAACTTGGGATTCACCTTCCCAAACCAATCTCATTCTGGACAGGGGATCAGAAGCATTTATCAAATATACCTGGAAAAGGTTAATCGAGCATGAGAAAGTGAAGAGAAGAACAACTAACAATATTACAGGTATAGTGCACAAGAAAAAGTGCCTTTGAGTGAGTGTCTGAAAAAACATTTAACGTTATGAACCGAAAATCCTTGGTATGTCTGATATTTAAATAAATATTCTCATCAGGTTCTTCCAACATGAGAACATCATCCTTGCTGGATCCAATAATGCTGCAAAACAGCCTACACAGACAAAATTTAAAGATATAGTTGAGTGCAGCAAAGAGAAAAATGCATAGCAAAAAGAGAACAGATCCACCAACCGATATGGCCTCCTATCCTCATTTGTAACAATGTAAACCAGTGCTTTCCCATCCATAGCCCAGGATATGTTTGAGACCCGGTCAGCACGAGGTTTATCACAAAGAGTTCCTGTCACTAGGTCCCTGACCATTAAAGTGAAGGAATCCTTATCTTTATCATACATAGTGTATGCAATGAACCGGTGATCTGGGGACACTTCAGACAGTTCCTCGTATGAGTATCCTGCATATGAAGCATAGGATATAGCTTTTTAGAACTACATAACCAAGAAAAAATGATTAACTGACTCTGAGCACCCACTTTAGGACTAAAAAGATTGAACAATTGTCTACTTCCAAAACTGTAGTATTGCATATCTCCATTATGCAGTGATGTGTTCCAAAAGAGTATGTAAACCAAATTTTAAAACTTCCATACAGGTCTCCATCTATTTTGCAAAACATCCCATACAGGCAAATTGGAACATTGGAATGATGCTGATGCACCAAAATATGCTTACACGATCTCCCATAAAAGATTGTATATCCCAAAAAAAAATCTCAGCCTTCTTAATTTAACTTTCAATTGAAAAGCTGGGGAGCAACCTGTTTTTTAAAATATCCCAGCCTTCACTCGGTGCTTAATAACCGTAAATATTGGTACACTCGTAGGTCATAAGCTGGTACCAGAATAGTAGAGTAATATGACAACATAATAGCACTAGAAATTTCAAAGTCAGGACAAAATCAAGTATTGTGGTCATGGTTAGGAAACAACAATATGTGACACATCAACTAAAGAAGAATTATGCAATTATAATCTTCCAAAAATAGTTAATACTAAGCAGTAACAACTTTCAAACTTTACAAGGCCCTAAACTTTAAGTGCCTACATAGTCCGCAGGGTGAACTATCAAAGATGAGAAGGTAACAAGAATAGGCAGGTAAAGAATATCTAACAAGCATAGCATGTTATCGAAGCTTACAAATTACTAAAAAAAAAAAACCCTACTCTTTGAAGGTAAACTGAATAAATACTATAACTTCAATGAAAAATAGCAATGGAAAACCAATTAATTACTTCTCAGAATTAAATTGCAGTAGCAAAATATTGTGGAACACGCTGCTTAGGTATTGTCCATTGCAAGGTAAATAGCCAAGTAGAGGAATTACATATACTTATAAAAAAGGAGATTCACTGAAAAAAAAACTTAAATAAACAGCTGCTAACTTTAGAGCGCTAGTAATCAGATTATTATGTACGGGGTAAGACGAAATGGAATTATGTCAATCCCAATTTTATTTCGGTGGTTACCTCCGAACCGCTCGGCCTCCTTGTTGTAATCCACCAATTTCTGCTCGATGCGCTTCCCGGCGGTGAAGTCGAATCCGGCAGAGGGGTCGCTATACGAGATGAACTCGCTGTGTAGCGCCGCGGAGCGGCGGCAGAGCACAGGGTACTGCTTGCCCTCGTCCGCGCGGCGGTAGTACAGCCAGGGTCCCCAGCGGACGGGCGGCGTGCAGGCGTCGGAGGCGAGGCGGGAGGCCATCTCGAGCTGGAGCTTCCGCGCGAGGCGGTCGGCGCCCGCCGCGGCGAGGCAGGCCTCGGCGTACTTCTCCTCGGCCTCCATGTGCACGTCCATGTGGCGCATGGCGGCGGCGTCGGAGAGGGCGCCCATCCACGCGTAGCTGTCGTGCCACGTCTCCCCGTGGATGGAGACCGGCTCGGGCTTCTGCGGCGGCCGCGGCGGGGTCGGGGGCGGGGGCGGGGGTGGCGCGGTGGCCGGCTTGGAGCGGCGGTGTACGTGGCGCCGGAGGAGGAGGCGGGAGAGAAGGCCTACCTGGTGGCGCATGGTCGCGGTCGCCGGCGGCGCGGGGGTCGCCGGAGTCGCCGCCGGTTGGGAGAGCGGCTTGTGGTGGTGGAGGTTTAGGTGAGGGTTTTTGGTTAGGCGATTTGTTCTGGGCTTTCCGGCCCATGAAGAGAGCAAATTGATTGGGCCGGAAGTCGCTCCGGTCCACTAAAAAAACATGTCCAGGTTCAATGGCACATGACAACACGCACGCCGATGCCACACACACACTTTGCAGTGCCATCTCCCCTCACTTCCAAAAAACCGGGCATATTCGAACGCACACTTTCCACGCGAAACCCCACCCTTTAACTCACAGACATGCGGGCTCCATGATTTCCATGGCCCACTCGTCACTGACTCTGTACTAGTACCCACGCCACGCGTGCGGTCTCGCGTGTCTCGCCAAGTTCGCGACGCCTCCTCCGGCGCCCACCCGTGGCGGCGCGACTCGACCCGCTGCTGCTGCTCGGCCCCCCTCATGAATCTGGCCGGCTTTCTCGCCACGCCCGCGACCGCGACCGCGACGCGGCATGAGATGCCGTTAAATCCCTCCTCCTCCGCCTCCTTCCTCCTCTCCTCGCTCCGCCGCTCGCTCGTCGCGTCGCTCCGGAAGGCCTCGCCGGCGGCGGCCGCGGCGCTCTCCCCCATGGCCTCCGCGTCCACCGTCGCCGCCGAGAACGGCGCCGCCAAGGCGGCGGCGGAGAAGCAGCAGCAGCAGCCTGTGCAGGTGAATTCGCGATCCCCCCCCCCCCCCCACTGGTAGCTTGATTGCTATCTCTCTCTCTGTCTCCCTCTGTGGTTCTGAGATTTCTGTGGCTGAGATTTTACTGGGAGTGTCGTGTGTGGTTACGCTTGCGTACTCTTGGATGTGTAGCTTTGTGGCTGGCAGTGCTTCCTGGAAGTGTTGATCAGGATAACCTCGGTGTAGTTGAGATGATAGTTGAAGTTAGGTTCGGTGATTAACTGATTACTAATGCTATGCATTGCCTCGGGCGTATCCTGCAGATTTAGGACTTAGCATAACTATTGGGAGAAATTTATCACAGATTTTGTTGTTGCTAACGTAGTAAGCATAACTGCTTAAGGGTAGTCATTGCTCATTAATATGTGTTGTAGTATTACATTTGTATGTGTTGATAATACTACATTTAGTGTTGTATTCTCATCAGAGCACCCTGGGCCCTGGGGTTACAGTAAGAGTTCCCTGGGGAAACGTACACTAACACTCTGTTGTAGATTTGTAGTCACACTCCGTGAGGTCGTAATTTATCCGCAGCCTCCATGATTCCAGGAGTGTGGATGAACATGGGTCTAGCCATCGACCTTGTGATCTCAAAAAAATATGTTGCAGAAATCTAGAAAGAAAACAATGTACTCCTACATTTGTTGGGGAAAGAAAATGCAGAAACCTACAACATCAAGAACACCTTGGTGATTATGGTTGAGTGTAGTTTCTCTCTCATTCATTAGTCAAAAGAATGTGTTAAACTAAATTTACATAGTTTAATGTTCCAATTATTTGTATATTCCTGTGGAAAAAATTGCAGCTGATTAGCACCATCCCTATATTTCTATTTTTTGAAAGAGGTCATGAATCATGATTTGGATTATTTTTGCAGAATTTAACATAAGAAAGGGATACGGTTTAGGCATAATAGTGTAATACACTTTTTTAAGTTTTGATTTAGCTGGTTGTGACTGAATGGTTTTATTGGGGTGGCATGTTCCCTTCAAGATATCAAATTCTTGATGGTTGCACCCATATTACATGCCATTGCTACAGTATTCCTCATTTCTTCTGTCCAAATATGCTTGTATGATCTACTTCTGCTGTATACTGAGGTCCCATGTTAGTCCTCACAATCCATTCACATTGTTCAATAACCTGGCTATTCTTGTGCTACCTTTTACTCATCTGAATATCTGACTAAATCAGCTCATTGATTTCCCTATACATGCCATATTCTATTATTCCAGTGAGAACTATGTATGTTTCTCTTAAAATCCACTTCGAAGTTAGAGCTATCGTTGTAACTTTTTGTCAGCCTGTTGTTTTTTCCTTTTTGGAAGGTAGGGTGAAAACTCCTGTGAGATTCTACCAAAGGCATATGGCACACTAGCACTACAGTATGATGCCTTATCAGGGGCAGTCCTATGTTCAGCTACCCTGGTGCACCGGACACCGGGTAGCTTGGCCATTTCTCACTGTGTTACGCTACCTTAATCACAATATTACTCAATAATTAGCTTATTAGTATGTATTGGACACCTGATTTTTTTTTTGTTCTGGGTTCGCAGCCTTAGGAAACCCGCCTTGAGAACAACATTTGAACCATATTTCCATGCCATGTTTGTGAACGTGTTTGATTCACCACCTCAAAAGAGATTACAAAAACAGGTGCACTGAGATAAGAATCAAGCAGTGCTATGACATGGGACAGCTGAAGAGAAGGAGATTCAATCTGAAACCAATCCTTTATCCCAAACCTCTGAGTAAGGGTTTTGAGCTAAAGCTGCCAGACAGTGGTCCTAGGTATACTCACCAACTTATACACAAAAGAGTAGTTAGACCAGTGACTCAAATCCTGAGGTTGGATAATATGTTTTTGTTAATCTAAGATAAAGATTCCATGTTGGCTTGGTGATTTCTATGGTCAACCAATATCCACTGTATAACACACTATATCAATTTCATGTCCAGTGCCCAATACATTGAAACCTGCCTGACAAGAATCGAATATTTTTCTTTTAGAAATTCAGTCCTAATATACCAAACAAATAGGGAATTGTCTGTACGTATTGTTGTATGGTTTTGAGTAACACAGAATTTATTATATGCATTGTTTAATCAGTATAATTATAGTCAAAGAATACATACCCTTGAGGTTTATGTTGATTCCTCTCTATTGCAGGTTGCAAAGCGGTTGGAAAAGTTTAAGACGACCATTTTCACACAGATGAGTATGCTTGCCATCAAGCATGGAGCAATAAACCTTGGCCAGGGTTTTCCGAATTTCGATGGCCCTGACTTTGTAAAAGAGGCTGCTATTCAAGCTATCAATGCTGGGAAGAATCAGTACGCAAGAGGATATGGTGTGCCTGAACTGAACTCAGCTATTGCTGAAAGATTCCTGAAGGACAGCGGACTGCAAGTCGATCCGGAGAAGGAAGTTACTGTCACATCTGGATGCACAGAAGCTATAGCTGCAACAATTTTAGGTCTAATTAATCCAGGCGATGAAGTGATATTGTTTGCTCCATTCTATGATTCATATGAGGCTACCCTGTCAATGGCTGGTGCCAACGTAAAAGCCATTACTCTCCGTCCTCCAGATTTTTCAGTCCCTCTTGAAGAGCTAAAGGCTGCAGTCTCGAAGAACACCAGAGCTATTATGATAAACACCCCGCACAATCCTACTGGGAAAATGTTTACAAGGGAAGAACTTGAGTTTATTGCCACTCTCTGCAAGGAAAATGATGTGCTGCTTTTTGCTGATGAGGTCTACGACAAGTTAGCTTTTGAGGCAGATCATATATCAATGGCTTCTATTCCTGGCATGTATGAGAGGACCGTGACCATGAACTCTCTTGGGAAGACATTCTCTCTTACAGGATGGAAGATCGGTTGGGCAATCGCACCGCCACACCTGACATGGGGTGTAAGGCAGGCACACTCATTCCTCACGTTTGCGACCTGCACACCAATGCAAGCAGCTGCAGCTGCAGCTCTGAGAGCACCAGATAGCTACTATGAGGAACTGAGGAGGGATTATGGAGCTAAGAAGGCATTGCTAGTCAACGGACTCAAGGATGCAGGTTTCATTGTCTATCCTTCAAGTGGAACATACTTCGTCATGGTCGACCACACCCCATTTGGTTTCGACAATGATATTGAGTTCTGCGAGTATTTGATTCGCGAAGTCGGTGTTGTCGCCATACCACCTAGTGTATTTTATCTCAACCCTGAGGATGGGAAGAACTTGGTGAGGTTCACCTTTTGCAAGGATGATGAGACGCTGAGAGCCGCGGTTGAGAGGATGAAGACAAAGCTCAGGAAAAAATGATGCCAGCAATCACATGTGGCTATTGAATTTTGAATAATTTGCCTGATCAGAATTGCATTCAAAATGCATGTACTGTTCTAGCGATAGTGTTATCCTGTCAGTGACTTCATCTCTATTGTCGTTTGTATTTGGCTGTGCAAGCGAATATGATGGTTCAGGATTTGCTGCCATTACACTTTTGTAGCCTAAGTAGCAATCTGCGGCCCCTATTTGCTCAAGTTGTTTTCTATACCTACCATTTCACTAATCCACCAAAACTGTAGTGATTAAAGCAAAGCATTTATAACAGCAGAAAATTCATGCCTCTAACTTCCTGCAAGTGGTCAAAAAAATGAATTATATCATTACAGTTTTGCTGGAGGTACGACTGTTACTGTGAATCTGTGATTTCACTAACCCACTTTCTTTTACCTAACTGTTTTCTCTGGTGTCATGTGCATTGACATGTGATGTCTGGAGTCTGGACTACTAGTCATCACATGCTATCTCTGAGATAATTCACGATCCTTCGGGTAATTTTTCTTCTCACCAGAAGTTTTTTTTTTTCTTTTGGATTTCTGAAAGAGACATGAGGGGCTATTCAGAAATCGTCAGGCTCAGGCAATCCTCCTTGAGCCACTGGTTCTGCAGGTGAAACAAACATCACTTGTTACATTCAACGGTGCACGCAATTCTGAAGCTGCTGTTAACATCTAGCACCATTCACCTGACCATCCTGCAGACCGGGGCAACTAAAACAGTTAGGAAAAAAAGATGATGAGATCAAAGAAACGTAGCACGACAAAAGAACCAACTCACCCAATGGCTCAATCACACATTCACACGAGGCAGTGCACGCTTAAATGTGCCCATATTCTCTTGATGCCAATCTTTTTCCTAGTTCACACTTCACACCCTCCCTCCATGGCTCCATGCATGTTTTACTCATTTTTTTATCCTTTTCTTTCATTTTTCTTTGTCTCAGAAAGAGACCGGTACGGTGAACTCACGCTGTCTTTGTTTTGGCATCGTCTGATTAAATCTTTAATAAATGGTGAATTGATCAAAATCTATCAGTAGTTCAGTACTACTAGTAGACAAGATTTGCGTTTTGGAAAAAAAATTGGCTGTCGCTGCATGGTTTGCATATGGACAAGGTTGTACCATGCTAACCTTGTCTGCCGAAATTGTATTATGATTGAAGCGTTGGTTGCCGACCTTGCATATAAAAGAATGGCACAGGTGAGTATTGTATTGTACGTACGGTTTCAGTCTCCAAGACCATATTTTTCTCCCATGACAAGTGCCGTTCCCAAGAGTCCGCATCCTGATGCAATGATCAGGCCTCCTGATTGGCCCTCTTGAGTCTTGAGTTTGTACGGGCTGGAGTGATGCTGCTTATATTAACTACAGTACTTAGTACTGTACTCCTACTGTTCTACAGCTATCATAATTAAGCAAAGAAAATTAGCTCAAACTACTAATCTGGTACTCATGTCATGTCCATAGCCTCTGCTTAAAAGCAATTACAAACTGACAACTAAGGGCTTATGTCAAAAAAAAAGATACACATTTGTTTACATGGTTCCCAGTATATTTCACTCCTTTCCTCGCCAAAAGAGAGAGAGAGAGAGAGTATATTCTACTCCTTTGAATATAGTGCTAGTAATAGGGAAGGATTGAAAATTCCCTTTGTCCAACTCCAGAATTCAATGTAGTCTGCAAGCACCTCTTCAAGGAATTAAGGCTACTCAACCAGTTCATCTGGAAGCCTGGATGTCAAACCACACCAACAGAATAGCTCAAATTCAGCCCCCTCTTTATCCATCTGTACATGTCAACAGTCAAAAAGTCTCAAGATTTGAAATGCATAACTAGTCCAATTGGCTTGCAGGTCAGACTAATCTCCAATTCATTTATTTAACTCACCAAAGCGAGTCCGTGTTACCTGGTTCCATGATCCACTACCCACCAGCACCACCCCAACTACTCACCCCGATCTGCAAAATTAAGCTGAACAAATGCACCACCAAGAAGCTGAAAATTAGGCAAAAAGATCAATACAAGCAGTTATGAATTAAGCTGACCTGCAGCATCATCATCTTGACATGAACAACGTTCAACCGTGAGCTAGCGGACCGAACCAGTCTTGTTTTCCCACATAATCTGAAGAAATCTGCATGATTTATCTGAAGCTCACACGGCACCTACTCCATGAAGCTGTCTGCATATATCATAGTATTAGACTACTAGACATGCCATTTGCTTTCTTTCATCTTCAAGCATATGGAAGAGATCACATAGGAAAAAAAAAAGAAAGTATGGCGAAAAGTAGAGTGTTTCCTATGAAAGTGGTTGCACACTTGCATGCGCTTTGAACGGCTGCGACAAGCGAAAAACTACAATGCCAGGCGATCCTTTCCATGGCCGGCTGCCTTGGTTTTTACTACTTGTCGGAGCTCTCACACACTACGGCGCTTTCTTTTCCATTCTACTCCTAAACCACAATAGTATTGATCAATTAATTTCCTATGTCATGGCTGATGCAAAGAAGTAGGAAACACGGATACCTCTTTAAAATTTGGCGTATCCATAACAGATATGTATTGGATACTCGGATTTGTATTGAATGATGATTTCCATGCTTTTTTAAAAATAAATTAATTTCTGATGCTTTAAGGATACTTCGTTGATACTCCAGCGATACTTCTAGCTCAAATATCATTATGTATTTAAAGTGTATGAAAAAGTCTAAGTCAAGGTTATCAGTTAACTACTCCTATGTCCAAAATATAAGACAATGCATACATTAGATAAATCAATATTTTTAACTTCGATTAATAATTAAGTTAGCAATATATTTGTTTAATGACATATATAATACCATTAGATTTGTATTTGAAAATACCTTAATGGGATGTTAATCTCATAGTTGTTGATGATACATTATGAAGAAAAAATAATGGTTCGCTCAAAAAAAAGGAAAAAATAATGGTCGAAGTACAATATTGAATGTCTTGTAAAAACTAATACACTTTATCATTTGGGACAAAGGAAATATGTTACTTCCCCGATTATAAATTGAATAGACACATCTTTTGGATTTGAAAACAACATTTTCTATCTTTTTCCTATTATATTATTTTTATAAATTATTATTATATATAGGCATATCCATATATATCCATATCGGAGTATCTGGGCAACATGGTGCATGTATGTACATATGACGCGATGGAGATGAAAAATATTTGCAGGATATATGGCTATCACCTCAGTACCTCACTTGACAGCTACTGAATGTGATGTTTATTAGCATAGACGCCTTGTTTGAAACTGCAAAAGCAGAGGGGAATGAGATTTTTAGGCCGGTAAAGAAAGGGGATGAGAAATGGTCCATGCAAATGACCTCGCTTCCTACGCAAGCGAGCATCATGAAACAAACAGGATGAGAGTTTTTCCTCTTTCGCAGAGGAAAACACACACGAAAGAGAAACAAAACAGTGCAAGATTCAAATGAAATGACCATCATGATGTTGTCACTTTGCTGCCGTCCCAGATGCTTATAGTTATATTAGTTTTTTCTTTCCAGCATGTCACGATGATTGAGCCCTTGGACATAGGATAATCAAACTATAATGTCATGTTAGGGGGTGTTTGGGAACTAGAGACTAAATTTAGTCCCTCTCACAGGGACTTATGTTTTTGAAACTTTAGTCTCTCCAACCAAACACCACTGAAGTGACTAAAGTGGAGCTAAACTTTAATCACTCTCACAAAAACATAAGTCTCGCACCCTGATTTATAATTAGCTTATGTGTGACCAATTATTATGTCTCGAGCCTGTTGCTTCTGCAGAGAGAAGAATAAAGGAAAGAAAGGAAAAGATCAAGTGTGGCTCTTGCTTTTTCATACAGATATACTGAAGAAGCTATTCCAGTCAGAAAACCAGCAGCCATTTCTTCTCGCTGCTCATCTTTTTGCTTCACGAAGAACAGAAGCTCCAGCCATGAACAGAGTCAGTGGCAGGCAGTGAACAGAAGAGAAGGTTCTTGCCAACATCTGCAGAGGTGACTTTCTGAAGGGAAAGGAGAAGGAAGGTTACTGTTACATGTGAGAGGTAAGCATAAGAATGGCTTGGATAATGGCTTGAGTCTGAACAAGATAGCACAAGGTTATCCTTTCCAACAACACAGGATCTTTGCTCATTCAATGCAGCCTGACAAGTTGATGCCCTAGATGAGATTTTTATTTAGGAATTGTTTTGGGTTGCAGTAGCAAGCCAGGTCGATGAACAATGGCATTGGGTCCTGCTAACTCTTCAGCACAGTGGAAGATTAACATAATCCTGGTTTCGTCCACATCAAAGCAGGATCAATTAAGTAATCGCAAGCTCCGAGATAAGCTCCTGTTCGGTCTGTCCTTGAGGCCACAACCAAACTGTCGAACACTCGAACCTGTGAAATGTTTCTAGGATACAGCAGAGATGGGCTTATGTTTATATGTCCAATGTCTCTGAATTCGACATTTTACAGGTCAAACCATTTTATCAGCACCCTGTTCCCCAAGTATATTTTGGAGTAATGACAACATAACATGATACGAAGATCAACACGTAAGAACAACGACAAAACATCCAGAATAATTGTGATATCTGACATGGAATGACATCTCAACATAATGTAATGGGGTTGCCGATTAGGATTAGTGTCCTGATGCAAGAACATTACAGCGACAGCGGCTCCCAGTCCCAGCACACAGCAATGCATTGTGCCAGCTTGACACTTGCATAATTCGTCACCAGAATTCATATTTCTGGTGCAAAAATCTGGAGCAGCAAGTGGACCCAAAGCTATGAATCGCCCCGAGTTTTGAAAAAAATGCAGTGGGCACAGATGCAGGGAATGGATAGGCAACACAGAGTGCTCAAATTACAATAGTACCTTGGGTCCTACTAATCACAGTTACAAGTTGCAGGACCAGAAAGAAATTTACAGTCTCCCATGTGCAGTACCATGTACCATTTGCAAATGGAGAATCACTGCACATGGGAGTACAACCTCAAGCGGTCAAGATTTAGACTGGAGAGGCAATGGAATTGTAGTAGTAGATGCAACCACATTATATGTGTAATGCAAATAAAGAACATAGAAGATGCAGTAAATGGCAAGAAGAGGGACTGAGGAAAAAAAGCTCACTCTTGCATTGATACACCTGGATCTATTTACAATTTACAGCTTGCAAGAAAGGGGGAAAGGGGGGGCCGCCAATCGCGATTGCGATGTTGCAGATTCTGAGCTGTTTTGCGAAACAAAATTGTCAGCTCCGCTCTCCCGGCGGCTCCCGTTCTTTGCTGAACTCTCTGACTCGGGGCAAGCGGTTGTGCTTGCTCCGGTCGTCTGAACTGAACCTCAACCGATTAGTTATTGTCCTTCGCTACCCTAATGTACAGTTAGAAGGAAGGAAAGCCATGGTTTCTTCACCACACACTCACTCACACATAGGTATCACAGAATTTCCCATCCATCCTGTTCTGGACCGCCTTGATCGCCGCTACCCGAGCAGCCGTGGCTGCCCTATTAGCAGCCATGACCGCCTTGTGAACCTGCTCGTCTACTCTCGGCAGGTGAAACGCGTTCTCCGCAGCTAGTTGCGCTGCCTAATTGTACAATGCAACCATTAGAACACCACAAGCAATTTGCAATTGTAACCCATAAGCTGATAGTTAGATCAATGTGTATATATATACCTGTACAGCACGCTGAACAGAAGGATCAGTTGGACTAAGGGGGGTCTTCAGAGTCCCTGAATCCCAGTCCCCCGATCGCTTGTCGCCGTTGCGGAATGTGTACATCCCAAATCCTTGCTTCTTGCCTTCATGCCAGGAGCCTTCGTAGCAGTGGCCATTGGCAAAGCTGTAGACACCAAATCCATGGATCTTGTCCCCAAAGTACTCCCCAGCATACCGATCACCATTTCTGAAAGAAATTTTAGTAGCACGCGTTCCAAATTAGATACAGATGCATAAATTTCTCACCGAGTATAATTAAGATGTGAACAAATAGGAGTAATTAGTGTACCAATCGAACAGTTGACATGAAACGGAACAGTGTGTTGCTGTGATGGAGTAATAAAGCACGAAATTTGGCGAGACGCTCACCTGAAATGGTAGCTGCCGAGGCCGTGTTTGACACCGCACTTGAACTCTCCGACGTAGGAGCTTCCGTCGGAGCAGGTCTGCGCGCCGATGCCGTGGCTCTGGCCACCGGCCCACTCGCCGGCGTAGCAGTCGCCGCTGTAGAAGCGGTAGACGCCGTGGCCGTGGCGGAGGCCCTGGCGGTACTGGCCGCGGTAGCGGCTGCCGCGCGCCCAGCTCTCGATGCCGTAGCCGTCGTACTTGCCGTCGACCCAGTCCCCTTCGTACTTGCCCTTGCCGAAGAAGGTGTAGACGCCGCTGCCGTTGCAGCGGCCCTTGTGGAACTCCCCCTCGTAGCAGTCCCCATTGCTGTAGAACTCCACGCCCTCGCGCACGACGCGGCCGTGCGCCCCGCCTTTCCCCTTGTCCCGCTTCTGAGGCTTGTCGTCCTCGTCACCGATGAACCACTGCACGGACCCGGATCCCGAGGAGCGGCGGAGCCGCAGGCGCCCGCGGAGGAGCCGCGCGGCTCCGGCCGCCGCGGCGAGCGCGGCAGCCGCGGCCGTCGCGAGGAGGAGGAGGTGGTGGTGGTCGTCGCGGAGGAGGAGGAGCAGCAGGAGGACGGCGAGGGGGAGCGCGAGGAGGAGGAGCGGGTGGGCCGGGACGGCGGCGGCGCGGAGGAGGTGCGGGTGCAGGTGCGGCGGGGGCTTGGCCTGCGCCTGCTCCTTCTTGTCGTCGGGCTCCGGGTCCTCCACCACCACCGCCTGGAACGACGCGCAGTTGCGGACCGTCGGCGAGCGCAGCAGCGACGAGGGCGTCCGCGTCAGCTTCCCCACACCACCCGCACCCCCACCCCCACCTCCTCCTCCCCCTCCGTGCCCATCCATCCCTCGCCTCCGCCGCTCTCACCCCTCAATTTCCCACAGATCTTCTTCTTCCCCTCCGTTTCAAATCCCCCCAACCCAGACCGCCGCGCACACAGATCGAACAAAGAGCAGAAGAGCAGGAGTGGGTGGAGCGGAGAGAAGAGAGGAGAGGAGGCGAGGTGAGGCGGAGAGGCCTCTTATAACTACCGTGCAGGAGGACAGAGGGAAGCCGGTGAGGTGACCAAGCTCCGCGTGCGTCCCCCGCGCCGCGCCGACCTGTGTGGCTCGTCTCGTCTCGCGCCCGGTTCCGGTGGTACAGTAGCAGTAGTAGGGTATTGGGGGCGCGTCTCGCGGGGGTACTCGCGACGTGACGCGACGCGAACGCGACCCGGCGGGTGTTTCGCGCTTCGCGGAGCGGAGGTGTATGGCTGGTCCGTCCGATCCTGGAGCGTTTTGGTGGGTGGGGGGAGGTGGGGGGAGCCACGAGTTCCGGATCTGAGACGGGGAGGGGAGGGGTCGCGCGGCGTCGCGGGGTGCAGGAGTGGTGGTGGTGCGTACGAGCTTTGGGCACGTGCCGAGCGGGGCGGCCGCTTTTTCCTGGCTGGCTGGGACCGACCGGGGACGAGATCGTAGTAGACGGGACGGGCCGGGGGCGCGCGAGACGCCGCGGCGGGGCCAAGCGGATGGGTGGATTGGGCGAATTGGCGGCTTGCGGCCGGTTTGGCGCGCGAGGGTGGATGGCGGTTTGGACGTGTGTGCGCGCGCGCGAGAGAGCGGGCGGCGTGAACGGCACGGCGCGAGGGCGCGACCAGGGTTGGGAACAACTGGTTTTGCTGGTACCGCGCGCGCGCGGTGGGGTTTGTTCGTGCACGGGCGGGCTCAGGTTCTTCGAGAAAATCATGCAGAGGATTGTTGAACTTGAACCATGTCGTTGCTTGCCTTCAAGCAAAAGAAACGCGGGGGTGCTCATTCACGGGAGAACCATTCCACGGTCAATTAAACAGCTTCCGTTTTGGTACGTTTTGGTACTAGTATTTTGGTACGTTGTTATGGAGGAGTAGTATTTTAAAGAGCACCCTGTTTTGAATTGGAAGGGAGGTCCTTGATGCCCAAGGAAACCGCGCGACCAGCCACAAACCGAACCGGTCATCCACTCATCCCCCCGGGCCTTGAGCAGCTGTACGCCGATCCGGGCCGTCCGGCCGTCCCGGTCATCCGCGCGACTCGGCGTGATGGTGATGATTTCACGTCATGTGCGGTGCGAGCCGCTAGGCAGGCCCGCCCCATATATGCCGCGATCCGGGACACTCCTCGGCCACCTTTCGAGACGTGCGAGGCGTACCGCGACGCCCCCGCGCCGCGCTGCACGCCGTGTCGCCGTCCTGCACGTATGACGACGTTCGACGTATCAGCGACCGAGACATCGAGCGTTTCGGCAGCAGCCGATGGCGGCATGGGTGGTTGGGGTTAGATGGGGCTAATTGGGCGGCATATCGCGGCGCCGGCGCGCGGGCGTTTCAGGGCGGCAGCCGAATCCATGGGCGAATTCGCCGCTTTGGACTATGCAGCGTGTTACTACTTTACGATTCCTAGTAATATACTCCCAGCTTTTGAGTAGCTGTATAGCGGTATAGGAGGTCTCATCTCCCAGCTTTTGTGTAGTAGACTTTGGGGGCGCCGACCTCGATCGGTGAATTGTTTAGGCCTTCTTCTCCTCCCGTTCTAGAAACGTAGGCATATGGGTGATACTACTGGTAAACCATACAAACCTAATTATTGGCTGGCACTTGGCAGCAATTATTGGGTAAGCATGTCACGTCCCTAACCTGATTTGGGCAAAGATGAAAATGAGTCTCCGAACTGATTTGGGCAGGAGGAAAATGAGATGACATGCTCTGTCCGCACTGCATTTTCCCGTTTTTCGTGGACTCTACAAACGGTGCTTCGACATGGCTGTAACATGAGAAAGAAAGAGAGAGACAAACAGCGATGTGCATCGAGTATTCGAGTACCCGGCCACCGATGGGCCACATCATATACCTGAATTTTGCAGGCACCACTCATTCAGATTCAACCATACGAGAGGGAGAGAAAAAGGCAGCGTAATCCTTTTTATACGTACATCCCTGCGCTACAAATCATGTGGCCTTTTTAACCCCCATGGAGTCATGGACCAATGGACCATGCATCTTTGATTTCTTTCTTTGGTGGCCCTCGATTTCTCATCATCTTGCACTGTTGCACATGCTCTGACTAGCCAAAAATGTATCTGAGGAATTGTATTTCTTGTCTTCTCTCCTCGCACATATTGGCGAGAATAATTGAACAGCAATGCATCGATCGATCTCGCATATACGAAGCATAATGTGCAGTTTTCTGTACTAGAACAAGAGTATGCAAGCCGAGCACATGTGAGAGTGCATGTAAATAGGGAGGAAATTGCAGTACATCCGGATGCACTGGCAGATACAATTTCACGGTATAGTGTCGGGTACTTTGTCATGAAGTACTCTCTCCATTTCACACCATTGACTTTTTAAGTACGTGTTTGATCATTCGTCTTATTTAAAAAATTTAAGTAATTATTTATTCTTTTCATATTATTTGATTCATTGTTAAATTACTTTCATGTACATATATAGTTTTACATATTTCACAATTTTTTTTAATAAGACGAACGGTTAAACATATGCTAAAAAGTCAATGGTGTTAAACATTTTGAAAATGAGGGAGTATAAGATCCGATAGTCAGTGCGAGGTGATGCAAATAAACTCATGACGAGTTGACGATAGCTCGGTATTGGCGCCAAACGTTTAGGAACAAACATAATACAAAATGTAACAACTTGTTTCTTGTACTATAACAGCGGACCGTCCAATGCTGAAAAACGACATACGCATGCTTCGAATTCAGAGGGTAAAAAGAAACCCCAGAAACTAACCAAAGCGTCAAGGCTAAAAAGCAGACAAAATGCATACAGTTTTTAGTTCGCATTCGTCAGTCGTCGACGTAGTATCCAACATCGCCAGCCTTCTACAAAAGACTGAAAAGCTATGCTACCTTTCGGTTTGGCCCAAATGACCGATCGCCATGCAAGTGCAATACGGTAACTTTACCTTGGTTTTTTTTTCCTCCTTCGGTTTTACTACTGGACGGAAAAATATCCAGGTGCAGTGGAGAAAAGAGAGAAAAAAAAAGCTTTCAATCTAGCGGTGATGCTTGGCGTTGAAGAAATTATGGCGTCCGACATGCAGCAAGGAATGGACCATGCAGGCACTGACAGTGGCTGTTCTGTTCTCGCAGCAGGATTGTTAACAATCAGACGACTGACCTGCCGATAATTTGATAGTACCACACACATGTTCTGTGCTTTGGATCTAAGGTGCGTTTTGGTCTGCTGCCCATTCGATTTGCCAAGTGAAATGTGGTTATGTGGGGGTGTCATGTTCACCACATGTATGGCAACTTCTGATTAAAATGTGGGCCGAGACCGAGAGTTTTATTCGACATACTAACAAATGCTGAATGCAGCAAACATTATGCATTAATTCATTCACTGCACCGGTTCGTTAAAAAAAAATATGCATTCATTTCGTATATGATTATGCTGATATGCTCCTTTTCACCTTTTGGTCCCAAGAAATTAAGCCGAAGTAGGCATTTACACATGCTTCTAATTCACTGTAAGACATGTAGTCAGAAAATGGTTCTTTTTTCCAAGAGTGATCATAAGATGAAGAAAATAAAGCTGAAAACAACCTAAGAAAATGAGCAATGCGTGCACAAGTCAAGCAACGCAGGCGAAACCTTTCAAATCTTGCAGCCTGGCAGATTGGATACATGAGGCTAACTTGGACCGTTGCTGCTGCTGCTGCTTGTACACTAGATGATCCCTCTCAAATCTGAATTATTGAAGGTTGGTGCAGAGCGTTTCCTGGACGGAATGATGAACCCCTTGATCAAACAAACCCAAGCTAGCAGTAGTAGCAATTACTAAAACGTCGTAAATACAAGGGCAGGTGAATCAATCAACCGTGGTGCCTTGCGCAGGAGCCGAACCGGGAAGTTCTCTGTGAAAAAAAGCAGCAGGAATCATGGCACGCAGCGCTGCTGCCTTTGCCAAGAAAAAGCTCATGGATTGCCGTGTGCAAATTGCGTAGGATCCGAGAGCCGAGCAGATAGACTGGTGGCCTCACGAGTCACGAGTCGCCGTCTCCCCCTTCGCGCGTGTTTGATTCGAACGCCCTCGCGTAGACGCGAAGAACGTACGGGCGTACGGCTCGATCGTTCGAGCTCGAAACGCTCCAAATTTGTGAAAATTCTAGCGTCAAACGAAGGCGTGTTCTTGCGTTCAGCTAGAGACAATCTCTCATTAGCCGTGGCGTGCGTTGAAGCTGTGAAATTGACAGGACGAGTTTGTGCGATTTGCTCGCGCTTTGCTTTGCTAGTTTGCTTTCCAGGTCATCTCGATGGGAGGCAAGGACAATGGGCATCACTGTTCGGCATGATCTTCCTCCGATCTGCGGCTTTGCATACAACCCAGAGTCCCCCCACGATGACACTGTGCGACTTCGGTTGGATTGTCAGGGAAAGCTGGAGAACTCATTGTCACCTGTGTTTGTCCTGAAAAGAAACAGGAATCGCCCCTAAACTGATAGTAGATGAGTAGATCGAGTCATCCCATGCTCCCTTTCCATCCTATTTTTCCAGTTTAGCTTCTTACCTTACTTGCCTAGCTAGCAATAGCATAGCTCTCATTATCGATCTCACATTGTATCTTTAAAAAATTATCTGATATTCCCTATGTTATATATTATAAGATATTTTAAGTTTAACTAAATTTATAGAAAAATATAATAGTATTTTCAACTCAAAACAAATCTATAAAAAACATATTCGCCGGTGGATTAAATGGAACTAATTTGATAACATAAATTCCTATATTTTTTTAAGCTTAATCAGACTCGAAAAGTTTAACTTTGAAACAAACGTACCAAATAATCTTACTACCTTTTGTTGCACTCTGGATCACCCCAACTCTCTTCTCAAACATACGAACGATCTTGAGTGCGTTGGTTTCTACTTGTCAATAAACTCCCATGGTCATATGATATGTTTGTAGATGGACAAACAAGTTGAGGATGGTCCAGACTGTCACAAAGGTAAAATTATCCAATTCAAAGTGAAAATATCAATTAAATAAATGGTCCAAAACGAAACGCCAGTAATAAAAGGTGGCCCAAAGTGAATTTCACTTGAAGTTTTGATTCCCT